CGGCCGAGTTCTAACACAGGCACTGGCGGAGCCAGTGGGGGGTGGGGTGGCACGTGCCCCCCCAATGATCCGATCGAAATCCCTAATTTCTATGGGATTATTGGGGTTTATTAGTAATAAATCGGCATTTTGCGACCCCCACTGCCACTGTGTAGCATATTATTACGTGCCAGGGACTCTATGAGATGATAGGACAATAGTCTGAGTCCATAATTGGCAATAAGTAACGGCAAAGCAGTTATAAGTGACTCACAGAATTGTGCGCAGTTGCGTATACAGTACACGACTTCCCTGAAGGCATTCACCTTCAGCGAGCGCGATGCCGATCACACACGGATCGAATTCGGCCATCGCCGCACACGCGTCGAATAAAAAGCAGACCTGCTCTCCACCTGAGGACGGCTGCTTGCGTTGTGGCCGAAACGTCGTGAGAATTATTTTATGTTTTATTTTGATTATTTTATTATTTCCATTCTACGTGACTTTACCGAAAGAACCAATTAGAGGTTTTCAGAACAGTTTACAAATTCCGAAAGCCAGGAGCCGGTAACTGATTCCAGTGGAATGTAAGTCATGAACATACCGATTGGCAAGCACGGACCTTCAAACGGCACGGCAGCCTAAGCCACTTCGCGGTACTTTTGAGGTCGTTTCTCAGTTTTATTCTTCTTTTGTTTGGGTGACGGAGATGCAGAGTGACCACTCCAATTTCGCACTCACGTGGTCAAGCAAGATGACGGCGTCAAGAGCAGCGGAGTGTAATCATCGCTGTGACGTCTGCTTCGTATTTGTGTAACGGGCATTGCGTCGTGAAATGCTGTAACGTCTCTTCTGGATGACCACAGTCGCACTGGATAATTTTTAATTGTCATCATTTGTGCATCAGGTGAGCGCACCTGCCATGGTTTGTACAGCAGATGCGATTTAGAGTTGCCCATGAACTTCGTGGAAGATGAAGCCCAGTGATCTATTGCGTTGGCTCTTTCACAGAGTGACTGCGAGTTCTTTTGAACTCCGTTCAGCTCTGCAAGCTTCATCGGGGTTCAATTCGCATTGTTGAAGGTTAAGCGCGTGGGTCCAAAACGGTTCAAGCGATGACGAGGGGTGTTATTGAGGTTCTTCGTGAAAAACGGAAAGGTGCAATCCCTGTAATTGCACTGTTGGCAGAAGGGGCTTCCAATAAAAGGATCTCTAGAGGGTATTTGGTCTACTCTTCCACAGTAACCCGATATGTTGAAAGAGTGAAAGAGTTCACGTACCCACACTTTAAAAGGTGATACAAAAAAAAAACACGATATTACTCACCTTGGCACGAAGAGTTAACACAGGGGGGAAGCATCAAACGAGTCTCGGGTAACAGCGGCGAGCGGTAACACGGCTAACGCACCTGCTCTGTGCTCCACGTCTCAAACACGTGAAGGAGACGACGCCGAGACGCCGGGGCCGGGGGGGGGGGGAGAGACGCGTAGAGACGGACGCAGCCCTCACATCTGCGACCATGTGCTCCCCTCGGATGCGCGTCTCCTTCGCTCCGCCCGCGTTGTGCGTTGGTACCGCCCCACCTCTTGAAGCACGTCTGGTCAACTTGGAAAAGTGGAGCAAATTCTCTCCAGAGTTCACCTCGAGTGGAGGTACCTCTCCCACAGGGCCGGATCAAGGCACGGGGCTTTAGGGGCTGCAGCCCAGGGCGCTGGAGGGCCTCCAGAGATTTAAGTGAAAAGTGATTTCGCTTTGTGAATGCTGAATTTTATTTGTTTGTTAGCCTTGTAAAAAATACATTTTATTTTTCTTTAACTTTGTTTTCCTTTTGAAAATATTACTGGGGGTCTCACAGTACCTGTAGCCCAGGGGCCTACAAAATCTTAATCCGGCCCTGCTCCCACCAACAGCGGCGCGAGCGAGCGATTTCATCGTGGCACATTAACCTTTTGCAGTGTTGCGTTTAACCGAGGTGACGCTACTTGTTTTTCCGCGGGGGTCTCAAACTCCGTGGCCCTGCGGCGGCGGAAGCAGCCCCTAAAATCCCTCTCGTGGATCCAGCGCTGGTTCGTGGCGTCGGAGGCCGAGTGACGCGAGGCACAGGGCCATGAGGATGAGGCGGTTAAGACTTGCAGTGATGTTCACTTTGCAACTTCATGAACATCACCCCAAGTCTGCTCCGTCTCGATCTCACACGGCACCAGAGGAGGCAGCTCCCCGGCAGGACCCACGTGACGCAAGCTCACGGTGTCCCTGTCCTCCTCCTCCTCCAACTCGGGACGCTAAACCTCCAACTACCACGTGTCAGGTCAAGGTCACCGCATGTCACCATCGCTTCCTACAACGCCGTCAACGCGAGGCAATGAGCTTCATTGAAATTCACGCGCTCAACGATTCACTCGCCACTGACGGTCAGTCACCTCCTTGTCATCCTTCTATCGCTACTGCCATGGTTACCGTCCCCGTAAACTGCACTCATTGATTCCTTCACCCATGTTGAGGACTCGGTCCACCGGACTGACTGTCACGTCGCATCCACACTCTGTTCAAACCAGCACCATAGGGGCCGTCCATAAATGACGTCACGCGATTTTGGGCTATTTTTGACCCCCGCCCCCCCCCCCTCCTCGTCACACGGCGTCACAAAAAGTCAGACCCCCCCTCAAATATGACGTCACAAAGCTCTGCCCCCCCCCCCCCCAAAATAAAACATGCTTCAAATAGATTTAAACTATTGTCATTGTAGTGCGTATTTAATGTGCCGCTGCACTCTGATGTTGTAGGAGAAAACATGTATTAAAAAGTGGAACGTGTTGTCTATATTTATTTAAAGTTGCACATTTTTACGTGACGTCACATTTATTAAACCCCCCCCTCGTCACACATCGTCACAAATGTCTGACCCCCCCGCCCCCAGATTCGTGACGTCATTTATAGCCGGCCCCATACAGCAGGTCACAACACTCGCCCACTCACCACACTGCAGGTCACCTCAATTACCTTTTTACTTCTTCCCTCTCACGGCTCCACTTTGGAATTCTCTCCTCCCATCGTTGTCAGGCTCTTACAACAATATGCTCTCGCTCAACTCAAGAAATGCGTTTCACTCTTTATCGATTTCAACTGTGACAGTGCTGTTTGTTGCTGGCCGCTTGACATTTTGGGCTTTGGGCCTGTGCTTAACAACCGTGATTTAAAACAATAAAAATAAGATACCGCAGTTGTTGTGAAGTCACCACCGATCATGAACGTGTGCTTGAGCATCATCATTACCATTATCTTCGAGGTAGATTTGAAGCTTTCGTGACTGCAAGGATTCATACTCTTAGGTTTTTTCGGTAAAGTCACGTAGGTACAAAATAAAATAAATGATAAATAGAGATAATAATAGAAATAAAACATTTACTTTATTTATTTTAATAAAATAAACATTTTATTTCTATTATTATGTTTATTTTTTATTTTATTTATTTTAATATTATCTCTACGATTTATTATTTCTTTTATTTATATTATTATTTATATTATTTATTTTATTTTTTCCCTACGTGACTTTACCGAAAAAACCTAAGAGTATCTTCGAGGTCATCATCATTTGATTCTCCTTCGGCCTCCGTCTCGGTACCCTCCTCCACCCCGCACACGCGTCCCACCCATTGCAATCTCCTCATTGCACCGACAATGATGCTTAATCCACTGCTGGATGAGGGCCGCCCCAAGCTGCCGTCACCTTCCACGATGTTGTGACGCAATACTCACCCCCCCAATGGCGGAGCCAGGATTTTCAGGTGGGGGGGGGGGGGGCAACCCCTCCAGCAATGAAAAGTGATAGAGGAGTTGTTAGTAAGTGAGGAGTTGTCCCTTGCTTTTTATTCGACGCGTGTGCGGCGATGGCACAGCCATCGATCGAGGGTCGAATTCGAACCGCGTTGTGTGATCGGCATCGCGCTCGCTGAAGGTGAATGCATTCAGGGAAGTCGTGTACTGTAGACGCAACTGCGCACAATTATGTGAGTCACTTATCACTGCTTTGCCGTTACTTATTGCCAACTTTGGACTCAGACTATTGTCCTATCATCTCAGAGTCCCTGGCACGTAATAATATGCTACACAGTGGCAGTGGGGGTCGCAAAATGCCGATTTATTACTAATAAACCTCAAGGATCTGATCAAAATTAGGGATTTCGATCGGATCATTGGGGGGGCACGTGCCATCCCCCACTGGCTCCGCCAGTGCTCACTCCCACAATATGAAGGCAGCTTTTACAACGCTGGCTCACGGCTGGGAACTCGAGATGAGCAGCAATGCTCCAGTGCTCATTTGTGCAAAAAAAAGTCTTTGAACGGCATTTTTTGTAATGAAAATTCTATTTGCAAACTTACAATAACAATGCAGGTCATGTTTCTCGGTTATTGAAAACTATACATAGAGTCCATAATAAATGGGTCATTAAACCCCGCCGCCACCACCCGACAGCCAATGAATAAGGTCTGCCACGTAAAGAAAACGTGCTAATTAGAATAAAAAACGTGCTAATTAGAATAAATCCACAACATTGACAATTCAAGTACGACGTTTCGCTGGTGATTACAACCCTACTTCATCAGAAATGTGAAGAAGTCCTGTTTCGGTCTTAAATAGAGAAATGGTGATATCATCACTGTGAGCCTATCAGAGAGGGGTTAATATAGTCATATAAATGACAAAGCATTAATTTATATTTGGACACATTTACAACACAAAAAAACACATTCATGGATATTGGTCGTGAAAGCGAATGTGTTAAACTATGCAAAGGGTGCATTGCCGTGTTAAACTACAAGCGGAAGTACCAGCTTCTCGGTGATGTGAACTTTGCCCCCTAAATCCCCACCTCTGAGTGCCCCTCCGTCGTGTGCAACAACCCCCAGGCACCCCCCCTCGCCTAGCACCCCCACTCCCAGTGAGCAGCTCCTTGCGCCGAAAACCCAAGTGCCGCCACCTGGGCAACCATGGCCATGACCCCCCCCACCCACCGCGTGCGTGGCGCTCGCTGATGGAGAGAGAGAGAGATCAAGAGATGCGCAGAGAGAGAGATCAAGAGAGAGACGCGGAGCGCCGTGAGCAGCGCGTGTCGGCTTAGCGGAGCCGCAGGATCTCCCGCTTGGCGACCTCCATGACGAAGTAGAAGTCGACGTCGAGGTGCCTCCTCCAAAAGCGCCGGTCTCGGCCCCACACCTTGGCAGGATACGCGGGGCTCCCTGCGCAGCAGCAGCAGCAGCATCAGCGGCATCAGCAGCATCAGCGGCATCAGCAGCATCAGCAGCATCAGCAGGAGCAAGTGTCACTTGCCATCATCGCCATTCACCACTATTCACCAAAGCATTACCATCACCACCACAGCCATGAATGTTGTTTGTTTATTTCTGGCCGCTTCATGTTTTGGGCCTTGGAATGTTGATATAATAATGTGATCATGGTCACAGAATGGTGATGTTAATGGTTAAGTGGTGAGTGGAATATGGTGTTGAGTGTGATGGTATTGAGTGTGATGGTGGAGGTGGTAATATTTTGGCATTGATGGTGAGTGAAGGTGGTTGTGATGTGATTGCTTTGAGATCAAAGTTGTAATAAGAGTGAGAGGTTTCTAGAATTGAACGACGTTGGTACGAGCCTCTTAACAGAGAGGATGGGAGATCATTCTATAGAGGAGCAGAGCGAGAGAAGAGCAGAAAGAGCACAGAGGTGACCTGCAGTGTGGTAGGTGGGTAAGTGAGTTGTTGTGACCTGCAGTGTGGTGAGTGCGTGAGTTGTTGTGATCTGCAGTGTGGTGGGTAGGTGAGTGAGTTGTTGTGACCTGCAGTGTGGTGGTTGAACAGTGTGGATTAGACGTGACATTCGGTCTGGTAGACCAAGTCTTCATCACGGATGGAGGAATGAGTGAGTGTAGTAATAGGTTTTTACCCTTTCAACACCAATGGAGACTAGGCTCTAAGAAAAGCTATCTCGGGTGCGGACCAATCAACTTCAAGGACAGTGCATATCATTATCATAATCAGAGTTGTTTCTTTTTGTTTGCATTTTGACTGCTTGTGTTGTGGTTATTGCAAACATGATGCCTTGTATAAAGGTGTCAGTTTTTGTACCAGTTGAAAGGGTAAAAACCTATGACTATATTTTGCCACTGGTAAAGGAGATGTCTCATAGTGAGTGAGTGTAGTTTACGAAAACAGTAACAGTGGCAGTAGCAATAGAAGAATGATAAGGGGATGACTGACTGACTGCCAGTGAGTGAAGTGAAACGGTGAGTGCTGGATCGTGATCACCCCGACCGTACCGATGCCGTGGAAGATGCGAGCGATGGCACGAGCAGAGAAGCTGCGGTCATGATGCAGACATAAGAAGGTGATGATATCCCTGCTGACCTGCTCCTTCACCTGCAGGACACATCACCACGTATCGCTTTCGTTGTGCGAACTTAAAATGTCTGGTGATCTCACATTTCGATTTAAAGCTTTCGTGACTGCAGGAATTCATCTTCTTGGTTCTTTCGGTAAAGTCACGTAGAAGGGAAATAATAAAATAATAAAATTTTGACATAATAAAATACAATTCTCACGACGTTTCGACCACAACGCAAGCAGCTGTCCTCAGGTGAAGAACAGGTCTGTCAGAAAGACAGCGTCTGAATGTCTTTCCGACAGACCTGTTCTTCACAGGTCTGTCGGAAAGACATTCAGCTGCTTGCGTTGTGGTCGAAACGTCGTGAGAATTGTATTTTATTATGTCAAAATTGTATTATTTTATTATTTCCCTTCTACGTGACTTTACCGAAAGAACCAAGAAGATCTCACATTTCTCACAAAATAACCATTGGGTGTCATTGTAGAGGATATCAGTACAAAATATATACGCAGACAATTTCCCCCTCCTTTCCCATGATTGTCTCTTGTGTAAAAATATAAAGTTGTTGTTTCTGTACTCATACCATCAGCCACACGGCCCACTGGGAGTGCATACATTAGCAGAATTGGTTCATCACAAGCAAACTCTGAAACGGTTTCGATATTTATTTGTCTCATTCGCAAAGCCAGGCTTGCTTAAATGCTGCCGAACTGCCAGATGTTCACAAGCAAGGCAACCCCCCCTCTCTGTTACATGTGGGTCCGAGTTCAATGCAAAACTCCAATTTCATACATAGGCTAATGCGAGTCAACCCTCAGAAAAATGACAATAGCACAACACGAAACAGTCACCAGATGAGCACTCATCATGTACAGCGGTGGTTTAAACTGCGTTGAGGTCAAGGTTTGTGAAATCTCTGTAGAATATGATTTGGAGGTCGCCGGTTCCCTCTCCCGGCAGTTGAAACAATCGCGCAAGTTTCTTAAATCCCCTCCGCCCTCTCCGTCCACCCAACAGTGTCAAACGGGTTCACCAGAGCGAGCTGATTTGCAGGTCGTGTGTAGTGCGGTAAAGTCTGGGTATGCCAACTCTTCAAATCCATCTCGTTCCTCGTTCAAGATTAGACCGGATTAACCTTCTGAGCTCCCTCTTGCGGAGGTCCTGCCACCAGCAGCGGCATTAGCGAGCGACAGAGGTCGCAAACGGGTTTTGATTGCTTACCCGTACCCGGCCGCACCAGGGTCGCAAACGGGTACCCGTACCCGGCCGTACCCGTACCCTACCCATACACGGCTGGGTATGGGTAGGGTACGGGTATCGGGTACCTGATTGCGACCTCTGGGATGAAGCCATGTTGCAGGCGCGGGTGGGTTGATTCTAGGAACTTAAATTGTGAGAAGAGACAAGACCCCGTTGGGAAATGAGTGACAAACGGTTACTCACCAGTGACTCACGGTCTACCCGTACCCGGCCGCACCAGGGTCACAAACGGGTACCCGCACCCGGCCGGGTACGGGTAGCCAGGTATCGGGTAGGGTACGGGTATCGGGTACCCGGTTGCGACCTCTGGCGAGCGAGCGAGCGTGGGGCCAGTGCACGTGTTCACGTGCCCAGAGCCGCTTACCAATTTATGGATGAGATCCTCCTCTGCTGCGCCTGCACCGGACGTCGTGCTGCTCTCCAGATCCCAGTGCTCGTCAAAGTAGCTCTTGAGCACTCGCTTCAGCTGATCACTCTGCTCCACCAAACCGGAGCCGTCCACACAGTGGCCGCATGCTTCGAAGGCCACGCTGAACATGCAGAGAGAGAGTCATACCGGGCGGTTGCCACGAATGGCACAAGAGCAAGATTCACCGGGAAAATGCTCAGTCACACCGGAACAGGCCATGGCCAAAGCAACCGTATCCCTGAAGTCCAGTTCTCACTATCGGTGCCGCTCGATGTTCAACCACGTAATCACGAACCCTACCATGTTGACAGTGATGCCAACGATTATTTGATGTTGTGTATTGTATCGTTTTGTATCAAACTAGGACCCATATTGAATAGAGATGGCCTTTGCCTATAAACATCAGGTGGTTCACCAGCATTCAAGCAAGGCTGACACTGCTGATGAGACACTGATTGTCGAAACCCGTCCAGAACGCTGCTTGTGTTGAACCAATGCTGTTGAAATGATGCACTCCCAGAAGGCCGTGCGGCCAATGGGATGTGCAAGAAATACTTGTGATTTGTTTTACGTGGCGTGACAGACAGGAAGAGTCGTTGCGTTATCCATTAATTTTTCGATACCACCGTCTGCTTTGCAAGGGTGGGTGGCAAAATAACCACAAAACGTATTTCATACAAGTCGCAAGTTAACAGCTGCACAGCAGTGATAGTCTATGGCCCGTTTGACCGAGTGCGATGTCCACTGTATAAATATAAACTGTATAAATATAAACCGAAAACAGGTAGTCCTCTACTTACGATGGAGATGCGTTATGACGACCCCATCGTAAGTCAAAAATATCGTAAGTCGAAGATGTCCTAGCCTACCCAGGTGATAATTTAGCAAAACATAGCAAAGTCCCTTCTTCCATCAAGCGATTATCCATGTGAATAAATCGATAACGGCAGAGGGATTGTTTCAGAGTCCTGCTTGGTCCTAACTTTTTGGACTTATTCTCGTAGTGATGAAGCAATAACGTGTAAAACACATTATTTACTCTGCTAATCCTCCACATAGTAGCTGTTACATAGCTAATAATCTAAACTGCATTTCTTCACGAAAGTTTCGTTAAAAAAAAAAAATTCATTGTTGTTTGAAACGTAACACTGCACAGTTTCTGTTTTTTTTTCAATATGGGCAGCGCACCCTAAACCCTTAGCGGGTCACCCACGAGTACCCGGACCCGAGGCGCGGCTCAGAAATCGTTACATCGCAACGTCGCTAGAGGTGGCAGCGGCTCGGGGGGGGCCACATCCAGCAAGTGGATTGATCACGGCCGATCGCGACGACGACGACGACGACGACGAAACGACGCACATGACACGGAGCGAGGGTTACGGTCGGCCGCCATCCGTTCCGTGGCTGGTACCTCTGGAAGGCCGTGAAGCAGCTTCGCAACTGGTAGAGCTCGACGCGCTCCTGCGCGAGCACGCGGCCGTGAATCGCGGAGCACAACTCGTCGTGCTCCTCGTCACGCAGGTCCCCCGGGGAGCGGAAGCGGAACGCCAGCTCGTGGAACTCCACCAGCACGGAGCTCTTGCTCGCCTGCCCTGTACTCCACGCACGCAACGCACGCACGCACGCACGCCACCGCTGCGTTACTGACCTCTGAGGCCAACGTTGCTGCAGGCCTTCGCCAAAGCTGCGAGTGCTCTGCCTGCACTAGGGTTTTTTTGTTGCACACTCGAAATGAAGGACGTGGGCAGGTGCTCCAAATCGAGGGCAAGCACGTTTATTTATTGTGGTTAATATTAATCTTGTGAAGAACCGCACCGTCACTCTGTAAAATGCAACAGCGCGTGATACACGCAGCAATTCTTCCAAGACGCCATTAACTATGTGGCTGGTTGACACGTGCGGTTATTCATTAACCCTACCAGCCACCTACAGCCCCGACTCAGTCATCACATGCTGCTGTACACACATGCGTTGATGCACTGCACAGCACATCAGGACCTTCACAGAACCACACTTTACTCCCTTGCTGCACAAGGATATAATTAAAAGAGTGATCCATTCCTAATGTGCCACATTTTATTTTTTGATTAACAGTCAGCGACTACAGGCCCAAGTGCCCAAAATGGCAAGCAGGCCAACAACAAAACAGCACCAGCAAAGTTCTACGATTAGTCTGGAATATAGCGTAACACTAATCATCATCAAAATCAGCCATGATCAATCCACTGTTGGATGAAGGCCTTTCCTAGCCAACATCACCATTATATACTCGTTGGTTCTTTCGGTAAAGTCACGTAGGTATAAAATAAAATAAATCACGACGTTTCGATTGCAACACAAGCAAAAGGTGGGAAAACCACAGCAAGACATTTTCAGGTGGGAAAATCACAACAAGAAATTTTCTTGCTGTGGTTTTCCCACCTGATGATTGCTTGTGTTGCAATCGAAACGTCATGATTTAATTTATTTTATACCTACAAGACTTTACCGAAAGAACCAAACAGTATGGACCCCGGCAGTCACGAAAACTTCAAATCTAGATCACCATTATATATTTTTTTAAGGCAATTGCTCAACACAGGTGGAAAAGTCCAAAATATCAAGTGGCCAGGAACAAACGTCACTGTCAAAGTTGCAATAGGTGCGTGTTCCTCCGGTTTTTCCCTCCACATGTAGAAATATGAGTTTAGAGTATTTGGCTGCTATAAATTTCCACATGATAAGCCACTTCATTGGCCTATCATTTGTGGCCAGGTCGCTCCTGAAAAAGAGCTAAATAGCTCAGTGGGCCTTACCTGGTAAAATTAAAATTGTTTAGTTTTGTTTGAGTTTGGCAAGATTGATAACATAATGAGGCGACTGACCGCCGGTGAGCGAGTGACTGGAGGAGTGAATCAGTGAGTGCTGGATCACCAATCACCCCGACTGCTTCATGTTGCAGTCTACCAAAGGTGCAAAATCGTGCGCAGCACTGCTTTACGCAGGAACGCGACCTACCCCCACGGGGCTCCTTCTGCCACTGCAGCTGCAGCAGGTCCCTCTTGACGGCATACAGCTCCCAGGCCATGCTATCGCACAGCTCCACCACGTCGAACTCCAGCTCGCTCCGGCCTTCAAAGCTCTGTCCTCTCAAGCGCTCGCGGGCAATCACCACGGCCACCGGCAAACAGCTGCCAAGACGGAATAAATACACGCCCCTTACTCTCAATGCACGAAGACACCGGAATCGTTTGCTCTTACAAGAATAAAACCAGTCAGGTGGTTCAGTGGCAGAGCAAGTGGCTCGCAATCGGAAGGTTACGATTTCAAACCCTGCTTGGGGGTTGACTCTGCCCATCATCCATCTGGGATCGATAAAACGAGCACCGCTTTGTAAGGTAGGCAACAGTCCTCGTCCTAAAGAGAGACTCGTCCCACCATAGGAATGTGTTTTTTTCTACCACAGGATTATGGCTTCAAACGTTAAAACGAAAACCCGGCCGGTTCTCAGAGCGACCCCCTCTGACTTTAGCGCTCGTCACCTCTTTGCGATCTGGCGGAGCTGCGCAGGCCCCGCGTAGCAGCGGATGCGGCAGGTGGCCATGGTCGGGTGCAGGCACTCCACCCAGCGCCGCGGGTGCAGCTCCAGGTAGCACAGCAGAGTCTCGATGCCTGCGAGCCACAGAACGGCGGCGTGAACGCATCCCATTATGAAGAACACTCGCTAATTATTATCGCGACGACGACACTTGTTGACTCTCTTTCAGGCCAGTCCTGCCAAGTTTTCTCAGGAAGGGACTGGAATTGCAAAGCGTCATCCCAATTGAGTAATTTGCAGATTATTTTTTATTCAGCATTGAGATTTTGGCCAATACCGGACACATTGTGTCTTTTTTTGCTATGCTAGTAAATCAGAGAACCCAGAGGAAATCCATAGCAGAACAGGGGTATAAAACCACACAAAGGTACCCGGGTCTAGAATCAAACCCAGGCCCATCTTGTAGTGAGGCACGAGCACTACCACTGCGCCAAAGTTCCGCCAAAATGCCGTGTGAATCGAACAAAATGACGTGTGAATAACACACAATCAATGCTGTGTGACTCGCTGGTCGAGGAATAGAACATCACCTTCTTCTATCATGTCCAGGGCCTCCACGTTGGATTCAATGGGGATTGCCCTTTCGTGTCCTTTGCACAGCCTTGGAACCCCAGCCTCTCGCTCTCCCTCGTTTCCATCGTTTCCATTCCAGCGAGAATCCAAGGGCCGAGAGAGATGAGCTGAACCGTCACCGCCACCCGTGGCAAAAGCATCGCCAAGTCCCGTCGCTTGCAAAGTAGGATCCTCATGGGTTCCGCCTTGAGGGCTAGGGGATGCTCTACGTTGGGAATCTGTCAACTTTTCCAACGCATCATCCTCTTGCGGAAATGGTTTATCCGCGGCCTCCCTTGCTGACATGATGTCGTCGGAGCACGGATTCTCAACCGACTCCTGCTCGCCGGATTCCTCGACGACGTGAGAACACTCGGCCATGGCGGTCTCCGATACGGGGTCGGGGATATCTGCCATCTCGTCATCACGCACGTAACCAAACTCCTCCTCCATCTGCGGCACACACGCCCCCACAGCAATACACTGCTAAGCACACAGTTGACACGTTTCAGTGGAAACGGTAATGTACAGCGCACTGCTGGATGTTGGTCGTGGGGGTTTATTGACCATACTTCACCACATTGGTCAGTGCAATCGCCAATGATGCTCACCCGTGGCTTGGAATGAAACTCAGGTCACCGAACCCATAGTGCAGCGCGCTAACCAGCATGCCATATTCAACTCCTATAACCAAGAGAGCCCTGCACATTTATTGAATATACTAACCAATTACATAATCAGTAATGTTAAATGTCGCAAGCAAGTTTCTAAGTCATGCCAGTAAGTCAGGAAACTGTACTTGAGTTACAACTCCAGTTTAGGTGACTGGGAACCCTCGTGATTATTAAGCTCAGTTATCCAGAAAGCCCCAGGTTCTCAGGACTCTTTTTCAAGACAGTCCTGCCAAGTTTTCCCAGTAGGAGGTGACGATTGTTACACTTCTCAATTTTTAAAAAAGTAGCAAATTTGGACTGTGGCGCCGGCATGCAATGGCCTATTATTCTTCAAACGGCGTTACGGGATCTTTAACGTCCAACTATCCGTAGAGTAGACGATGCTTAGTATTTTACGGTTAATACCACGCCACTGCACTATTAACCGGGACGAGCCTTCCAGTTAAGAACCGCAAACCTCTGCAACAAGCGGCAAACGCGCTAATGCTGGGCCACGTGCCGAGTTATATAAACTTCACCTCCAGTTGTTGTCTGCGAAGGTGCAGCTGCCTGCACTTGCAGGGAGGAAACACCTTCTGCAGGAGCTTCTTCACGGTGATCCTATCAACGGTGTTGGCGTAGATGTGTCGGCGCAGCTCCTGCAGGTCTCTGGCCTGCAGTGGAATGAAGAGTTTGTTCACAGGAAGCACATTCCGCTCCGTGGCGCAGGCAGCTCGCGAGACCGACACTCAGTCCACTGTGCAAATCAGGCAATGAATACCATTGTTTTCTTCAGCAACAACTCTGCCACTGAGGCTTTCTTTAACAGTTCCAGAGCACAGGCCCAAAATGGCAGGCAGCACTATTACAGTTGTAATCGGTAAGAGTGAACATTTTTCTTGAATTGAGCCAGGTTATTAGAGCTTGGGAAAAGAGATGAAAGGATGGAATTCCAAAGTCAAATGTGCGTCCAGGAACCCGCGACAGTTTTTTGGATGCATTGAAAATGAAAATGTCAAAACATTCAAATTCCCTGAATGCCCTGTCCCATTACAAACTCAACACAATGATCCAACAAGTGCCACTCCCAGGTATTTGCACGTGACATTCCACTTGAACATCAGGCAGTGACATGGCCCAGTGCACCGTCTCGTTTCAGTAGAAAATTACTTTAAATGTTCTGTTGTTGCCGAGACGCGGTACCTCCGAATCGAGGAACATGTGGCAGTGGGCCGGCTCGCCGTCACGGCCTGCCCTTCCGATCTCCTGCACGTAGCTCTCGAAGCTCTTGGGCATATTGTAGTGCACGATGGCCCGCACGTCGGCCTTGTCCAGCCCCATTCCAAAGGCCACGGTGGCCACCACGATACGCAGGGCACCTCGCATGAAACGTGTCTGGACTGCCTTCCTCTCGGCGGCCGTCATGCCCGCATGGTACGAGTCCGCAGACCACCGGGACACCTTGGCGGAGGCTGCAGCATCCCAGCGGCGAGATAAAGGTGAGCACTCATCAGAGGTCCATGCATCACAAAGGTCACAACACGCTATCGATACATTAGACGAAGTTATAATTTGCGTAGTTTCCTGAATCATTGATGGTAAACTGACAGATGCTTTTGGCAAGGACCCTCTCTGCGATGGGATGTGTATAAAATACTTTTATTTTTTATCTTGAGGGACAGATGTGAGGAGACAAATCGTCTGCTTAGATATGCGGTCTCTCCTGGAGTTGGTCTCCTGCTGAAGACAACTATACCCCCACACCAACTGTCTTGCTGGTTTCTGTTCTGGGACTAAACACTGCTCTCTATTTCCTTGCAACATTAGACACTGACATATATCTAACACTCGGTTAATTCTGTGGGCATATTAACCGTAACAAATATGCGCCGTCTGCCTTACAAGAGACGTCAAAGTTCCCGTGACATAATTTGAAAAACGTAAGCTGTTGCGTGCCAGCGTCATGGTCCAAATATAAAAACATCACTTGCAAATTACTGTAATTGGGCAACACACAGCAATCGTCGCTCCCAACGATCAACATTTGGCAGGAACCACCTTAAAAAGTCACGAGACTCAGTGAGGCTCTCCTGGGCAAACAAGAGGAATAATAACGATACGTCCTTTTGCATCGCCAAAAAAGCACGCATCACCAACAGACGACACGCACGCACACGCCCTCTCCACACACCCTTCTTCTGCTTTCGTTTGCCACTGGTCGCCCCCGACTTTGACTCGACATCGGCGGCGGGCGCAAGCGAAGTGGAGAAGTCTTGCAGACTGGTCCTGAGCAGAGCGGCAACGCGCGCCGTCTCCTCCCTCCGCGTGCAGTAAACAATGATGGACTCCAGGCTCTCAAACCGTGGGCTCTTCAGAAGCTCCACAAGCGCCTGCGGACAAGCAACAGCGGCATCGACTTCATTTTACTTTGTTGACGCACTCGCTGTGCACAGGGGCCCAAAGGCCCAAGTTGTCGAGTGGCCAGCAACAAATAGCGCTATCAAAGCTGTAATAGATAAATGGGTAACGCGTTACTTAAATTGACCGAGGTTATTGTAAGTGTTTGGGAAAACAACAATGGGAGGAAATTCCAAAGTGGAGCAGAGGGGGGGATAAGCAGAAAGAGAAGCGTAGGTGACCTGCAGTGGGGTGAGTGGGTGAGTGGGTGAGTGGGTGAGTGGGTGGGTGGGTGTGCGAGGGAGTGGCTGAATGTGCTGTTGTAACCTGCAATGTGGTGGTAGTTGAACCCAGTGTAGATGATATGAGAGAGTCAGTGGTATTAGTGGTAGAAGAGTGACAAGGAGGTGACTGACCGCCGGTGAGCGAGTGACTCGAGTGCTGGATATTATAAAGTGCTGCTGTACTGGTTACATTCAGGGCTTTTAATGGCAGCAGCAGCTGACATGGAAATGCATAATAAATTAACACACCCAATTACAGCACATCACCGACACAATTATGTAATCGTTTCATGATGTCTCTGGCTAATCTGGTGCATATTTAGCGAATCTTACGCGGTCACGGTCTCGGTCGCAGGAGATCGTGAGCAGCAGGTTCGGGGGAACATCGACCACTCGCACGGCCGCTCCGTCTCCTGTGATGCCGATGTGACGCGAGATCTGAGCAACCGTGTTCTGGGTCGCCGTAGCCGTGAGGCCCAGCATGCAGCGAATGCCCATCTGGTCTCTTAGCACCTAGAGTCGGCACAAAGATACACCTGATAATTATACACAGATAAACAGACATACCTACAGACAGCACGCAGGTACACCTAGTCAAGCACACAGATACACCTGTCACCTGTACACAGATACACAGACATCTTTACAGACAGCACGCAGGTACACCTAGTCAAGCACACAGATACAGCTGCCACCTGTACACAGATACACAGACATACCTACAGTCAAGCACACAGATACACCTGCCACCTGTACAAAGATACATGGAAGAAACCTACAGACACCACACACATACAACTCCAGACAGCACACAAATACTCCTATCGATAGGACACAGATGCACCCGACTCTTCCAGACAGCACCGGGCCTCAGCGTTCACCTTGCACAGGCGCAGATAGGAGGGCCGGAAGTTGTGTGACCATTCAAAGAGGCAGTGCGCCTCGTCGATGCAGGCGAAGGCAATGGGAGGCAGCTGGTGCACGGGGGGCAGGCACGTCAATCCCGCGCCGCCACGCCCCCCCACCAGCGCCTCGGGAGACAGGAGGAGCACGTGCACCGCTCCCTCCTTCACCTGCGGCACACACGCACGCCGTTTGTGTGCCAGGCAGTGGTGGCTATGCATGCCTGTAATCCAGCACTGTGGAGGGACGGTGGATCGGACAAATAACAAATTTTGCAAAACTCTGTTTCCGTGGGCATAGAGGTGCAATACCCTAGCTCGGCAGCAAAATGCAGTACAGCAAGTGTGGACTCGGATCATCTGTCCCTTCTGTATGAGATAGAGTTTTGCTTCCTCGCATGCAATGAGTGTTCTCCATGTGCTCCGGTTTCCCCTACATGTACAAACACTCACTAATTGGCTGAAAACATCTTAATATATAGAGAACTGCAGAGCAGTGTTTGGTGCCAGCTCACCACCTGGCAGGCTTCAAAAGCTTGTCTGTGGTTCCTACTCAGCGATTGTGAGATGCAATCTGCATGAACGGCACTGCTAATGCGATGTGAAATTCCTACATTTAGTTTTCTTATTGCATAGTAAAGGTCCAGCCCTGCAATTTCTAGCTCGTGCCACTGCCGCCAAAAGGGCCTCCATCGGTCATCATGGAAGAGGTGGACGTACCCACACTTTACCCCACCATACCCGGCCTGCCGGTTGACTATTTCTTGAGTACCCATTTATACTGTTGGGTGGACATCGGCTCCCAAGTCATGCGTGACAGTGATCTACAACTCATGTAAAGTTGCTGGTGCCAGTGTGTGCAGCTAGCTGCGGCATTAAGAACACCGCATCCTTTCGGTAACGAGTTTGTTTTTGCACCAATTTCTATTTGGTCCATTGCTGTAGTTTGTTTTATATGGTGACCCAGGTCAGTCTTGCAAATAAGACTCATCCTGATCTCCTGATTGCGCACCTGGATACACAGAATAAGCTTCAAACTATAGATGCCGCAACAGAGACAACAGAGATCAGGGTGCATATATTACAGGGGGCTCCGAGGTCTGGAGACACAGCAAGAACCCGCGGGGCAGGGCGGTCGATGCCATCGCCCCTACCTTCGCGATGACACTTGCGCGCTGTGCTTTGGTCATGTTCGAGTGAATGCAGGCGGCCTTCAACCCTGGAGGCAGTCCCGACACCTGACACGCAGACCAGCAGCACAAACCGCAACATTCAACGGGGCAGTGGCCACACGGCCCAACGGTAATAGATCAAGGGTAACACCGATTGCTGATCGTTAAGGTGCACGGCTCGAATATGGCAGACCACCCTGGTTAATACAGCAGTGTCGAGTAACCGTAAAACACTACGTACCGTCTGCTTCACTGTGAGCGATAAAGATCTAGTGACTTTATTTGAAAAGAAGAAGGCTATTGTGTGCCACGTCACTGGTACGAATTTGACAATTCTTGCAAATTACCCAAAAATTACTCAATTGGGTAAAATAGCAATTACCCCCCTCTACTGGAAAACTAATGCCCACTCGTAAGCCGGTGCCGAGTCACCTTGTGCCACAAAAGGGCAGCTGCCACTGGGTACCTCCTTCAAATGTTTCAGACGAGATGTGTTGCAAGGCGCTTTGAGTAGCCAAGGCATCATGTAAATGCAAAGAGATGAATATTATAAAGTGGACTGCCGAGTATTGTGCCAGTACAGTACAATGCCACGCCGCGCCAGCACAACCCCCTGAGGTAGTGTCAGCACTGAGGCCGCGGGCAGGGAGGGGACCCAATCACGGAGGGGATGCAGCAGCAGTGAGGACTTGGCCAAGCCCGCACGATCGTCACCTGGTCATCCATCAGGGACACGAGCGGGGAGATGACCAGGGTGATGCAGGCCGAGCGGCGTGCGTACATCAGCGCCGGTAGCTGATAGCAGAGCGACTTCCCTGCACCAGTGGAGAGCACCACAAGACTGGAAAGGCCTGCATATGGATATGGAGATGTGGAGAGATGAGAGGAGATGTGAGGAGATACGACACGAGGACGAGGGGATGCAGGGACACAAGGAGACAGGGATGACACGGGGAGATGAGGAGATGGGAATAACATGGGGATACAGAGACACAGTAAGTATCTTATCGTTACTACACCCTGCAGTAATAACCAGGGTGGCCTTCCGGATTCAAACCGCGAAGCTCTGCAACATGCGGCGTATGCACCAACGCTGGATCATGTCAATTAGAGAGAGGAGGTCTTCATGAGGAGCGGTGGTGGAGGTCTCACCAGACAGAATGCGCATGACGATCGCCTCCTGCCCAGGCCGGAACGAGGAAAACCCGAGCGACTTCAGTACCGAGAACACCTCGCGCGGTGTGGCTGCGATGACAGAGACACCCACACGCACCTCACCAACACTCCCCACACCACAAACAGTGAAACACGTGTCTATTCCTGGCAGTGAGACAGGAATGTCAATCGGACACACAGGATCATTTATTGTCACCTTTATCTATGTAGTTGCTTATCAAGTAGATTTAGTTTAAATAGGTGAGAACTAAAGAGACCAGAATAGCCTCATGTGCAAGAGTGATCTGGGTCACTCTTATATTCTCTACAACGAAGTCAATGCTTGTTATGTTGTGTATTATAGTTTTGCGTTAAACTAAGACCCACATCAAATAGAGAGAGTCCTTGTCTATAAACATCTGGCGGTTCACCGGGATTGATTTGATTCAACCAAGCACGACTCTGTTGATGAGACACTGACTGTCGAAACCGGTTGAGGGTTTTGCTCGTGTTGTTTAACGAATGTTGCCGAATTATGCACTCCCAGAAGGCTGTGTCGCTGATGAGATGTATAATCACTTTTATTTCTATTGTGGAGGGAGAAATATGTGGAGGCATCTGGCTGCTTGACAGAGGCTGTTTACGGTAAATAATATGACATTAAATCCCACGGAGACAAAGCAGAAAGCATGCGTGCTGAGGGCGTGCTGGTGAGGGATGTGTTGGGAAGGGGTGCTGAGGGAGTGTTGGTGAAGGATGCTGAGGGAGTGTTGGGGAGGGGTGCTGAGGGAGTGTTGGGGAGGAGTGCCGAGGGAGTGTTGGGGAGGGAGTGTTGGTGAGGGAGTGTTGGTGAGGGGTGCTGAGGGAGTGTTGGTGAGGGAGTGTTGGTGAGGGAGTGTTGGTGAGTGTTGGTGAGGGAGTGTTGGTGAGGGAGTGTTGGTGAGGGAGTGTTGGTGAGGGAGTGTTGGTGAGGGGTGCCGAGGGAGTGTTGGGGAGGGGTGCTGAGGGAGTGTTGGTGAAGGAGTGTTGGGGAGGGAGTGTTGGGGAGGGGTGCTGAGGGAGTGTTGGTGAAGGAGTGTTGGGGAGGAGTGCCGAGGGAGTGTTGGGGAGGGGTGCTGAGGGAGTGTTGGTGAAGGAGTGTTGGGGAGGGGTGCTGAGGGAGTGTTGGTGAGGGAGTGTTGGGGAGGGGTGCTGAGGGAGTGTTGGTGAGGGAGTGTTGGGGAGGGGTGCTCACCGATGGGATCCCCGTTGGGCCCAGGCGGGTAGAGCGGCTCGATGGACTGCAGCTGGACCACCTCCGGCTCATACACGGGCCGCTCCACATTCATCAGCAGCAGGTTCTCGTCGCTAGCGCTCTCAGGCACATGGCCGGCTGGATTAAGTGTTGAGCTGCCGGCCTCCTCCGCAAGTCCAGCTGCTGCAGCTGTGCACCTCATCACTGGAGAAATGGCAAAGGGTACGGACCCAATTACAGCAACAAAGTGGAATCTCATGTGTTAAATATCTAAAAACCTGGTGCAGATTCACCCTGTCTAGAGAGACACTGTCAAATACACACAGAGATTCACTCTGTCTACAGACACTGTCTCACCGGCACTTGGGTTCACCCTCTTTGTCACTTCTTCGAGGGTGAGAAACGGGCTCGTTTCTTCGGACGTCGTCTCCTCTGTTTCCTCCACTTTGGGGCTCATTGGCTTTTTTGCAAAATGTCCTGGGAAAATAAAAGCCTCTCTTAAACGTTGTCATACCTGCAGCTTCATATTTGGATAAATCGGTAAAGTAACACAGTCATGCGCCTGAAGAATAAACTTTTCAATCAGTAGCGCAGGATCTGCTGTGACGTATGGTTTAGAAACACCGTGGTCATTCACGAAAAATACAGAACACAAACTCGAAAGTGCACAAAGCGTGGACAGACAATCTTAATTTGAAGCTTTCGTGACTGCAGGAATTACTCTTTGGTTCTTTCGGTAAAGTCACGTATAAAGATAAAATAATAAATTAAATAATAGCATACTACCACGTTTCGATTCCAACACAAGCAATCATCATCAGGTATAAAAGAAAGAAAAAGCAACCAAAATCTAACCAGAAAACTATAGACAGACATATAAGCAGACAGATATCACAAAGATACACAGAAAGAGAAACACGCATCGGCACAAAGAGAGATCGTCTCTGTGACGGGGCCTTAAATAGAGAGAGGGGGGGCGGGGTCGGAGAGAAGGAGGGGGCAGAGGAAAAATTAGCATGTCGATGAGTAGGGCGACGTGTGGTACGGTACGCAAGCTTGAAAATTAGGAGAAAGGGAGAAAGACACACTAAAATTAAATAACCTAGCAAAAATATCAAAATGTAATGTAATGCAACACAGAGAGTCGGTCAACACACAATTAACGCATAGCCTGGTCGATACGTATTTCAAAGATTGCTAAGTTAGAATTTAAGTGTGAAAATTCCAAAGAGAGGACACAGGCAGAGAGAGAAACAAAAAACCCAGAGAGAGAGAAAAAATAAACGTTAAACTTCCCCATAGAAGTGGTTCAATCTTAATTTGAAGCTTTCGTGACTGCACGAATTACTCTTTGGTTCTTTCGGTAAAGTCACGTATAAAGATAAAATATTAGACACTCGCTCGGAATTACAGAGAGACAAAAAGAGGAAAATGTGGATTAGAGAACATACGCAGACATGATACATCATCTCAACTGTTCAGAAAAGTGAGTGGAGCTTGGGTAGGACACGCTATAACTGGAAGGGACGATAGACGATGGCCAAGAATAATAACAGCGGCAGGATAGGCTTGCCGATGTGGCGAGAACTGCCAGATGTTCATAGGGAAGGACCCTCTCCGTTAGCTGTGGGGCCTAGTCCGATGCAAAACTGTACAGTAGTCCCTCGGTTAACAGTGACATCGGTTAATGGTTTTTCAGTTCAACGTTTCGCCTCTCATAGGACCCCATGGTTTCGACTAACGTTAACATTTACATTAACAGTATGTTTACGTTATACACGCGGGCTCCAATTTCAGCCAATCCAAGCATTCATAAGAGGGCTGAGCATGCTTCAGCCAATCAGCAACGCCCATTTACGAGCGTTTAGACCTCGACTGGCTATGCTTACATTACGTTTTCTGTTTTGGCAGTGGAAACAGCTTTCTCAATGATTCACAGTTATTTCGGTTTACAGTAGTTTTCGTGGAATGGATTCAAAACGTTAACCGAGGGACTACCCTCCAACACATAGCAAAATAATCAGTTGCGTCATTGTGGAGAATAAAACGAAATAATTACTCAACAAGAAACCGGGTAGGGCAAGAGGAACCATGACCACTCGGTATTAGAGAGATAGTTCTGTGATGTGGATTATAATCAAATGCCGGTTCTAGGAGTCGGGAAACGGTGACCGTTTCTAGTGGAACGTTAGTAATGAAAAATAGTAATTAACCGGTAATAAACCAGTGTGGACCAATCAACTTCAAGGACAGTGCATACATTATCAGAGTTGTGTTTTTTGTTTGCATTCCGACCGCAGGTATTGTGCTCAATGCAAACATGACTCCTTGTAAAAAAAGGTGTCAGTTTTCTTGCCAGATAAAAGGGTAAAAAACCAATTATCATAATAAACCGCTTATTAACCAGTTGTTATTTGCTATTATTTCATGCGGTTATCGGGAATGCACAGAGAACGTTTTTAACCACCCTTGTAAATACCCAAGTGGGTTTGAGACACGGGCCCAATATGCTAGTCCTCTAGGCAGTGACTCACCACCTCATCAATTCCCACCTCATCACCAGGAGCATCCACTCACCTTTCCCGCACTGGCTGGCCCAGTGTCCCATCTGGCCACACTTGAAGCAGGCGTTTCCCTCTCGGTTTTGCCCTTTGCCACCACCAAAATCGTGGCCCTTCTTGTGCCACTTCTCTTTATACACCTGCACACGCGCAGAGCGGACGCACGGTGAGCAGCGCCCAGCAAGGCGTCCGCGCGCTCGCTACCGCAAGTGACGCCATCGACTCGTATTTAAATGCGAGCTTACCTCCCCTCAACACCCATGCACAGCGCAACTGGGAATCATTCGTCTTATGCAGCCAGCCATGGCTGCAGAGTCTGGTAGTACATGTTGTTTACGTCGTTTATTGTGAAAATTCGGTCACAGTTCCTATGATCACTGTTTCATTGCTTTTATGGCTTTATTTTGGTGATTTTCGTAAAGTGTTTTGGTTTGGCCATGTTTGTTTGTTGTAGTACAGAGTTAGACTGATGGCCTTAATATAAGTTGTCTTGTGGTTGTTGTTGTTGTTTGACTTGCATCCCACTGGGATTTTTGCACACAGTGTTGGTATACGGTGCTTTTTCTGCAATATTTTGCTGTCTTTTCTTGGATTTTCTGTTTGCACATAGTCACTTTAAGATGTTTTCTTGTTCATGTTATTGTTTTCTGTTTGTTGCGGTTGCACCCGATTCAAGAGCCGAATGGCTCACAGGGCTACACCTAATAAATGTACTTGAACTTGAAGGTGCTCAAGGACAAATCAGCGGGTTACCTGCGTGAGCGTCTCATCCCCCCAGCCACCCTCACACTGCCCTAAACATTCCTCTCTCGTGCTTCTCTACGTGCCAATAATTAAATCAAACTTTCTTTTAGGATCATTTCCATGTTGCTGCTCCCCTTTATTGGAACGAGCTCACTTTGTGGTTTTAAGTAAAATCACTCCCCTCACCAGCCTTATTTTAATTCCATACTTTACTTAAAATAACCATTTATTTGCACGTGTTAACCATGCTTTTTAAACTCTGTGTTTTTGTTTGTGTTCCCCGTGTCCTATAAAGAATGTTCAAGCGCCTACCTCGTGTTGTAAACAGGTTATTTATTGTTGTTCCGTATTGTTATTTTCTGCGAACGATATTACATCTCCCCTAAGGTACTCCGTGGGTCTCTCTTGCACAACAGTCTATGGCTGAATGTTATCCACCTGTGTCACCAAACTTAACTGAACTGAGGCCCCTTCGTTTCTCACTTACAGAGTAAACCTTCAATGTTCATTGCTGGACATTTATACCTGTTTGGTGATGCAAAAACCCCAATATTACTTCCATAAAGGCATCGCCCTCACCTGCTTGCGTAGCTGGCGCCCATTCAGAGCGCCCCGACCTCTCCTGATAAACGTCTTTGCTTTAAAGTTCAGTCGAACAAAGTTCTCTTGATGTCTGGCCAGAAAAACGCAAAACACCAACACAAGTTTCGTGTCATTTGTAACTATATCCAATTTACAACAATATACGATGTACCCAAGCTTTCCATTGTGCAGGGTTTGTACGATTGCAAAGAATCAGTCAAACATCCTTCACAACGAAGATAATGGTGATGTATTCTTAAGTTTTGAGTCCAACTTGAACCCATATCTAACAGACGGTTTTTACCAAAAAACATCTGGCAATTCACCAGCATTGGCTTAAGCAAGCTTGACCTTGCTGAAGAGACATTGAATGGTGAAAAAGGTCAAGAGTTTTCCTTGTGTTGGACCAATACTTCTGAAATTATGTACTCCTAGAAGGCCGTGTGGCTGATGGGATGTACAAACAATAATTAAACTTTTCATCTGGAGGGACAGATATGGGAAGTCGGTAAATCGCATTGAGTGCTTATTTAGTCAGACTAGTGGTCTCCACGAGTCTGAACAACCAAGGGGAAGACATCAGTAGAATTGTCACGACTCAATAGTGATCGAATGTGTCGCAGAGCCCTGATATGAAAATTGCAGGACCTGACAATATTTTGCACGTGGTGATCAAACGACGATATTTTTAGATGCGTAGAAAACTGAATCTTGGAGGCTTGCTACCGCCACACCTGATCCTCCCACAAAAACACTGGAGGTTGCAGGTGACGTCACCACCATGTGTGAGTCAGTTACCCATGAAGGCAGGCACGGAGCCAGCCAGCAAAACTTTAATCGAATAGAGTACAGTATTCCCCTGTTATTCATGAACTTTCTATCGCCGATTTTGGCCGTCCGCAAATCACATCTGGAATTCTACACAATCAAGAGAAAAAGTGATGAGATAAAGTGATGAGAGAGAAAGCGATGAGAGAGAACGCGATGAGAGATAAAGTGATGAAAGTGAACAGAGAAAAAGTGATGTATTCTAGATTGAAAACTCATTCTAGATTAAAAACTCTTTTCTTTAAAACTGCTTTTAGTGCTTAGATTTGTTGTCCTTCCTGCGCACCTCTGATTAGCACAGTTGGCTACGTACGGTGCGAAAGAAGTTCAACATACATACATTTATTTAAGCTAATTTATTGAAAAGATATGTTTTCAAAGCCCGATATCATTATCTGCAAAATTTGCTCTTTACGAGCATCTCCGGAACGTATCCAACGCGAATAACAAGAGAATACTCTATGACGTACAATACATTTTAGGGAATCCAGGTTCCCATTGTGCGGAGTTGTATGTGGAAGGCAATACCTGTAGGAAGGTCCAGAGGTCTTCCCAGGCACAGAGACGCTGCGTTCACCGCCAGTGTCCCTGACAGGCGACGACTCTTTTGCAGTGCCATGCACACCTTCCGTACTGCTCGCCACCCCCTCATCATCTGCTCTCGCCTCCTCAGACTTCCTCCCACCGGCTTCCACGCGTCTTCTTTTTGTTGGCATCTTTTCGGAATTGCTTTTGTTTGCAGACGCAGCTCTACGCCTCTTCTGCTTCACAGGGGACGGAGATGCCGAGTCAAGCTCAGCCAACTCCACAATCGCACCGCCATCTGTAGCTTCCCGGTGCTCTATCTTGCAGACCCTCCTTTGCCGACTTCACACTGGAGGCACATTTGACGTTTGAAAAATTGGTGTCATTCTCTCTACGCTCCGTTACATGGCAACGAGACATCGACTCAATTCGACTTTTTTCCTCGTTCTCACACAAGGCATCATCGCTCTGCAGAAATCCTTTATCCGTTTTTCCTCCGTCACTTGAGATATCTTCAAATACATTAAAAACATTTCCAATTCTGTTCCTTACTTTATCAGAAGTTTGAACCATCTCCTTGTTACAGTTATTTGCTACAGGGGCCACAGTTTCTAACTTAGTTTCTCCCAGCGTAATATCTACCAAGGCATTCTTAGCATTTAGCGCAGCATGAGCACTGCAGTTAGCATTGGCTGTGGCAGTCTCCAAGTCTCCGGAAACATCTGTGAGTCCATCCAAGGTAGCAGCAGGGAAGACAGGCAGTGAAAGGTCACAGGATTCTTCAATCCCTGTCGATCTCTGGCACCTGTCCAGCCAGTCGGTGTCTAGAGATGACCATTTCCGCAGCCTATCCCTCGCGCCTTCCACTGTCGTATCTCGTCGCCGGGACGCCACGGCGGAGACCGGCCGGCCTGTGGGCGTAGGAGCGCTCCCCGCGAGACACCCGCTCCGTCTCTCGAGCGAGGGGACGGCGAGATCACGCACAGTCCTCGTCACGGACGGTGGCACCCGAGTGAAGGCCAGGCCCGAGAGATCGGCCTCCTCCTCCTCGTGCTCCTCGATGCTGGCCCATGGAGCCTTCTTGTCCATCGTCGCCGCACTGGCCCCGTTTGTGACACTGCCGCTCGCGCCTGCCTTCTTCTCTCTACTGGCATTTTGTTTAGGAGACACTCTGTATTTATCCTGAATCACAAATAATAAAAAAACAATACTCTTTGGTTTTTTCGGTAAAGTCACGTAGGTAAAAAAGAAAATAAAAACATTTAATTAAATCACGACGTTTCGGAGGCAACACAAGCCTCCGTCTTCAGGTGGAACCGTCACAGCAAAATTACTGTATTATTACACTTAAGCATGACAGCTTGAGTCTCGAGATGCTTTTCAGGAGGATCCTGTAAGGGGGGCATTGTGGCACGGTGGTCATACTTGTGCCTCACAACAATAACTGCCTGGGTTCAATTCCTGACTAGGGTTCTTTCTGTGCGACGTTTGTATGTTCTCCTCCTTTACTGCACGAATTCCCTCTGGGTTCTCCAGTTTCCTTCCACAGATAAACAACAATGTAAATTTCGATTTAAAGCTTTCGCGTCTGCAGGGATTCATATTCTTGGTTCTTTCGGTAAAGTCACGTAGAAGGGAAATAATAAATATAATAAATTTAACAATAAATATCTCACGACGCCACTTTTTTCAATTTTTCTTGCTGTGGTTATCACACCTGATGATGATTGCTTGTGTTGCAATCGAAACCTCATGAGAATTTTATTGTTTAATTTTTTATTATTTCCCTTCTTTGTGACTTTACCGAAAGAACCAATAACAATGTAAATGTTATTGGTACAAACATCCCAATACTTACAAAAATACCCAAATGTGATTACACACAGCAACGTCGCCCCCTACTGCAAATACTTGGCAGGACTCTCCTGAAAAATAGTTTTGAAGACTCTGTGAGGCTTTCCTGGGTAAATAAACAGAGTAGAAATAATAACACTGCAGCAACATGAAGCAACTTGCCTTGTAGAACGGAGCCAGTTTTTCTTTGAGCTTCAAGCCATAACGCTGTGCGGGACTGCCCTGTGGTGACGCTTCATGAGGCACGGGCAATTTTATTTGATTCTTTCTGTTGAGATGAGACCCCCACGTGTCCGATTCTGAGACCTAACAAAAGCAGCAACATTCATAAGTCCAGACAAGATGTTGGACACAACACCAACTTCATCATGTCTACAGGTTTCTCAGCGAGTCACAGCCATGTAACCATGTACGCCATAGCAAAATGGGAAAGATCCATACAAATAACCGTGTAGCGCTTTAGAAGAGATGCATCACATTCACTTATTTAGATGCGTGCCGGATTGGGGAGGGCCAATTGCCGAGATGAGCATTGGAGCGGTCTCTACGAGTCCGGCAACCAAGGGGTAGACCTAAGTTCAGATGATGGGTGACTGTCAGGGAAGATCTTGGTGGTCGCTGTGTGTCTACTGTGTAGCAGCTGCGAATTCTGAAGGAGGGGAGAAATCATTGATAGCAAGGAGCTGCGGTGGCATCAACGGTGAGGACATCTTGATCTTAGTGTATATAGGCAAGGCAGTGATAGAGGATCGAGGCGTGGGACTTTTCGAGGCAGCGTCTCTCACGTCGTCTTTAAGTGAAGGCTCCTCCACCACCGGCTGCACAGTTGCCTGGGCCTTCTTGAGGGCTGCGTACTCCTTGTACATCCCTGGGAGAGACGGCACTCGGTTAAAGGACACGTCAAAGTGAGTCCCCAAATTGTGGTGCTCTTCTCATTTACTGACCTGAGGCAGCAGTGGGGCATTCCACATTCCTAGGGCAGCAAGGAGAGCCATAAGAAACCGATGTTGACTTCTTCACAAAGTGGTAATTATTTTATCGACCCTGGAGGGATAATGGGCCGAGAGTCAACCCCCAACCAGGATGTGAACTCGCAACCTTCTAATTGCAAGCCGTTTTGCTCCACCACTGGGCCGCCCGGCTGAGAATAACGCATTCTCTGTGCAGCTTATGGCGTTCAGAATCAGAATATGTATTTATACTGCAGGAATCCGATGAGCTATAAAGCAATTTTTCACAGATGTTCAGTAGGGGCTGATAGGGACGTTACAATAACAAACAGTACAAAACCACGATGGTAGTGCAAAGTACAAGAAAGGTAAACAAATCACCCAAAAACCTACAAATACAACTAAACCATCCCCATCCTACCAGGCAAAGACCACTGAGGTATTAACTTATTTTTCAGAAGCGACCTGGCCACAAATGATAGCTCAACAAAGTGGCTTGTAATATCATCTCAGAGAGTCCCTGGCACGTAATAATTTGCTACACAGTGGAAGTGGGGGTCGCAAAATGCCGATACATTACTATTAAACCCCAATGATCGGATCGAAATCCCTAATTTCGAGCACGTGCCACCCCCCACTCCACTGGCTCTGCCAGTGTATATAATAGCATACCTGTCAACCCATACGGTTTACTTCTATTCTTGTACAGGGGAATTGACTTTCAGGGCCATACGGCATCTGTTTCAATAAAGGCAAAAAAAAATTGTCAATTTGTTTGTATTTCTCTCCTTGTGATGGGACTTTGTAGGATAAAAGTTGAGATTTACAAGGGCACGGGGTGACCAATAAGGTCTGAATTGGTCTGTAATAAAGCATGTGCTGATAAGGTGTTGACAGGTATGCCTTTCGCTGAAGTCCCGAGTGACAAAATCAGCTCCTCCCATCCCTGCCCGAAACCTCTCTCACCTTGGATCTCGGGCTCAGCCTCGATGTCCTCCTGAAACGCAGACACAAGGCAACACGTGAGTGGCCCCATCTACCACTCTCAAAACTCCCGTTCGACCTCCGAATACAACTCCTGCAACCAGTTTACAGGCAGAGTCGCAGGCCACATTAACCGGCGGTGCACATCCAATAATTATTATTTACGTACTCAGAGTGGATCATCCATTATACGGCAGCTTCTGGGGGGGGGAGAGTGTGCGCCGGATTTTCAAAAACGCCGGATAAAATCACATAATTATTCAAAAGAGCTTATTTTTGCAAAATTTAGCAAAACGTTGTGTTTTAAGGTATTCTGTAAATGTTTTTTTGGCCTTTTTTGTTATTGTTTCCTGGAATGGAATTGGCATAAACACAAATAGACAAAAATAAATATGCCACTGTAAAAGTTACTGGATATATTATTCCCTACTTACCACTTCAAACTCAAAAGACTCTGCATGAGGTGATGATGTACGTAGTACTACGCTCTTGTCTGAACAACATTCAACAAAATGTACGATCGCTGGACTGATTCAGCCTTTAGACTAGCGAATTAAACCCACTTTTCTCTGGATCACACTTTATATTTTCTGGGTTTTTTTTATTCCTGTAACTATATCGCCATCAAAAATGTGCATACGTGCAGTATTTTCATTAAGGTGTTGTATGTAGTGCATCATGTCCTGTATATAATATTTAACACTGAAATCAAGTGCAGCCAATGATCAATCAATGTCATCAATTAATAACCACGTCAACTTGTAACGAGCCAACGCAGTATCCGCTCATGCTCGTAGAGAGGGCAGCTCAGAACTGCTCGCTCTGCGGGTCCTCTGTTAGATGGTGCTTCAAAGAAATGCGAACACATCTGGGAATTTGCAACAATACCACAAGAAATGTGCCTCCGGGCTCTGGAGACCACCTGGAGAAGATTCCACGCATTTGTTGACAATTATGGCGAACAAGTGGAGACTCTTTGAAGCTATTAACATACATTTGTTATCATGTTACAGTTTCTTATCCGTTCTTTTTCCATTAAAAACGAAAGTCCCATATAAGTGTTAACAAAAACGCTTGAAGCACCCTGTATATTTTCGATTTAAAGCTTTCGTGACTGCAGTCACGTAGAAAGGAAACAATAAAATAAAAATATAAAATAATACAATTCTCACATTTCGACTGCAACACAAGGCACTGATAAGGGGTTGACAGGTATGCGGGTGTGATGTGAATTGTATAAGTACTGAGCTACAGATGTTAAACGGTGTGTACGCGTGTCGTTGGGTGTTTGAATTCCATTGACACCGTGCACTCGTGCGATGGCGTCAGGTGAAATGTCCCGTAAAAAAATAATTAGCATCGAGGCCCAGGAGCTCATCTCTCCTGCTTTACAACACCCGATCCAGTGGTGTGGAATCCCGCATTCATGTGGCGGAGGCGATTCTTATCATGGAGTAAACAGCTCCCTTCACTTCGTCTTCCCTACGAGGTGTTACTAAGTTTATCGATCCGAGAGGGATGATGAGAATGAGGTTGACGACGATGATGATGATGGGCTGAGTCAACCCCCACAACCAAAGGATGTGAACTCGCAAGCTCTCCGCGATTGCGAGCCACGCGGGCGGTTACAGGATGATGACCATGCGTCCCTGCCACTGACCTGCCTGCCACGTTGACCACTGACCTCCCTGCCACGGTGACCTCTGACCTCCCTGCCACGGTGAACACTGACCTCCCTGCCACGGTGACCTCTGACATCCCTGCCACGGTGAACACTGACCTCCCTGCCACGGTGACCTCTGACCTCCCTGCCACGGTGACCACGGTGACCACGGTGGCCACGGTGGCCACGGTGGCCACTGACCTCCCTGCCACGGTGACCTCTGACCTCCCTGCCACAGTAACCACTGACCTCCCTGCCACTGACCTCTCTGCCACGGTGACCACTGATCTCCCTGCACGGTAACCACTGACCTCCCTGCCACGGTGGCCACTGACCTCCTTGCCATGTTGACCTCTGACCTCCCTGCCACGGTGACCCCTGCCCTCCCTGCCACGGTGACCCCTGACCTCCCTGCCACGGTGACCCCTGACCTCCCTGCCACGGTGACCCCTGACCTCCCTGCCACGTTGATCACTGCCCTCCCCGCCACGTTGATCACTGCCCTCCCCGGTTCGCACTAGAGATGCGATGCCACCCCCACGCCCCCGGCCCCCCCCCGCACCTTGCGGGCCTTGCGCTGCCGGAGTGACGCGAACTCGGCCTCCCACTGCTGCAGGCGCCTCTTGAGCGCGGCGAGGCGCTCCATGCCGACGAGACTCCCCGCACGAAGAGCAGGTTCCACACACAGAGAGAGAGACTCCACACACACAGAGAGATACTCCCTGCACACACACACAGAGACTCCACACACACACAGAGACGTTCACACACACACAGAGAGACACTCCACACACACACAGAGAGATGCTCCACACACACAGAGAGAGAGACTCCCTGCACACACACAGATAGACTCCACACACACAGAAAGACTCCACACACACACAGAGAGAGACACACACACACACACAGATGTTCACACACACAGAGAGATGTTCACACACACAGAGAGATGTTCACACACACCCACACAGAGAGATGTTCACACACACACAGAGAGAGATGTTCACACACACACACAGAGAGATGTTTCACACACACAACAGAGAGAGATGTTCACACACACACACACAGAGAGATGTTTCACACACACACACAGAGAGATGTTCACACACACACAGAGAGAGATGTTCACACACACACAGAGAGAGATGTTCACACACAACACACACACACAGAGAGATGTTCACACACACACACAGAGAGATGTTCACACACACACAGAGAGAGATGTTCACACACACAGAGAGATGTTCACACACACACAGAGAGAGATGTTCACACACACACACAGAGAGATGTTCACACACACACACAGAGAGATGTTCACACACACACAGAGAGAGATGTTCACACACACACAGAGAGAGATGTTCACACACACACACAGAGAGATGTTCACACACACACAGAGAGAGATGTTCACACACACACAGAGAGAGATGTTCACACACACACAGAGAGAGATGTTCACACACACACACAGAGAGAGATGTTCACACACACACAGAGAGATGTTCACACACACACAGAGAGAGATGTTCACACACACACAGAGAGAGATGTTCACACACACACAGAGAGAGATGTTCACACACACACACAGAGAGAGATGTTCACACACACACAGAGAGATGTTCACACACACACAGAGAGAGATGTTCACACACACACACAGAGAGATGTTCACACACACACACAGAGAGATGTTCACACACAGAGAGAGATGTTCACACACCACAGAGAGAGATGTTCACACACAGAGAGAGATGTTCACACACACACACAGAGAGATGTTCACACACAGAGAGAGATGTTCACACACACACAGAGAGAGATGTTCACACACACACACAGAGAGATGTTCACACACACACACAGAGAGATGTTCACACACACACAGAGAGAGATGTTCACACACACACACAGAGAGATGTTCACACACACACAGAGAGAGATGTCACACACACACACAGAGAGATGTTCACACACACACACAGAGAGATGTTCACACACACACAGAGAGAGATGTTCACACACACACAGAGAGAGATGTTCACACACACACACAGAGAGATGTTCACACACACACAGAGAGAGATGTTCACACACACACACAGAGAGATGTTCACACACACACAGAGAGAGATGTTCACACACACACAGAGAGAGATGTTCACACACACACACAGAGAGATGTTCACACACACACAGAGAGAGATGTTCACACACACACACAGAGAGATGTTCACACACACACAGAGAGAGATGTTCCACACAACACAGAGCGAGAGAGCTCCTGCACACACACAGCATAGAGATGACTTCCACACCCACCACAGAGAGATGTTCCACCACACACACAGGAGGAGACTGTCCCACACATACACACCACAGAGGCTGTTCACACCACACAGGAGAGATGTTCACACACACATCAGAGAGATGGTCACCCCACACACAGAGAGATGTTCACCACACACCCACAGAGGAGCATGTTCACCACACACACGAGAGATGTTCCACACACACACACAGAGAGAGATGTTTCCACACAAAACACACACAGAGAGAATGTTTCACACACACACAGAGAGAGATGTTCACACACAACACAGAGAGAGTTCACACAACACAGAGAGAGATGTTCACACACACACACACAGAGAGAGCTGTTCCCCACACACACAGAGAGAGATGTTCACACACACAGAGAGAGATGTTCACACACACACAGAGAGATGTTCACACACACACACACAGAGAGATGTTCACACACACACAGAGAGATGTTCACACACACAGAGAGATGTTCACACACAGAGAGAGATGTTCACACACACACACACAGAGAGAGATGTTCACACACACACAGAGAGAGATGTTCACACACAGAGAGAGATGTTCACACACAGAGAGATGTTCACACACACACACAGAGAGATGTTCACACACACACACAGAGAGATGTTCACACACACACAGAGAGAGATGTTCACACACACACAGAGAGAGATGTTCACACACACACACAGAGAGATGTTCACACACACACAGAGAGAGATGTTCACACAGAGAGAGCGGCTCCCTGCACTGAGCGACTCCTCTCTTGCAAAAGCGCGCGCTCGGCCCAGCCGGCCAATCGACGGGCGAGGCCGCCTCGACCAATGGAGACGCGGCGCGAGTGTCACGTGGCCCCCGTCCGCCAATTAAAGATCACGAAGCTGAGCGCGAGCTGCTCCTATTGGCGCGCGCGGCGTCACAGTTCGCGGGGAGGCGGAGTTACTCAGTCAACACCATAAACACCACACACCACACTCAGTTAAACACAAACACCACACACAGTTATACACCACACTCAGTCAGTCAGTCAACACCACACACACCACACTCAGTTATACACCACACACACCACACTCAGTTATACACCACACACACCACACTCAGTTATACACAAACACAGTCAGTCAACACCACACTCAGTTATACACAACACACACTCAGTTATACACCAAACACAGTCAGTCAGTCAACACCATAAACACCACACTCAGTTATACACCACAAACACCACACTCAGTTATACACCACACACACCTCAGTCAGTCAACACCACACTCAGTTATACACCACACTCAGTTATACACCACACACACCACACTCAGTTATACACCACACACAGTTATACACCACAACCACTACACTCAGTTATACACCACACACACCACACTCAGTTATACACAAACACTCAGTTATAGACAAACACAGTCAGTCAACACCACACACACCACACTCAGTCACACACCACACTCAGTTATACATCACAGCCACACTCAGTTATACACCACACTCAGTCACACACAAACACCACACTCAGTTATACACCACACTCAGTTATACACCACAAACACCACACTCAGTCATACACCACACTCAGTTATACACCACACTCAGTTATACACACACACAAACACCACAGCCACAGTCAGTCAACACCACACTCAGTTATACACCACACACAAACACCACAGCCACAGTCAGCCACACAACCACCACAGTCAGTCACACAAACACCACAGCCAGTCACACAAACACCACAGCCACAGTCAGTCACACAAACACCAGTCAGTCACACAACACCACAGTCAGTCACAAACACCACATCCGCAGTCACACAAACACCACAGCCAGTCACAACACCACAGTCACACAAACACCACAGTCAGTCACAAACACTACAGTCAGTCATACAAACACCACAGCCACAGTCACACAAACACCACAGTCAGTCACAAACACTACAGTCAGTCATACAAACACCACAGCCACAGTCACACAAACACCACAGTCACACAACACCACAGTCAGTCACACAAACACCACAGTCACACAAACACCACAGCCAGCCACACAAACACCACAGCCACAGTCACACAAACACCACAGCCAGTCACACAAACACCACACTCAAGTCATCTTTGTGTCTCTATAGGTTTACTATACAGCCCAAAACTTGGGTTGCATGGCCAATCACACTACTGTGGCTTGTATGTCATTTTACACTTATGAAAAGGTACACGTCGTGACGCGGTTGATGTTACACCAGTGTCTTCGAAGAGGTGTGATGTTTGGGTCTCGAATAAGGCGTCTATTCTGTCTGTCCGTGTTGTGTTGTTCCATTCTGTCCACCACAGAGTTCTTCTGGGTAAATTCCAGCATGGTGACAGCAGTGCGGTCCCAGAAGGGGGATCGGGACTTGAGCCGGCAGTAGCTGGGAACGATGTTGAGGGCTTGGTTGATGGGGTAGGTGGTTGATGGCAAGAAACGTGTAAACTCCTTTGCAGTTTACATGCGAATATTTGGTAGAGAGAGAACCACTGTTTTACACACAAGCCCACCGACTCACACAGAGAGACATATTAAAATGCAGATACAAATCACTCGTTAGACTCAGAGACTGAAATGTGCTTAAACTCAGGCCTCAAGTGTAGTGAGTTTCTCACCACACCAAAGACATAGATCCCCTGTATAGCCTTTAACAGACTGTTGGGGCAATTTCTGTTAGCGAGTACCTATGAAGGCTGACACGGCACACGAAGGTACGGCCAGCAGCACGCCCGGCCGCCTTTATCTCCCCCGTGGTGATGTTTACACCACATCAGGTACTCATTTGAGGCTGAGTCGCACTCGAGGAGGCCCATGACCAGTTCAAATAGTCGTTACTGGTGCTGGCTGTGAGCGGGATCCGAACTTGAGTCGCAAGATATAGCGCAGCACGCTAACCGCTACACTACCGCTCCCCACACAGTACCATACACCACACAGCTGCTCACAAACATTATAACACTTTAATAATAGGTTTTTACCCTTTCCACTGGTACAAAACTGACACCTTTATACAAGGGATCATGTTTGCAATAGCCACAACACAAGCAGTCAAAATGCAAACAAAAAGAAACAACTCTGATAATGATTCGCAGCATCACCTCAATCGCCTCCTTCAAGAGACACTTAAAAACTCACCTCTACAATCATGCTTTTGAGCGACTCTGAGCTTGGCTCCGCGCCTCTGAGTTGCGGCCACTACGTCTGCAAATTTGCGCGCGTTACAAATTGTACTATTATTATTATAAGCACTGTCCTTGAAGTTGATTGGTCCACACCCGAGACAGCTTTTCTTAGAGCCTAGTCTCCATGATCCCTTGTATAAAGGTGTCAGTTTTGTACCAGTTGAATGGGTAAAAACCTATTACTGTATTTTGCCACTGCTAAGGGAGACCTCATAGTGTTATAACTCTTTATTTGCTTAGCACAAGTATAAGTTGCGGTTCATGAGTAATACACACAATTAACTTCAACGCCGTACGCAGGAGACCGACAGCCGTGCGAGAGTCGCAGCCTTCTGCACAGACAACCTCAGTCGAGGCACGCCTTGAGTATGTGACCATTCTCTTGGTTCTTTCGGTAAAGTCACGTAGAAGGGAAATAATAAAATAATAAAAATAAACCATAATAAAATAATCAAAATAAACCATAATCAAATAATATTATTTCCCTTCTACGTGACTTTACCGAAAGAACCAAGAAGATGAATCCCTGCAGTCACGAAAGCTTTAAATCGAAACTGTGACCATTATTTTCTGCAAACAGCATTTAATGTGCCAACTGTGGGCAATGGCAGCTGATCAGATCGCCACCTTTCCCACTCTAGACCAAACCCAGACATTTCTCAGTCAGCCTATAGGTCTTATCAAAACTGCGCAGCGTACTGTAATACTGTTCGGCACAATACCCATACCAGATCGCGGTACTAATCAGTTCCTGTAACTCGAACACAGACGCCAATTCCTGGACTGCCCGGGTCAAACCCAGGCCAGTGGCAACTTTGGCGCCAGCTCACGACGCTCTGCTCTTGCGGCGTTCATGAAATTCCTCGCAGAGGTCAGGGCCGGCTGGGTGATCTGCTGGCTCAACTCCAAAGTCTGCGTGAAATGCGCGGCTACTCCCCTCGTTAAAGTTTTTTCAATATTGTGGTGGCGGTGGCGACTCTGGCATCCGCAGCGCAGCACTCACACCGTGGCCAGCCTCAGCTGCTCCCCGCGTATGGCTGCAGGGCACAGGGGGGGGGGGGGTTCAGGAAAAGTGTTTAGGCAGGGGGCTTGGATAATGGCGACACAGGCAGCACAGGCACCATTACATGGACGAATTTGCTTCCCGTGACTTCGAGTGAGTTCTTGCTCAAATGGACATTGAGGCAGTGCTCATCTTCTGTTTACAGCTCTAATTCAGCGGTCGAAATTCCATGCTCGTATGGTGGGGGCAGGTATATCCATAGGACAACCACCGATGGCTTCCTCACAAAAGTAGAACTCATTTGATCAACTCTCGAGGGATGGAAGATGGGCTGAGTCAAACCCCAACTGGGATTTGCCACTTGTTCAAGTCCAGGCTCAAAACCTTCCTCTTTTTATCTGCCTATACGTTTTTCCCCCTCTCTATCCTTCGGTACAGCATCTAAAAATGCAGTCACAATATGAACCAAAATTGCAACCCACGACGTAGCTCAAGACACAGCATCCAGGCTCCAGAACTCACCATTTACGATTTCCTCTTTCATTAATTTCAGCTCCTTCTTGACTTCTTCCAAAATTTCCTTCAAAACATAAAGAGATGTGACAGCTGCGACCGGCAGTCTTGGGCCAGTGGCGCCACCAAGTCACTCGGCACCAACATCGGCCATGTGGCACCTCTACTCATTGCCGGCTTTTTTTGCGTAACTGCATTAAAAACGGAAAAACCTTATTACCATCTAGATTTGAAGCTTTCGTGACTGCAAGGATTCATACTCTTAGGTTTTTTCGGTAAAGTCACGTAGGTAAAAAATAAAAATGAAAAATAACTCTATTAAATCACGACGTTTCGGAGGCAACACAAGTCTCCGTCTTCAGGTGGGACCCACTTGATACAGTAAATTTGGCTGTGACGGTCCCACCTGAAGACAAAGACTTGTGTTGCCTCCGAAACGTCGTAATTTAATTCAGTTATTTTTCATTTTTATTTTTTACCTACGTGACTTTACCGAAAAAACCTAAGAGTACCTTATTACCAGTTTGCCGCATGTACAGGAATGTGCAGAGCAATAAACATCACAAGTTTTAGCGTCAAGCGAGAAACAAAAGGAGATGCCATGGTGTTAATGGTCAATCCAGCACCCATATCTGTCGGAGAGGGGGGGTCCTTGGCTGTAAACATCTGGCAGCTCACCGGCATTGGTTGAAATCGGGGAAGGAGGCGAATTGTCTGCTAAGTTATTTATTTCGTTCATAATATCCTATACAATGGCACTGGTGATAATTTTGTGTTAACATTAATTGACATATTTAACCGAGATGCAAGAAAATCCCCATGAAGACAGATGGCATCTCATTGTCCTGTGCGAGCCTCGGCCTACCAGCTTCAGCCTCTCCAGGTCAATGCCTTCTGCTCCCCTGCGCACACACGCGCACACACACACACAAACACGTTCACATGGATAAAAACGAGCGTGAGCAGCGATGCGACACTCGCGTACATGACGCAGACGTCGCAAACGGGTTTTGATTCCTTACCCGTACCCGGCCGCACCAGGGTTGCAATCGGGTACCCGTACCCGTACCCTACCCGATACCCGGCTACCCATACCCGGCTGGGTATCGGGTAGGGTACGGGTACGGGTACCCGATTGCGACCTCTGGGATGAAGCCATGTTGCAGGCGCGGGTGGGTTGATTCTAGGAACTTGAATTGTGAGAAGAGACAAGACGTTGGGAAATGAGTGACAAACAGTTACTCACCAGTGACTCACGGCCTACCCGTACCCGGCCGCACCAGGGTCACAAACGGGTACCCGTACCCGTACCCGGTCGGGTACGGGTAGCCGGGTATCGGGTAGGGTACGGGTATCGGGTACCCGGTTGCGACGCTCGTGTACACGACGCAAGCAAGAGACAGTCCCCGGGACTCACACGTGGCTGCACTCACCCTGCTGCATCCTGCTGCTGCCAGTGCAACCGCTCAAACCTCCGGGGTGACTCTCGCCTGCTCACGAAACCACACGACAGACAGTTGTTTTTTTTCGTTGAAATATTTCAACCTGGCTAATCCCTTGAGATGGAACATCTCGTTTGCAAGGGGTCCCAGGCAAAGGCAGAAAGAAGGCAAAGGCAGAGGAAAGACAGGAGCGCACGATGGCCAGAATTCCAGATAATGCAGATTTGAATTTACTCAAAACACGTATCTGCTTCTCTCTCTGAGAAGCATCCACCAAGATTTCATAATTCATCATCAGCAGCCATGATCGATCCAATGTGAGATGAAGGCCTGACCATGCCGCCACCATCACCTCTCTCACGAACCTGCAATGGAATGATCCATCCAGCACCTGCACGTGAACTGGTATCATTGCTCCATCTCCCCGGTGGAGGTCTCTCAGATGCGTTCCATTCCAAGGCTGCCACTCCTCATCGTCCCTTGTATGTATATTTAACTTTTTCGCACCGTACATAGCCAACCCTTCCAGCGGTGACATGTCCTGCTCAACCCCACTCACTTTTATAACAGTTGGGATGATGTCTCTAACCTGCGTATGTTCTCTAATTCATGTGCTCGTTGGTCTGTCTCTCGATGAAATTCCAAGCGTGCATCTCGGCACACCTTCCAATTTGTGTTCTGTATTTTTCATGAATAGCCGCAGCGCTTCTGATTCATACGTCACAGCAGATGGGGTGCATGCCGTTGAAACGCTTGCTTTTCGAGGCACATGGCTGCGTAACTTTTCACCATCAAGCTGGGCTTTTTAAAAGCGCCCTACTCTGCCCTCGTCCGCTGATTTGTTTCATCGGTTTGACGTCGGTCAACTGCACACACGGTGAGGCTGCTGTGGGAGGTGTCCTTCAGTGCCTGCGCCTGCACCACAATGTCACACCCACGCCAGCCCACGGCCGGGGTGACTCTGCGTTTGATGACGTCGCCAACATTGAGAGAGAAGAGGCGGTCACGCTTAAGAAACTCCAACAATGAATGGCGACTGTCCACTATTGCTAGGTTATTGTAAGAGCTTGGGGAAAATAAGACGGCGGGAGGAAATTACACAGTCGAGCAGTGCGAGGGGAGATGCAGAAACAGAGTTTCGAAGACATTCGGCAAACTCAGTACACTTGTGACAACGCAGCGATGTGGACACAGGAGAATTACCGGGAGACAATGGGAGACCAGCTTCCATTGACGGCGCCGGGTCTCTCCCATGGCTTCCTGGCACTGTCTGCCACGCGGAGGAGAGGAGAGGAGAGCAGCGTCACTCACAGAGCCCAAAAAAACGGGCAGCCGCACACACTAGCGCAGCAGCCAAGCGTGGTATTGCTCCTGTTAACCCGATAACGTTGCCACTCTGAACGCCCATCGTCTACAATCCACAAAATAATCCTCACCTCCATTGTAGAGGATATTATCAAAATGAATAAGGAGACAATTCGCCCCCTTTTCATATCTGTTTTTCACACATCCTATCAGCCACGCTGCCTTCAAGGAGTGAGTTATTTCAGCAGCATGTTTTCAACACAAGCAAACACTGGTCCGTTTTCAACATTCAGTGTCTCCTCAGCAGAACCATATCCTGGTGGACATTGCCAGGTGTTTATAGCCAGGGACCCTCTCCATTCGATACGGGTCCACGAATAAGAACGATACAGTTGCTCTCTAGAGATTCGCATGAATCAGAATGAATCTGCACTCGGGTTGAGAAATGAATGGCAGGCAGTGTTACAGTGCACAAGCAGCGTCAAGTGTAGCTCCCGTAAGAATGAGACTGGAGCGGAAATAAAGCAGCAGTGGTGAGCGGTGGCAGCGCCCCACCCAGACTTCAGAAGCCAAGCAAATGCAGACGCTCACTGGGGGTGCTGCTGCTCCTCACTGCGTCCCCCCCCTTCTTCTCTTCCTCCTGTACACCCCACACATCACCTCTGGTTAGCACGGTTGGCTACGTACGGTGCAAAAGAAGGTCAGCATGCATCACGTGACACCCCACAAGTCTAGTGACACACCACGTTACCTGCGTATCGATGGTTACATTTTAACGTGCTATTTTATAGAGGGATGGTGTGTTTTCTTGGTGTGGTCTGGGACTGTTGTTTTTCTGCCTTGCCCAAGCTGTTGTTGTAACTGGCTGACCCGCCCCTACTGAACATCTATTAAAAAAACAGCTTCATAGCTCATCGGATTCCATCGGATTCCTCCAGGATAAATACAGATTCTGATTCTAATCAAGTGACACCCACACAGCACGCGGCACCCCACACATCACGCGACGTACCACACATCACGTGACACACCACACATCACGTGACACACCCCACATTCGCACGGTCGGCTACGTACGGAGCGAAAGAAGTTCAACATACACCACACATAACGTGATACACTACGCATCATGTGACACACCGCACAGCACCACCCCTATACCTTCACTCTCACTGGTGTGTGCGCTAACAAGAGTAGCGATGTACCTTGGCAGCGTCTGTTTTGTCCTTGTCGACATCGACTTTCCCTTCAGCGATCCTCCGCCTACGCAGAATGTAGACCCCCGGCGCGATTTGTCACGTATCCAAGTGGGAGGGGGGGGGGAGATGATATCGAAAGGGCTTCACCAAGCCCAGTGGCTGGCGTGGTGAAGCATGGTGAAACAATAATTGCATCATCACGGGGCAACTGTTAATTGCGTGCGTAAGAGTTGTCCTTGCGGAGCTGCCCTGTGACGGGCGTGGCGGCACGTGCGGACCGTACCTGCGCGCCAGCAGGGCGCTCATCTCCTCCATGAGGCTGCCGCCCGCACCATCGACACCGGCGGTGCCGTTGAGACGCGCAGCTCCCTCCCCCCTCTCGCACTCGGGGCCACACTCGGGGCCGCACTCGCGCTGTCACAAGGGCAAAAGCGGCGCTGGAACGACTTCTCGAACTCCCCCTCCTAGCCATTAACTCAGCGGTCCCCAACCTGAGGGGGTGCAGGCTGTGGCATGGATACCATGCAGGAGAAATTTGGAACGCACGGGGAAAGTCAGCTCCACGTTGCTGTGACAAAAACACCAATATACAATATACAACATGAAACACATGCCTCACGGGCACTGCGTTGATTAGAGGCGAGGGCACGTGACCTTTGTGTGTGCTGTGGCCTTAGTAACCTAGGGGGCACCACTGGAATAAGAAGGTGAGAGCTAAGAGGGCAGGAGCCAAGAGTGTCCTGGGCCACCAACCGACAAAAGCAATAACAGAAATAAAGCAAAACAATTAACCAAATAGAAACCAGCGCAAAAACAACAAACTACTAATTCGTAAAAGAAGAAATAGAAAAAGTACAAAAAACGGTCAGTGAAATCCAGTTACAGAAACAGCGTGTTTTAGGATGATCGTCACGCCCGTGGGTAAACGCGCATGGACACGGGGAACAGAAGGGGCCCGGCCATAAGAGCGCCCTCGCCACCCCGTGCTGCCCCGTACCATCCCGTGCCAACCCGTGCCAACCCGTGCCAACCCGTGCCAACCCGTGTCGAGGGATTCGCTATCACTCACGTGCGGAGTCCTGCGGAGCTTGGCAGCCGAGAGGGCAGATGCGAGGCTGCAGAACGGAGTCGGGGAGAGGCCGGGGGAGGTGGGGGACGACACTCGCCATGGAGAGAGGCGCACGGGCGGTGGCGGCGGTGGGGGCGGGGGCGGCGGTGGGGGGGGCGGGGGGGGCGGGGGGGCCGCAGATTGCCCCCCCCCAGCGGGGGGCTCAGTCTCCTCAGCTGCACGACCGCAGACGGGGAGCAAATGAGTGGCGCAGAAAACAGAGTGGAGTGCAATGTGACACTCTCACTTCGCAGGAGCAACATCGTCTCTGGGAAATTCCGTCTGAGTCTGGTGTCTGTGCGAGTCTGCTGTCCGTGTGCATTTGTCCCATTTTTCCCGGCGTGGACGCAGATGTTTCCCTGGTTTCGCGATCGGATGCTCACCGCAATCGGACGACGCCTCGGAGTCGACGGAGAAGGAGCTCGCAAGCCGTGGGTGGCGGATGCGAGCGTGGGCCGGGCGCTCCAGCCTCGCCGGCTCCGCTCCGTTCAGCTCCAGCTGTGAGCTCGCCGGGAGGTCATCGCGCAGGCCATCACTCCCCACGTCTTCCTCCTCTCTCCTCTCCTGCTGCTGCTGCACCGGCCTACGCCCTGCGCCGTTTGCGGTGCGTGCCATGAGTGGGCTGAAGGGCACAGCGACGGGCCCAAAGGGCCGGAAGCCTCGGGCCCTCAGGAGCGGTGAGCTCACCACGATGGGGGGGGAAGCTGGGGGCGGGGGGGTTTGAGAGGAGACGGCGGTGCGGGCCAGAATATGGGGGGCCCCTCCAACCGGCGTGGGTGAGGGAGAGCTCTGGGACCTGACCCATGGTCGGGGACCTCCGCAAGGCCTCACGGGGTGAAAGGCCGAGCCCAGAGACGTGGCGAACTTGGAGGCCGAGTGGCGCAGTGGGGGGTCCGGGGGGCCTGCGGGGCTGCAGGACGCGGCCCCGACGGAAGAAGGCGAGGGGGGTCCCCCGTTGAGGGGAGCTGAGCCACAGGGGATGATCTCTGACAGGGGGGAGCTCAGGGGGAGCTCTGTGGTGGGAGCTCTCGCCGCTGTTTACGAGAGAAACCGAAAACATTAATAATAGTGCAGCATGCCGCCCTCATTCCGTGCTATTCGTAATGCGAAAAACACCGCTTACTTTTCCGCTATCAGATGACAAACACGGTCTGCGACTCATTAAAATAACGTCCTACTCTAAATGCCAACGTGTAACATTAGACACAATATTCCGCGGACATCGCTGCTCATGGCCCCGTCGCACAAAGCGCAATCGCGAGTTAGCAGGGCTGGGCACGACGGGCGCTTACATGTCGACGTCTCCGCGCACCGCTCCCCCGACCTGGCGCCGTCCGGTAGCGACCCCGTCCCTGCCTCCCCTCCCGTAATCTGCTGCTTCCTCAAATTCTCCTTTCTCCCTGTGTCTCCATGCCTCGCTTGCTCGGGCCATCTGCTGCACGGGAAAGAGTTCAACAGCCACGGCGCAAAGGCTGTGATCACGAACGTCAACCGAACACGAAATCTTCACCCCGACTAAAACACCACCACCGGCCATGCGACACCGGGGCTCACGTTAGGGCTGGCACTCTGGTTACAGCTTAAGGGGAGTAAGGGTTAGGGTTGGGGCACACCACCCACGCTGCCACCACTCACTTTACAAACGGCTTCATGAGGATGGCCGAGTCTGAAGAGCAGCGCTCAATTCGCGGAGCTCAGCGCCACTCACGCCGTCTCCTCCGACTGCGACGCGCGCTCTCACCAGCGCTCGGTTATTTATAACCACAGACCTCACGACATGACACGGGCTCCACACAGATCACGACAGGGGCTCCCACACGGCGAGACTAATCTGGGACCGGGATGCAGACCGATTCAACAACACCGATTTAAGTGTGCGGCTTAAAAGAAAGTTTCCATTAGACGTCGCCGGGTGGCTTTGCGTGTTCAAAATGGCCCTATCAGGCCTCCGAGCCAGCAACCAACAAGATCCTGGGTTCAAATCCAGGTCTTGGTCACTCATAATGAATTGGGCTCGTTGAATTAAGCGAAGCGACCTGATGCGTGAACTCATGCACATGTGGCTTAATAGATATTACTTCGCATTATATTTGGTTTTAATTTTACTCCTTTAAAGATTTAGGTTTATTTATCCCTACGTACAGAGCGAGATAAGTTTAACATACATAGGTGTCACAAACAGGGAGGAGTGGTGGCAGAGTGGTTAGCGCACTGCACTAGAAACCCTGCAACCCGAGTTGATTCACGAACGCAGCCAACATCAGTGGAGAGATTTCTGAACCGGTGGGAACCCTCACTCAAAAGTGCACATCACTGCACAATCTCACACCTCTCCCTCACTACAAACTCTCTACGACTGTTCACCACAGCACAGGGTCCCACTCTTGAGGTCCTACCCACAGGGGCCCCCCACCCTCGGGGTCCCGCGCGTCACCTGCTGTCCCCAGGAGGAGTGCCCCCCCCTTGCGAGTCCCGGGCAGCGACGCAGCCCCGCGTGGTGGATGAGCCGCTCCGCGTCAGTGTGGGACCTGCGTGGTCACGGGGCCCTCGTCAAGTACCGCGCCACCTTGCCCACACCACCGCAACGTAACCACAACTCGCAACACAATCGCAACAAGCACGCATCTCGTCCGATAGGGCACCGGCCGCTTCGTTTACTCCCTGTGCCCGGTTCAAGCCTGGGGCTCATTTGGTTGACCAGGTCTCGAAAGAGCAGGACCAAGGTCTCATTGGTAAGAGAAACTCGGGTCACCCACAACACAAACGCATTCATGTAAACGCAATGAAGAAAATCGAAATCGGAGAAAAAACAACTGCGTTACAGAAGAAATCTTAAGCATGAATCACATACAAGGCAAAATTAAGTCAAAATTGAATGTAATTGCCTAAAAGGAAACTTCGCTCAAATTATTTTAAAAAACTGAAGAGTAGAATGAGACCTCACAAAATGGAGAACGAGGGAAAACCGTGACCCCTCAATCACAACACACTCGTCTCGCCGCAGTAGCACTCGTACGACACGGAAACCGCACGAACATCGAAACCCCCGTGGACAGGAACGCAGTGGCGGTGCGGTGGTAAAAGCACAGGGTGGAAAGTGGGAAACTCACTCATGAGCACGATGTCGGTCCTGCTGATCTTGCGCACTGGGAGCTGCTGAGCCATGGGCATTGCTCTCGCCAAGTGGGGCCGCAGTGGACGAATCGGTGGTGACGGCAATTCCGCTGTGACAGACGATGGCTCCGTGCCGGCGCGGTCAGCGACACGCAGCTGTCAAACGTCGCGCGACGTTGTTGAGCAGGAGGCGGCAGCAGCACGCGGGCGTCGGGTTACGGATATGTTTTTATGTTTTTGTGTTTTCGTGTTTTTGGCCGGGAGGGCTTTATAGGCGGCGCTACGCTGGGCGGGATGCACGACGAGCTTATTTAAGACGCGTCGCCAAAAATAGCAACGTCAGCTGCCACGGCGTGGGTTCACGCATACGTTCACTCACACGTTGACTCGTAGAACACACGTCACGTCGTGGTACACAGTTGAACTTGCAGAGACATAAAAACGATCTAAAGGAAAGAATAAAATGTACGCGGATGCTGACCGCACAAGCGCAGAACAGACGCTGCCATTGGCGCACTCCTCTGGACTCCAGGGATCGAGTCGGGCAGGTGCGGCGGTATGCTCGAAGAGACAGGACCCCCGAGTCGAGCGCCAGACAAGGACCCCCGTGTCTGGCATCGAGCGACTGGGCACGCATCCAGCACCGTGCAGCTGATGGTCTCCCAGGAGGGTTTTACACATCATAGCCCGGGACGCGTGGAATCTGGAGTGCGCCGGGTTCATGGAGCCAGAAAATACGCAGTCGACGCGATTCCCAAGGTGCAGCGGGGAAAGCGAGGGGCCGTCCTGACCTCCTACGAGCTCAGCCGAGGCCTGATGCCTTGGGCCAATGCCTCACTCAACTCTATGGAGAAACCCTCGGCGATGCCGTCACCTGGAGTGGCACACAAAGGCCTTAGAGGCAGAACATCTGAACGCGGTGCTCTCCAAGCCTCCACAGGAAGTTACTGATGGAGCTAAGTTGAAGCAAGATGCATCATCCACCAGAATTGTCTTGATAGAAAATCAGCGATGGCAATGAGCGATTGTGGTCTTATCTCAATATTTGTATTGAAATCGGTGTGAATATTATCACTGCTGGCCCGACGGTAGAGCGAGCGCGCGTGCAATTGGAAGGTCGTGAGTTCGAATCCTGTTTGGGGGTCGTCTCGGCCCATCATCTCTACCTCTGGAGTAAAAAAAAAATTCATCACGTGGGGAAGTCAACGGTGTTGCTCCGTTTGCTTTCGAGGACCTGGGCAGCGTAGCAGTTATGAGCAGCGCGCACACAGCCGCAGAAACACAAACCACGGACACGAGGACACCGGTAACCCAAGGTTTATTCTCCGGTTAAGGACAAAGTCAACAAAGCCAAACTACTGAGCGGGAACCCATAGATCCCATAACATGAGATTCATGTGCACCCTGCATCTCCCCAACCCCATGCCAGGAGCTGCCTGCATGGCCACGATACCTATGAACACACAGACATTTCTTTACTTTATTAACAGACTCATATCCCCCCCGCTGAATGAGATCAGTTACTTGTGTCACTCCGACATTACTGCTGGTCCGAGAATTAGTCCGGGATTCGTGTCCGCGTATTCGCCAAAGCAGTACAAATGGAAACACCGTAGTCGATCGATCAGCAGGTCGCATGTGCAGGGATAAAGTGTGGGCACACCCACCTCTTCCAACACACACGTCTGTTCAGCGTGGAAGAGTAGGCCAAATACCATCTAGAGATCCGTCTGGCGGAGGCCACTGCCACCAGCCGCGGTTGCAGGGCTGCACCTTTATCGCCAATGCCTTGTCGTTAAGAGGCCCCGTGAGGCGTCGCCGCGAGGGAGAGGCCTGTGCGGTCACTCACCCTGGTCCCGGTGGAAACAGCGCAGCCTCGAGGGGGGACCAGCAGGGGCGACCCGGCCACTAACGAGGGCCCTAGGACCCCTCCCCCCCTCTACGACAGTCTCGCAAGATGCAGCAGCAGCAGCAGTCTCGCAAGACAGGAAAGCGACACCCAGGGTACAAATCAACTTTAGCGCTCCGGCAATCAACTGAAACGTCAGCCGAACCGATCTCTCGTTTAGTTTCTGGAATGTGGGGGTGACGACGCGACGAGTCTCCCCATGTTGTGTCGCCACCGGCGTGGCGCTGAATTCCGCGTGGACCACCCGGCCCCGCCGCCTCCGCCCTCACCACAACCTCCTCGGCTGCTGCACCCGGATGTGGGGGTTGGCCAGGGGGTCGAGCAGGGGGTCGCTGTCGGCCGCCCCCCGGCCCAGCTGGCTCATGACCAGCAGTAGCGTGAGGAATGCCAGCAGCCCCAGCACCAGCAGCACAACTCGGCGCTGCCTCCGGGCACCGGCCACCAGAGACGCGTCCTTCCTGCGCGACTGCGGGGCCGACCGTGACCTGAATGCGTGCGGAGAAACAACGCACCGTCGCCAATTGGCAAGCGCCCAGATGCCAAACCGAGGCGACAGCCCGACAGCACGCGAAGGTGGCGATGCAAAGCACGCTCACCGGAACCAGCGGGCGAGCCACTGCAGCGCCGGGCGTCGCCGGTACTTGTCTTCGTCCGTGTCGACGTGGATGCTCGTGGATTGAAAGGGCTCCCGGGCGGTCGCGTCGTACACCTTCCTCTGCGCCGATGCCACCGGGCTCGCTGGAGGCAAACGGAGGTGAAGCAGGAGAGGAAGACGCGAGCTTAAGCCTTAAACCATGATGCCTTTCGTGGCGAATGCAGAGGCGCACACATACACAGAATTCTCTGCGTCTGGTGGCAAAATATAAACGCAGTGATTTGGAGAGCAACACTGGTTGGGCTGTGTGATGTGGTGAACATACTCTGGTGATGTAATGATGTAAGTTGTGTGGCGATATGAGTGACGTGATGTGATATGGTGCATGATGTGAGTGATATGATCTGAATGATGTGATGATGTACACCACCTGTGTGTTCGTCCCCAGGGCTGTAAGCGATGGCTGGTGCTGGGTCACCCCCGGTTCCACTCAGGGGTCCTCCATCTCCCACTCCCCGGGCCCCCACCGTGACCCCCCTACCCCCAGCCCCATCCTCAGGCTCTCCGCGCTGCTCCTGCATCGCTCTCGTTCCATCTGATGCTTTCACAGAATGCACGGCACAAACGGTTTACTCACAAGCTTCGTTATCATTATGCCACTCAGTTACCCAGAAACATTACGAGTCTCAAAGACACTTTTTCAGGAAGTTCCTGAAATATTTTGCAGTAGGGGCCAATGTTTCCACGTGTTATCCCAATTGAGTAAACTGCGGGTAATTTTTCACCATTGGGATTTTTGGCCAATACCAATTCCACTATGTGTTTATTTTTAATCATGGGATTGTTATTGGATTGCTTTGTTTATGCATGTCCTGCCGTTACCAAGTTTCTGTAACCGAGTCCCCATCCAAAATGAGCAATTATTGCCCAACGTATAAAAACCTAAATTATTGGAGAAAACAGATGCAGAATGGGGAGAGAACATACAAACTCCACATTGGGATGAGCCAGAGTTGGAATCGAATTCAGGCGCTTCTTGTTGTGAGGCACGAGTGTTCCGACTGCGCCACCGCCCTGCCGCCCAATGCTACAATTCACAATCGCTTCATGGAGAAGGCAAACGGGCGCAGGGCGATCAGATGTCCCCTCACAGACGCAGGACGAGCGTTACCGTGAAACGAGGACGATGCCGGTGGCCAGTCCTGGTAGTCGGTGACGTCGAGCTGGGCTTCTTTCGAGGTGGCCTCCGGTTCCTCGATCTGGTTGCAAGAGAGAGACTTGAGCAGCACACAGCGAGCATTTGCACTCACACCACCCTCACCATACTCACACCACACTCGTACCACACTCGTGCCACACTCGCATTCAAATCATACTTACACCATACTCATACCACAGACACCACAACAACAAAAGACAAAGATCCCCCATATAGCCTCAACATACTTTTGGGGCAAGTGCCGTTAACGAGCACCTATGAAGGCCGGCACGGTACCCGTGGGGGTGGGTGGCCAGCACCACGCCCGACTGCCTTTGTTTCTCTAGTGGCGATGTTTACACACCGCACCAGGTACTCATTTAAGTCTGAGTCGACCTAGGGGAGGCCCAGGACCGGTTCAAATAATCATCACTGGTGTTGGCCGTGCGCGGAAATCGAACCTGGCTCGCAGGGTTCGTAGCACAGTGCGTTAACCCACTACACCACCACGCCCTCCTCACAAACGCACTCGCACCACACTCATACCACGCTCCCCCTTACCACAGAGAGGCCCAGACCCGCTCGGGCCCAGTTTACGGAGCTGAGCTGAGCGCGGAGGGCCGTGGCGACGGGCCCCGCCAGGTTGGGCGACGGGAAGATGGGGGCCTTACAGCTGGGACAGCAGTACCCGGCAGGCGCCGTGTTGGGGGGCAGCTGTGCCGCCATGGTGTTCAGGCATGCCCAGTGAAACACATCTGCAACACACACGCCCGAGGCTCAACTGTGCGGCAAACAGGAGGCCCGGTGAGCTCCCGAGACGAATAATCCATTGGGAAATCTCACAGTTGAGCAGTGCAGCCCTTTGTATCGGCAATGGCCTATGGAAGCGGAGAGGGGCCATCCATAAATGACGTCACATGATTTTGGACGATTTTTGACCTCCCCCCTCAAACATGACGCCACAAAGCTCTGCCCCCCCCAAACCATATTTCCATTTAGAAAATAAACATGCTTCAAATCGCTTTAAACTATTGTCATTGTAGTGCGTATTTAATGTGGTGCTGCACTCTAATGTTGTAGGAGAAAACATTTATGAAAATGTCTATTTAATTAATTCATTTAAAGTTGCGCCTTTTGATGTGACGTCACATATCTCAACCCGTTACACATCGTCACAAATGTCCGTCCCCCCACCCCTAGGTGCGTGACGTCATTTATGGCCGGCCACCATATCACATGTAACAACCGTGGCGATGCCTTCTTCAAGTCACGTACACAGACAGAGACGCGCATCGATCGAGCTGTGGCGAATTCCAGGTTCACCGGTGCAGCTATGTCGAGGGCTCTCTGCGTGCGGACCAACACTCACCGTAGCACATGAGACGCACGGTGTCTCCGCCGGCGAGCGCCGTGCTGCACAGTGGGCAGTCCGGGCTGTAGTCGCTGTCCTGCAGCCATTGCAGGTAGGACTGCACGATGCACTGCGGAGACACAGAGAGAGAGACACAGAGAGAGAGACACAGACACACACAGAGAGAGAGACACACAGAGAGAGAGACACACAGAGAGAGAGAGAGACACAGAGAGAGAGAGAGACACACAGAGAGAGAAACACAGAGAGAGAGAGACAGAGAGAGAGAGAGACAGAACCAGAGACACAGAGAGAGAGACACACACACAGAGCGCAGAGACACAGAGAGAGAGAGAGACACACACAGAGAGAGACACAGAGCGCAGAGAGACACACAGAGAGAGACACAGAGCGCAGAGACACAGAGAGAGAGAGAGAGAGACAAAACCAGAGACACAGAGAGAGAGACACACAGAGAGAGAGACACAGAGCGCAGAGAGACACACAGAGAGAGAGAGAGAGAGACACACACAGAGCGCAGAGACACAGAGAGAGAGACAGAACCAGAGACACAGAGAGAGAGACAGAACCAGAGACACAGAGACACACAGAGAGAGAGAGATAGAACCAGAGACACAGAGAGACGTAGAAACAGAGACAGTTAAAAAAAGGAACAGGTAAAAAGAGACTCACAAAGAGGCTGAGGCACTGGGACCGCTCGGCGGAGGTGACACAGGCGAAGAGCTCGACTGGTTACCCCGCCCGCTGTATGCTGATCTGAGTAGTCAATTACCCGACCGGTCACAGACGCGGGGACTGCTCTGCTCAATGCCCCTGTTGTATCATTTGACTGAAGACTCCACTGCTCGCCAGTGCCCACCCAACACGACGCTCGCCAACGCTCCCCCCACCACCATCCCTCGCCTCACTCTTCTATACGGACCCGTGGAGGATGACGATGAGGACGATGGGGACGATGGGGACGATGGGCTGCGTCAACACTCCGCGCCTCACCCCTAACCCAGGGGGATTGGGGAGATGATTGCCACCTTGTCCACCAGGACAGGTCTGTCAATGAGGCCGCGTCTGTTCGAGCGGCGCCGTCACCTGCGACAGAGTTCAGCCCCCGCCAGCACGGAGATGCCAGTTCCGGGACATCTCGGCACCAAAACAACGACGGTCAAATCCGGGCAGGTGGCAACCTTCGCCTCACGCTCCCTCGCCTCGAGTCGCTCGCCTCTCGTCCCTCGCAGCGACCCCGTGCCACGCCTCACCTTGCCGTGGGACGCCGCCAGGCAGTGCTCGCAGACATTGACGCGGTGCTCGAAGCAGAAGAGGTTCGTGACGCGCCGCTTCGGGCATTTGCAGAGCCCCATGCCGCTCGACCCTCCACTTCCGGCTGCCACGTCTTCCTGGTGTGACGCGCTTCCGGCGCGTGACGTCGCGCCGACCCTCCACGTGGTCTCGGTGGCGCGCGTGCCGCCACCGACACGCCCACTCGGTGCAGGTGACGCCCACTCACTCATTCACTCACTCATTCACTCACCAACACTCACTCATCCACTCACTCATTCACTCATTCACTCACTCATTCATCCACTCACTCATCACTCACTCATTCACTCACTCATTCACTCACTCATTCACTCACTCATTCACTCACTCATTCACTCACTCATTCACTCACTCATTCACTCACTCATTCACTCACTCACTCATTCACTCACTCATCCACTCACCACACTGCAGGTCACGGCCACTCATTCATCCACTCACCTCACTGCAGGTCACCACCACCACTCACTCATTCACTCACCACTCACTCATCCACTCACCACACTGCAGGTCACCGCCACTTACTCATCCACTCACCACACTGCAGGTCACCACCACTCACCCATCCACTCACCACACTGCAGGTCACCACCACTCACTCATCCACTCACTCATCCACTCACCCCACTGAATGTCCTCTCACTTTTCCTTCTGCTTCTTCCCTGGCTCAGCTCCGCTTTGAAATTCCCTCCCATCGTTTATTCCCCAAACTTTTTTCACAATAACCTTGATCAATAATCTTGATTTAAAGCTTTCGTGACTGCAGGAATCCATACTCTTTGGTTCTTTCGGTAAAGTCACGTAGGTATGAAATAAAATAGATCACGACGTTTCGGGCACAACACAAGCGTCCGTCATCAGATGGGAAAGCATGGTCTGCTGCTGATGCTGACTGTTTTAAAAGGTTTGAAATTGGTGTATCCCAAGGGTCATAAAGAAGTGGCTGGGTCGAGATTTGGGGGCCTTTAAAAAAATCTCAGATCTTCAGATTGTTTCTGTACTAAAGCTACTTATGTACCAAATTTCAGCTTTCTACCTAGTCGGGAAGTACCCTAGAGGGTTTTGAGACATACATCCTTATTTACATACAGATTAAGGTCTTTATATAGAACAATGTTCTTGTTTGGACAAGGCGTGCATCCATGATGTTGTGTAGATGTAGATGTACCGATGCCGGAAACAGCGTGCTTATAATTACAAGCCTACGGGCTGCACAGAAGTCTAGCAGCCTGCTTCCGTTATTATTTAACTTATCTGGCCCATGCCTTCCGATCACTCCAACCCAGCTGTCTGCGTCATGACTCACCCAGGCATTAAAGTCACCTAACAGGACTGACTCTATCCCAAGGGGCCAGAAGGTTATAGAAGGCAGCTGACTCATCGCCCTTGTCTGCATCCCTCCACTGATGTTCATCTTCGGTGGGGGTGTAAGCAACCACCACCACGATTCCTCGCCGCTTGTTGATGGGGAGGCGAGCCCACAATAGCCTGGGACTTACAGCTTAAAAAGGAACACCCCTTCATACATGACATGGGCGTCAATGTCGGGACAATCCGGAGTGTAACGGTGAAGAAGCCGAGATCGTTGTGTACCGAGGTTGGGCGCAATGCGAGGTGGATCCATTTGGTTGGTGATGTGGCCCAACGGGTGGAGCGAGTGGCAGCTCGCAAGTGGAAGGTCGGAAGTTTATATCCAGCCCATACGAGCTGGGCAATCACGAACTCCAGCGGCAGTACAGCACCAGTGGCTGTCTGGCTTTAGTGGCAGTACAGCACCAGTGGCCGTCTGGCTTTAGCGGCAGTACAGCACCACTGGCTGTCTGGCTTTAGCGGCAGTACAGCACCAGTGGCTGTCTGGCTTTAGTGGCAGTACAGCACCACTGGCTGTCTGGCTTTAGCGGCAGTACAGCACCAGTGGCTGTCTGGCTTTAGTGGCAGTACAGCACCAGTGGCTGTCTAGCTTTAGCGGCAGTACAGCACCAGTGGCTGTCTGGCTTTAGTGGCAGTACAGCACCAGTGGCTGTCTAGCTTTAGCGGCAGTACAGCACCAGTGGCTGTCTGGCTTTAGCGGCAGGACAGCACCAGTGGCTGTCTGGCTTTAGCGGCAGTACAGCACCAGTGGCTGTCTAGCTTTAGCGGCAGTACAGCACCAGTGGCTGTCTGGCTTTAGCGGCAGTACAGCACCAGTGGCTGTCTGGCTTTAGCGGCAGGACAGCACCAGTGGCTGTCTGGCTTTAGCGGCAGTACAGCACCACTGGCTGTCTGGCTTTAGCGGCAGTACAGCACCACTCGCTGTCTGGCTTTAGCGGCAGTACAGCACCAGTGGCTGTCTGGCTTTAGCGGCAGTACAGCACCAGTGGCTGTCTGGCTTTAGTGGCAGTACAGCACCAGTGGGTGATGAGCTGGTTCAGGGTTGGTGAGGCACCGCTACTAAAATTCCTGCCCCTCCACCCCATTGCACCGCACTGCCTGATCATCTACCGCTCGCTTCTTGTTTACAAGGATCCAGTGTCGCCTCATGAACGCCAGTTAATCTCGCGACATTACAAAAAAAACACAAATTTCTAAACTTTGAACGTTTAATATTTTACAAAACATAAACATGTCATACATTGCACTCCCACCGTGAAAAAACTGAAGGGGGGAGGAGCCGAGAGGAAAAACTCAAACACAGGAACAGCAACCCCACCCTATGGTCTGGGCCATCGTGGCCAGGTCAGCCTTGTAAAAGAGTCTGTTCAGGTTCTTAGTTGGTAAGATAATTAACTCTCCGACTCAGACAGAGGAAACCCAGACCGATTACATTCTACGCAGGCCCATTGGTGTGCACCGTCCCATACGCCTTCAAAAGTTGACGCAACAACATCCTCCACTGTCGTGTGAAGTGAGACGAGTTCCGATCGGCTGGGCCGCGCGCCGCCCTGGTCACACGGCCCTCCGATTCGCACCTCCGATTATCGTCGTTGTATGTACGGTGGGAAAGAAGCTCAGCAAACGTACATACATGCCCCTCAGCCATGAGGCACATGTATGTACGGCTGGGGTACGAGGGACCCTCAGAGCACAGGAGTCGCAGTGATGGTGTTGGCGCCGTCCGTGGAGGTCAGGGAAGGTGGCCACTCTGGGGCCGCCGGCCCGCGAGCACCGACCAACGGGAAGGGAGAACCCGTGGTGTCTCTACCCAGGCCTCCACCTTCCCTCTCCGTAGAGGACGAAGCAGACAGTTTTCTTCCCGCCTCGCCCCCAGGGTTGCTGTAGAAAATGCTGTACAAGTCCTTGGCGTTGGCCGTTGCCAAGCAGCCCTTGGGTCTCTTCGTGGAGTGGGGCTGGTGGGTGTCGGTGTACGCACCGGAGGCGATGACTGGGGGTGGCTTCACAGGGATGGCCAGCACCGTGTGCACCTCCAGCTGGGTGCCCGGCGCCGATTCCTCCTCCTGCTGCCGCGCTGCAGAACTCCCAGCCTGGTCGCTTGCGGGTGCAATCTCCAACACCGTCTTCAGGTGCTCTCTTACAGGGCTCTTTGCCACGGCAACCGGCTGAGCCTCGGAAGCCTGATTGGCACCTACGGGAGGCGCCGTTAGCTCTTTATTCCCACCTTCCTTTATGACGGGCAGGGGTTTCCCTGCGCCCTTTGAGCCAATCGAAATGAACTTGTCTAGAGAAGCCGGTTTGTTCAAGGAAGGGGGGGCGACAGGGCCTTTGCGAGCGCTTACTAGAGCCATGGAAAAGTTGGGCCTGATCTTGGCCTGGGTGGGGGTGACACAGGGACCCAAGGAGGGTGTCCACTGGGCCACAGGCGCCACCAAGGTCTTCCCCGAGAGCTTAATGGAAATCGTCTTGCCGGACGGCCTGCTGTCTGCGGCCTCCTTGGCGTGGCTGGGCTCTGCCATGGCGCCGCCGTTCTCCTCCTTCCGGTCTCTGGCGGCCCCGATTTGGTCGTCCCCGCTCGGCATCACGCCCTCGGCCTTGTCCCGTGGCGTGGTGCGGTCGTTCTCGGCCCTCAGCGAGATCTTTATGGGAGCTTTGGGGCCCAGTTCCACGCCCTCCACGCAGTTTTCGTCCAGCTCGGCAAGCTTGCTCTTTTCCTCCTCCTCCATTTTCATCAGCTTCGCCTTGTTCTCCTCGGAGATCCTCCGTACCGCCTCCATGCGGTACCGCCGCTCGGTCTCCACCACCACTGCCTGTTTGGTCTTCCAGCCCATTATGCGCCGTGGCTCGTACACCCGGTTGTCCTTCACCATTTTCTGCCAAGGGCAAATGGTGGCACATTGTCCATAATAAAGTTTTTTGTGGGTTAAATCGCGTGAATATAAAGGTGTCGTTAAACCCGCCACCACCCGATACAGCCAACTATAAGGAGTGGCACATTGTAGGAGCCTCTTCTCCTCCGTTACCCAATGTGTCCCAGACATTCCACGTCGAAGCCAATGCTATACTACGTGACGCCTTTATGGGCGGCATAGCGATGCAGTCATAACACTGGGGCCTCACAGCAGGAAGCCCTAGGTTCGATTCCCGACTTGGGCACCTTTCTGTGTAGCGTATGTAAGTTTCTCCAAGTTCTCCAGTTCACTCCATTGTAAAACACACCCATTCACTATGTCACTATGCAATATTACCTGCATATCAGTCAATTGGAAGTACAACAAAGCGACATCAACCCCTCCAGTGAAAAACCTGGTGGCTTTCCTGGGTAAATAAGCAGAATACAAATTCAGATTGGACACAAACAGGGCTTACGAATGACCGTGAGACGGAGGCGCTGCCGTATGGAGCAACGAGTGGATACCTGGTAGTTGTTGTTGTGCTTCGAAGACATCACATGCTCCTTGGCAAAAGCTTGGTCCACACAAAACTCTGCGCAGAGCTGGCAGTAATACCCCAAAATGGGCATCATAAACTCCGACCCTGCGCACGCGTGCACGGAGTTACGCACCATCACCATCACAGCACTTCTGCAAGGTACACCGGAATCACGCCAAACCCGCAGAGTGACATGGCTCCTCACGTGCGCCGGAAACGGCTCCGGTTGGGTCTCGGCACCGGTGCAGGGGACCGTGTCTAAGCGTGGGCAGGCGAGCCGTGCGGCAGGCGAGTCCCATGCGGCGCAGGCGTACGGGGTGGTATGGGTGACTCGTGTGATGGTGTTTGGGTGACGCAGGTGAGCGTGTCACGGTGACTATGAAATGGTGGCGGTGAGCAAGATGCTAGGCTCACCTTTAGCTTGTGACCTGCTCTTCAGCCGAGATGGTTCCTTCTGTTGCTGCAACCAATCCAACTGCTGCTGCTGAAAGACCCATGGGTGATGATCGGGGTCTAGAGTCTGGAGGGGGGGCGGCAACGGCAGCATTACTCAGCTCACTCGCGGCATCGGCACTGGCGCATCTCAGGCTCCCGGGGGCGGGCACGGGAGCCGTGCTGCTCCAAGCAAAGTTGGGCCCCGCCGGGGTAACCGCAGCCATCGCTAGCGCTATCACGGCGCCCTCATGCTGCATCCCGCGGTTGTGCCGCGTTGCGTACGGTCACGATGTCTAAACGTTGCAAATCACCGCAATGGAATTGTGAATGCGTTTTAGACACGCTTGGCCATGAGCGCGACATCCGCGTGGAACATCTGCATTTACAAACTTCCAACGCTGTGGAATGTGGTTTCATGTGAGAATATTGGAACTCTGATGTTCAGAGCCGAATCAGTAACCGCAGACATGGACTGCACGGTGTGAGCAGAGAAATCTCACGAAAGTCAGAGTGAATTCCTGCTGCTGAAATGACCATTCGTGTAAATTCCACATTACCACGGTGGGTCAATCTCTCTCCATAGGACAACCACTAATGTCGCCCCCAGTAATACAAATACGTGCATCTGTACTGCTCTGTAATGTGAAGAAATGTCTCGGAACACGTGGTTTTTTTTTCACCATGGGATCCCCGAAATGGCAACTTGTGCTGGCAGACTGATGAGCCAGCATCAGTCTGCCAGCAGGGGCGATGATTGCCAGCTTATTCCAAGTAGGATTTTTGCATTTTGTTTTTCAAATTAAGCAAATTTGGATCCGTACTAAAAGAAATCAAGATTCAAATCAAGATAGAAAGAAGGGACATTGCAAACTGGAGATCGCCGATTCGATTCCATCTCTCAGCACGGCAGCTTAAACAATGAAGGCGAGTGTCCGAAATCTCCCCCCTCTCCTCAACCTGCTGTGACCACTCATCAGCAGGTTTAACGGAAACACCGCAGTCAGTGGATTGGCAGGTCGTGTGTGGCGTGATACAGTATGGGTGTTGCCTACCGCTTCCAACACATCTGGTCAACGTGGAAGAACAGACCAAATACCCTCTCTCTAGAGCGGCTCTGCAGAGCTCCCTCTAGTGGGGGCCCTTCCGCCAGCAGCGGCGCAAGCGAGCGATTGCAGGGCTGCACCTTTACCTTTCACCAGCTGCAGAATGTGGAGAGGAATTGGGTGGAGTTTCCGTCAGGTAAAACAACCCCAGCTTGAACCGCGTCCCGCACCCCCCTACCTGGCGATGCTTCCTGCTGTGCAGATGCTGCAGGAACTGCGACAGGGAGTCAAAGGTGACGCTGCAGTTCTCGCACCAGTGCTCCCCAGCATCGTAGCACGTGTTGAGGGCGCAAGGCAGGGCCGACATCTCCTGCCGCTCCAAGGACGACATCTCCTGCCGCTCCACGGACGACATCTCCTGCCGCTCCACGGACGACATCTCCTGCCGCTCCACGGACGACATATCCTGCCGCTCCACGGACGACATCTCCTGCCGCTCCACGGACGACATCTCCTGCCGCTCCACGGACGACATCTCCTGCCGCTCCACGGACGACATCTCCTGCCGCTCCACGGACGACATCTCCTGCCGCTCCACGGACGACATCTCCTGCCGCTCCACGGACGACATCTCCTGCCGCTCCACGACCGGCTTCTCCTGCCGCTCCACGGACGACTTCTGCTGCCGCTCCACGGCCGATATCTCCTGCCGCTCCACGGCCGGCTTGTGGTGCCGCTCCACGGCCGGCTTCCGCTGGCGCTCCACGGACCGCTTCTGCACTTGATATGCGGCACCCCTGAGCTTCACGCCCTTCTTTGGGAACGTGTTCATCTCGGCCGCCAGCTTCTTCATCTTGTACGCCACCACATCCTGCAGCTGGTTGAGCTCCAGCTGCTGCGGGATATCGTGGTTATCCTTCGCCCTGCTACAGTCCCGCAGCAGCTTGACTGTGAAAAGACAAAGATCCTCTGAGTAGACCGCACGTGCCATTCCGGGTATATCGCCATTGGCGAACACCCACGAAGGCCAACGTGGTGCTCGATGGGAGGGGTTTGGTGGCCGATACTGCACCCGACCATCTTTAGGTCCCCAGTACTGTGGTTTACACACCGCACTAAATACTCATTTAAGGTTAAGTTAACCTAGGAGAGGCCCAGGGCTGGTTCAGATATTCGTAACTGTTATTGGCCATGAGCAAGAATCGAAGCAGTATTGCTGCATTCGTAGTGCAGCACGCTAACCACTGCGCTATCGTGAACCACACAAAGATGTCCCAATACAGCCTTAACAGACTGTTGGGGCAAGTGCTGTTAGCGCGCACCTATGAAGGCCACACATACACACAACCAAATATACAGGCACACGCGAAGAGGCTATGTGTGTCCTCTAGCAGGGATTGGTTTATATGCAACAGGTGCAATCTAAGTGAGAAAACCTAATGTGCCACACGCCGCGGCCTTAACCCCATCAAACAGAAGCCCCATGTTACCAGCCCTCGGCCACTGCTTCCCTCATCCCCCGAGCCCCCACCCTGTACTTTGCCATTCATGCCCCAAAGCATGGGGCCAAATTCAAGTGGATGCGAGAGGTGACTGGGGGTAGCGCAGAGGTCGCAAACGAGTTTTGATTCCTTACCCGTACCCGGCCGCACCAGGGTCACAAACGGGTACCCGTACCCGTACCCGGCCGGGTACGGGTAGGGTACGGGTATCAGGGACCCGATTGCGACCTCTGGGATGAAGCCATGTTGCAGGCGCGGGTGGGTTGATTCTAGGAACTTGAATTGTGAGAAGAGACAAGACGTTGGGAAATGAGTGACAAACAGTTACTCACCAGTGACTCACGGTCTACCCGTACCCGGCCGCACCATGGTCGCAAACGAGTACCCGTACCCGGCCGGGTACGGGTAGCCGGGTATCGGGTAGGGTACGGGTATCAGGTACCCGGTTGCGACCTCTGGGGTAGCGTAGTGGTGACACTCGCGCCTCGCAGCAAGAATTGCCCCGGTTCAATTTCCAACTCGGGCACATTACTTTGTGGCGTTTGTATGTTCTCCACCAGTTCTGCATGGGTTTCCCCCTCGTTCTAGCTAAAAACCAAACACAATCGGGTAATGGCCAAACATCCCAATATTACCTGCAATTTGCTGAAAGTAGGATTACACACAGCAGTAACATTGTCCCCCCTCCTGCAAAAGCGTGGCAGTAGCTCTCCTTGGTGAGCAAGCGGAATTGTGATCCCGATACTGTGGGTACCTTGCTGACTCTGGAGCTTGTTCCACTCCCTCTGCAAGTTATTGAGGTGCATCTCGTCCTCGTCCTTGTCCTGCTGCCCCTTGGTCAGCACCACACACACACGACGCACGCCGTTTAACATCCACGAACATTACACGACATGCACAAAAAAAATATCCCAAAACTTGTAAAAATATGAATATGTTCTTGTTTTAAACGCAGTTGCTGAGCACAGACCTCAAGGCCTAGTGGCCACCACCAAACAGCACAATCAAAGTCGCAATATGAGTGAAACAGGTTTCTTGAATAAGAGCTTGGGGAAAAGAGACGACGATGAAGGAAGGAGTGGAGTAGTGCGAGGGATGAAGCAGAAAGAGAATTGAGGTGACCTGCAGTGTGGTGAGTGGGCGAGTGAGTGCTTGTGAAGTTGAGTCCTGCAGTGTGGTGAGTGTTGTGTTGTTGTGTCCTGCAGTGTGGTGAGTGGTTGTATTGTTCTGCTGTGTGGCGAGTGGTTTTTTTGTGTCTGCTGTGTGGTGAATGGGTGAGTGAGAGGGTGGATAAGTGGGTGAGTGGTTGTGTTGTACAGTCGGAGAGACCCAGATTGCCAATTGGAGTAGCCAGTGTTCGATGACCATGTACCGACCCATGGTGTACGGACTGCGGTGTGTGGACTGCGGCGTACGGGCCACGTGCCAGTCGTGCGCGTCCACTCACTGTAGCCGGGTCAGAGGGTGGGGTGGCCCTGAAGCTGGCCTCCGACACGTGCGCACCCTTTGAACCAGGCTTGGCCTTCGTCCTGCAAAACGCCATCGACTTCTCCGCCTTGTTGTCCACCGTCTCGATGACGAGCAGGTTGGGCCTTGCCACTGATTTCGGTAGACCAGCCAACACTCGGGACGGTGCGGTGGTGGCCGTCGGGGTCGCCGGAGCGGCCGGGGAGAGCGAACGGGCGGCCAGCTCCCGTGCAGGGAGTTGGTACGGGGGCCAGGCCGAAGCAGGGCTTTGCTGTCCGTACGGGGTCGGCGGCTGCTGCGCCACTATAGTAGCCGTGCTGCTGCCCGTGGCGCTGGGAAGCGCCGTACTCAGGCGTTTTGATTGGTTGGGATGCATGGGGATGCGGGGCACCCTCCACCGCCTCCTCCGCCCGCTTGCGCTTCACGTCCCTCCTCGAGCCCGGGCCACTCGAGTCCAGCGATGGCTCCACGTGGCTCCTGCTCACGTCGGACGAGGGTGGCTGATTCTTCACAGCTAGGACCAACTCGTCCACTAGGTCCGTTTCTTTCTTGTGGCCGATGGCCTTGAGGATGTTGGCCAGCCTGGCGTAGTCTTCTGGTGGCCGTTGGAGGGGGTCCGTTGTTTCCAGGTGGGGGGCTCGCACGCCTCCCTCGTCGTGTTTGTCATCCCCGTACAGAAACGTCTCCCGATCCTCAGCATTCCAAAACGCCTGCAGGGAGGAGACCCCGTGGAAGTCGCCGGGTCCGCGCTCCCCCGTGCCCTCCCTCTCCGCGGGCGCTGCGTCTCGCCATGAAACCGCGTCATCCTTAAACCACGAGCGGTCTTCGTAGTGACGACGCACATCGTCGTGCCATGTCGCGCCGACCTTCCACTCCTGAGAAGCACAAGGCAACATGATTCACGAGCAGCCACGTGGCAGATTCTCACGAGATCGATAGCGGCCAGGAAACAGCAGTACAGCAAATGGATTCTGAAGCCATCTGCTCAGACGCCCTAGGCTCGATTTCAGCCATGTCTATTCAGGTCGGCAACCCGAAAAGTATTTTAGCACTCGGCAAAACACAATCAGCATACCTATCACTGTGGCTACCAGTTGCGCGCCTACTCCATCTCACAGCTATCAGGAAGACATTCAGTGAGGGATCAATTCCCGCACACACTTCTGTACTCGCCGCTGCTCGCTCGCTGCGAGATGTACTCATGGTCACGTGGCTCAGCTCGAGCTTGAGCCAATCAGTTTCCTCCTCCAAAGACGAGTTGGGCGAGTGGCTCAGCCACTGCTCTTACACAGCTCACGAAATTCCTGAGCGTGGCCAAGACCGTGCTCAGAGCCGGTTCGAGTCAAGCAGCGTGGGCTCTGAGCCAGCTCACTTGAGCCAGAGGAGCCAAGCCCGAACCGAGCCGTGACTGAGAATAAGGTACTCGGGTACCACGACGCACCTGCGGAGTGCCCGTGTCGGGCTCCATGCGCCGCTTCAGGATAGATTTCTTGGGGAGCGCGGGCGCCTCCTCAGGGCAGTGCAGCGCGTATCCGCTCTCCGGCGAAACGGCGCGCGGCCGGCTCGCCCTGCTCGCCTCCACCTCCCACGCTGGCAGCCGCTCCTCGTGGGGAAGGTGCTGCTCCTGTTGATCCTTCCAAACTCGTGGCGAGTCCAGCTGCCGCTCATTGCAGTCCAGCAGGAAACTCTCATGCTCCCTGGATTATATCGACAACACCCACAACAACAGCGGCAGCACGAAGAATGTCCCTACGAGTAACAGACGCGGAGATCGCTACTGCAGGGCGGTGGTGCAGTGGAAACGCTCATGTCCAACTACAAGAAGTCCCTGAGTTCAATTCCCAACTCGGATGCCTTTCTGTGTGGAGTTCGTATGTTTTTCGCAATGATGAACAATTACACCACAATTCACATTATTGGAAAACACATTGCCACCATCGCCCCCAATGCGATAACTTGGCAGGATCCTCATTGTACGAGTCTTGAGAATCAGCAAGGCTGTTCTGAGTAAACAAGCATAACAATACAACTGTTGTGTTGTTAAAGACGACACCAAGGCAGTGATTGTCGGTGCAGACGCCAAACGGTTTATTACGGGCGTTCGCCTAGCCTTTGGGGAAGGGATAATACAAGACTTTGGATAAGCTAAATCTCCCCAGGGGAAAGGGTACTGGGAACCCCTACGCCTCCCAGGCTAACGGGCTGTTCCCACAGCGCTGAGCGATGGTTCATCCAACTCGGCCAGCCGGGTAAAGTAGCCCCCCCTAGCCTGGTGCTATTTCTCCCCTACCCTGGGTCCCCACTTCCCTACCGCTCACGAACCCGGCTCCTGGCGAAGACCCCGTCCACGTCACCGGTCCCCCCTCAAATACCCCGAGGGGACATGACGTCACTCCTCCCGAGGCGAGTGTGACATCTCGTCACCACTCTACTCCTCAACACAAATAATAAAACGGAGTGACCACGTCTCTTGAATTGAGGAAGGTTATTTTGAAAACTTATTTTGGGAAAAGAGACAAGGGGAGGGAATTCCAAAGTGGAGTAATCCAAGGGAAGAATATGCGAGGTGACCTGCAGTCTGGTGGGTGGGTGGGTGAGTTGTTGTGACCTCCAAGGTGGAGGTTCAACACCGTGTGGATGAGACAAGACATTCGGCTTGGTAGACCAAGTCCTCAAGATGGGCGGAGGCATAAATGAGTGAAGTTCACAGAAGCAGTAACCGTGGTAGTAGCGATAGAAGATTGACAAGGCAGCGACTGGCCACTAGTGAGCCTGAGGTCTGGCAGGGATCTTCAGAACTCCCAAGTTCTAAACCTTAAGAATGGACGCACACACACAGACACTGGATAGTGTGAATGTAGACGTGCGTGTACACGCAGTGGTGGCTACGCACGCCTCCTGTAATCCAGCACTGTACAGGTAGTCCTCTACTTACGATGGAGATGCGTTACGACGACCCCATCGTAAGTCGAAAATATCGTAAGTCGAAGATGGCCTAGCCTACCCAGGAGTCTTAAAGAATGGTGATAATTTAGCAAAACAGACCAATTTACAGTACCGTACTGTATAAACTATATACTGTATGTATTTATTAATTACAATACTGTATTGTATAGTAAAATGTAAGGTAAAAAAACCAAGGTAAATTCTTAGCCTACCTATATGAACTGCAATTTAATAAAGTTTTTTCAGGAAACAATCCTATCTGCTATAAAAACGTTTAACATGCACTGAACGTATCGTATCGTGGTAACCTTTAAAATGAAATCGCTAAAGCTACGTATCATACATGCATTGAACGTATCGTAACGTATCACATTGTACTGTACTCACCAAGATTCTGTCCGTCGTCTGCACACTTGAACGATGTTAGGTTGTTGATGGAAATTTTGTCGTATCGCTATCGCCATCGCAAGATCGAAATATCGCAAGTCGGACCATCGCAACTCGGGGACTACCTGTATAGGCGAGCGTTGGTGGATCACAAAAATGCTGTGAAACTCCCTTCATGGGGCCGTCAAGCAGCCGTGCCCTGGCTCGCCAGAAGGCGGAAGATACAAAAAATCCAACTCCACTTGTTCCATCAGTACGCGTGGGTTACCCCCCACACTTCATATGGGACTGCAGAGCTTGGGCGATTGTTGGAAGTGCCTGCTCACCGCTCGGCTGTTGCCTTGCCTCCTGTATGTGGTTCCTCCTCGCGCCTGTGTGATGTCCTCTCTCTGTACAAGAGCGAGCGAACAAACACCGAGTGACGCGGCGTGTTACAACTTATGGCGGTTATCATTTTATCCCGGGTGATTGTGGAGAGGGGCACGAGTGTCGTGGTGGGCGCTTGCGAGTGTGCGAAGGCGCGAGCGTCATGCACACCTGCCCAAGGCCGTGCGCTGCTCGGGGAGCCCCAGGCGGGCATGCACGGGCACCGGCCGATGGGTCGCGACGTTGGTCTGGTAGCGGTCGTTGCCGACCGTGATCCGCAGGCTCCCCTCGATGGCCTGGTTCCTGTCGTAGTGGTGCGGCGAGCGCCTCTGGGAAGCACAGGGTGACAGGGCCGGCAGGGACAACACTTGAGGAACATGCGCAGGAGACTTGCACACACGTGCTCACCGGGGGTCAGTCACCTCCTCCTTAGCACTCTTCTTTCCGTGCCCTTGCAATGACTTGCCATGTTACGAAGCTGTACAAGTTTTCATTATACTGGTAGGAACCTCCTGGTTACACCAGCCCACAGGGGATTATTGTGTCCGTCCGTCGTGCAGGGAGGGGCTGGGTGGGGAGGGAGGGGCTGAGTGGGGAGGGGCTGGGTGTGCTGGGTGGGGAGGGTGGGGAGGGGCTGGGAGGGGTGGGGGTGGGAGGGGTGGGGCTGGGTGGGGAGGGGCTGGTCACCCCGTGGTGCCCTTATAAAACTCAACGTTTAACCTACTCACACCGGCTTGTGCCCGCCCTCACAGTCGGGCATATTTGCGGAATACACCACGTCACCGTTGACCCTGGCCATTGACCGAGCAACCCAATATTCCTACCAGCTCCCTCCGCAGGAATGTGTTGATCGTTACTACCATGGGTACTGTTCGTGTGAACTTTGCTCATCGATTCCTCAATGTCGAGGACTCAGTCCACATTACAGGTCACAACTCAACCCACTCACTGCACTAGAGGTCACCACACCTCTTTGCGTCTGTCCATCGCTCTGCTCCTCTATGGAATGCCCTCACATCGTCTATTTTCCCCAAGCTCTCATAATAGCCTTGCTCAAGTCAAGAAATGCGTGGCCTCTCATCCAAGATCGTGCTGTTTGTTGCTCGCCACTTGATGGTTTGGGCCTTCGGGCCTTGGACTCCCCACAACTATGTGGATATATATTCTTGGTTCTTACGGTAAAGTTACGTAGAAGGGAAGTAATAAAAAAATTAACAATTAAATGTGGATATATCCACCAGGTTCAAATGTCAACCGGCCGTGCCCACGACCATCATGGAACTTTCCGCACCAATTCTTGGTGCCCTCATTTGCTTGCTGTCCATTTTTACATTCACTCGTCGACACGATGCTGGTGGCAGCCAGGGCAGGAGACCTTCATCCAGGCAGTGCACTGACCATGGCCAACGATGACAACAACTGTACCAGAGTTGTACACATTCTAGACTCGTTGTACCGAGACGCTCACATGCAGTCAGACATTCAAATCTGCGCGTCCCAGGCCGGCCACCTAAACAACGCATCCACTCAGGAGACTCTCTGAGTTACCAGCCACGTGGCGGCCACTCGGCAGAGACGCACCGGGCGTCCCCTTGGGGGCTCCTACCCCGGGGGGGAAGCAGTCCCAGAGCTCTCGCCCCGTGCCACCAACCCACCCCCGACTCCCACGGGTTCCCCGGGCGGCTCCGAGCCCAGGCCGGGCTCGAGGCCCGTAACCAAGGGCCTCAACTCGGCGTGGCCACCGCTGCCCGCAGGGCCCCGTGGCATCCCCGTGCCCCGGGGAGGACCAGAGGCAAGGGGACGGAGACGGACTCGGGACCCGAGGGGTATTCACGGGAACCCAAGCGGGGGGGGGGGGGGGGGGGTCTCCAGGGTCACTCAGGAAACGAAGGAGAAGAAACCGTGGGGTGCGGGGGGTGCTGTGAACCACGGAGTTTGGGAAATGAAGAGGCCCCCGTGGCCACTCGGGGCACCGAGGGGGCCCAGTGCGACTCACGGGACTCGGGGAGCGCGAGTGGCGCCGCCAGCGCTCGTGTCGGTCTCGGTGCCGCGGCCTCGACCGCGACACCGAATCCGTGGCGCCTTCTCCTCCACCTCCTCCTCCTCGCCGCGTGGACCGCACCTCGTCGGGCTCGGGCCGGTAGGGCCGCCCGTGCCTTGCGGGGTTCATGGCGAAGTCCGCGGCAGACACAGAAGGAGCAGCGCGAGGTTGGGACCTGAGAAAGCCAGCGGGGACCGGGTGGGGATCCAGCAGAGGAGACGGCGGTCGGCGGAGGCCACGACAACAGCGGGCAGGGCGTGGAGCCTGCCACCGTGTGGCGAGCAGTGGTGAGTTACTGAGGAGTGGTGGCGCAACGGTTAGCGCGCCGAGTTCGTTTCCTGATCAAGGCCACTCACCCCCCACCCTGAGGAAACCGTGGCCGTTTCACTCGCTAAACTGCCCAGGGAGGAAAAAAAACCTCAGGTGGGGAGATGTGATGCCTGGGATGAAACTTGGGGTTCCCCCAGGTATGTAGACAGGGCCCAGGTGCTCATGTGGTGTGACAGGAGGGTGCTGAACTATAAAAAAAATTAACCCGTAAAAACAAAGTTTTTCACTATAAATCCTTTATATGCGTGGCATCAGTTTTATTTTATTATTCAATTCTGTTTTTCTTGAGTAAAAGTTTCATTTTTATCACGTTGGTATTTTAAATTAAATATTTTTTTTCCTAAAAAGTGGAAAATTTTGGAAAAAAATTTTCACGAAAATAAATTGTCACGCACAACGAGTCTGTGTGCAAAATGTCAGCTCGATTGGATCACGGGAAGTGGGTTAAAAAAACGACCGAAAGATTTGCACGGTTATAAGCGCGCAAGCAAGCGAACTTAATATAAAGGATTTAAAAACAAACTCTTTCCAATGTATTGCATCAATGGCTTTGTCCATGACAACATCGTGATCTTGATACGCCAAATATGTTGTATTTATGATAATGGGACAAAAATCGTACAGAATAAGATAAAGCAATGGTATGAAAGACATTGTTTATTAATTTTATTTACCTCGGAAAACCTCAGAACTCGAGACTTTTTTCATGAGACCCCTGCATTTGGATGTACGGAAATTTTTATTTATGAATGGCACAGGGGAGGTAACTACAGCAAAAGGAAAAATCCCACAAATACGAAGTTGGGTAACACTCAAAACGTTCCATTGCTGCATTATCATCTTTTGACCACCTCGCAGCATCTTAAACCGACAATAAATACCTGATTCTGTATTCCAAAGCTGTCTTCCATTTCAGTAACAAGAGCTCAAATCCTGCTTAGATTGAGATCCGGCAAGATCGGATGCATTCAAGGTGATTTAATCATAGGTAACGTGGCAATGCGATACAACATATAAATGTTGAATCAAACCATGAGCCTGAATCGTGATAATTCACACCTCTAGGAAGCAAATCACTACCTGATAAACACAGGCCACATGTTACATAAGGTTTGATCACTTTACAAGTGTCATCAAGAATACTAAGTTTCTGCAAAAGAATTACGACATCAAATCAACACAAACTGAATACAAGTTTAATAGCTACTTTAAACGTAACAACAATGTTTGCATGCAACCAATGGAGACCAAACGGCCTATTCACATTTCATTATTATACTGCACACAGGAGATGTATATGGTTCATGAGAAAACACTCAATGAAGCACTTATCAGAAGTAAAATATTATTGTGGAAAATGTAGAGATGATTTCTCTGCAACACTCAACTCCATGCTTGACTGCCAGCTTGTGTGATTACAAATCCAAGCCGAGGGTTCATTTATTTTTTAAAAAGGGCAAACCTCGTGTCTCTTGCAGGACGGTAGTTACACAGGATATATAAATTATATTTACATGAGGCCAAGACAAATACAGGTAAACTACCTCAATATTAAATTATCTCTGTGTACATTACTTACATTTTTCAATAGCACGGTGGTGTGAACACACAGCAATAGGCAGCAGAAATGGTATTATAGTTACAAGTTTGTGTTTAACCTGGTGAGAACTCAGGAGACAGGGATCGATGGATTCGCAAAGAACTTTGGTTGAATCAATGCTGCAGAAATTATGCACTCCCAAAAGAACGTGTGGCTGATGTGATGTGCAAAAAGTACTTTATTTTTTTTATATGGGGGGACAGATATGGAAAGCAGGTGCATTGTCTGCTGATTCATTTGTAAGGGACCGGAATGGAAGGTGAATGGCCAGCCTGCACCGATCAGGGTCTTGTGTTGACATGCAAGGGGTCACCACCTGGTAGCACAGTTTCAGTGAGGTTATTTCAACTGCCCTGGAGCCTGAGTACAGAAAATAATTGTAAAATATGGCAGGCAAAAATTGTAGCAAGATCTGAAATGCCGTAAGAGGAAACGCATACAACTCGATGCAAGGTCGGTATCCGAGGGAGACTGCACATCTGTGGGCGTGACAGCGGTTGCTTGGTATTGTCTATACTATCACTGCCCCAGTAAATAAACAGCCAGCACAACAACCTCAATGTTGATTATATTTGTTTATTGTTGTTATCAATGTATTTTATATTAGTGTAATTAATAGTCATTATGTTAATTGACTGTTGGTTATCAGTTGACAATCGATTTCCAAGTGGTCCTGACCCACCCCTCCTAATTTCCCTTAGAGATTTGGAGTTATGACAAGTGTTGGTTTGCGACAATTCTAGAAATGTGCAAGTCGTTCTTCGCTCAGGCTCTTGTACTTCACAACACTCCACACCACAGTGTTGTTGTTTTTTCTGTTGCTTCCACCATAGTCCAGCAGAGTCCATTTTATAAATACCACGCACATGGCTCTGCGACTGGCATTGCACCGCAGGCGCCCTCCTTGTCCAGGATACCACGTCGCCGCTTTGTCCCACATTCCAACACCCACGGAGGTTGTGTGTTGTCCTGGATATGGGTGACATCATTGGCAAAAACGTTAGTGAATTTAAATAGATGGTGATGAAGGTTCTCACACTATGCGTGGCACACACAAGCAGACAGAATGTCAACATGTACACCGACCACAGCCCAAACAGCGCACTTCACAAAAATCGAGTTTAACACGAAATTATCTTCAGCACTGTTGTGGAGATCAGTAACAAAATGAAAAAAGCAAATAATTCGCCTACTTCCCATATATATATTCCTCCGCAAATGTTTTAAAAATATATTGTACACATCCCGCACCTCCGATTATGCATGGTTGGTTACGTACAGTGCGAAAGACGTTCAACATACATCCCATCAGCCACATCACCTTCTGAAGTGCAACATTTTTTCAGCACTGCTTCAACGCAAGCAAACTCTGGACTCGCTTCGCCATTCAGTGTCTCATCAGCCGGGTCAGGCTTGCTTAAGCCACTGCTGGTGAACTTCCAGAAGCTTATTGTCAAAGACCCTCTCAGTTGAATGTGGATCCTCGTTTGATAAAAAAAAGATATCACATCGCTAAAAAGGTTTGCAGTGATGATGATCCCACTTTCGATAACTTTTTAGCATCTACTGCCTGTAGAATACTTCATTTAACGTCTGTACTGACACTAAAGTTATCATAAATACATTATAAAGACAAGTACAGGTTCAATCTTGACTTAAAGCTTTCGTGACTGCAGGAATTCATATTCTTTGGGTCTTTCGGTAGTCACGTAGATAGGTTCAAAGAAAATAACAAAAAACTACGACGTTTCGATCGCCCGGTAAAAGGGTAAATTACCTTACCTTGCCGAGGCCTACTATCCCTGTGATACACATCGTCCTGCTTTGTACAGCTTATTGAAAAGCAGTTGCATTTAGACGCAATATACTGTGCATATAAACTGCATTTATTAAATGTATTATAGCTTTACACTTTACCGTGTGTTCATATGTATGCATGGGATGTCCCTATTAAATGGCCTGGAGGTATGGTGTTGTACTGTGCAGCTCAAGACTGTAAGACTGTGATTTAAAATGCGTTTCACCTCGCCGTTTGTGATCCCGCAAATAATATCGACAGATAACACCCGCCCCCCCCCATGTGGAATTTCCTTCACCTACTCAAGGTCTTGAGTGTGGACCCCACTGAGACGATTTTTTGTTTTAAATATATCATTTGGCAGACCCCTCGAGTGAAACGTCTTGTTTGTAAGCATGTCCAGGGTGTCAGTTTGTACACACAGCACATGTAACAACACACGTACACACATTTAAACCTGAAGCTTACATAGTCTACGTTTATACACCAGTCAAGACACATAAATAATTGAACGGTGCACACCACCTGAATCATATGGACTGTGCTCTACCCGTAACAATCGTGTTGCGTGATGTATAATACATATTTAAATTATCAGAAACTGACAACATAGTTTCGCGAGTCTGGGTGATTGTTCCATACTGAAGCAGTTCTGCGTTTCTCACGTTGCAGCATGTAACAGGGTGAACAAGATACAGATTATTGCACGCGATTCACCAGTGTGTTACATCTGTGACCTCGTGAGCCTTAACATCATGCAATGCCTGCCTTTGCCGAGTATCGCTCTACTCCTGTGGCCGTGCGGCGGCCGTGCGGCGGCCGAGTGGGGCAGACGCCACCCTCGCCGTGCTCTGTGGTGAAGAGATCCAGCAGGTTCAAGGTGCAGGGGGATGCTGAAGAGGAAGAAGGGGATGCTGACGAGGAAGAAGGGGATGCTGACGAGGAAGAAGAGGAAGACGACGCGTCCAGGTGCACCACGCTCAGCTTCTTGGTGCAGAGCACGCAGCGCCGTTCCAATCCGGGAGGTGGCTGGGGGCCCAGCATTGCCACTGGCTGCCCATCTGCCCTGCGCCAGCTGCGCTCGGCTCCGCTGTGATGGGCCAAGCGCTCACGCTGCCAGATGTTGTGGTTCGGCGCAATTGCCATGACCTGCCGTGATGCCCACGTGCTTTACCAACATGTGGTGGTACTCTGAAGCCACACGCGGCACTCCCAAATTAGTACAGCAAATTCTCTACATATCGAATGTATGTTCGCTAATTGTGTTTGCAGAGGTTTGCGGTATGAATCCAGCAGGTCACCCTGGTTAATACTGCAGTGTGGATTAACCATAAAATGCGTGACGTATGCTTCACAGTAGACCTTAAATATCCCATTCATTTTAAGAATATGCCAACGTGTGTTCACGTCATGGTCCAATTTTGAAAAATTACACAGCAATTTATTTAATTGGGAAATGCATAACAATCTTTGCTCCGACTGCAAAAACTTGGCAGAACTCTTCTCACGAAGTCTTGAGATTCCATCAGTCTTTCCTGATTAAACAAGCATGATCATTAATAATACACCCAAACGACCAAACCCCTCACCATTACCTCTCTACCTTCTACACACTCACTACCCACTTCAGCTCATCGTAGACACATTCCACAACACCTCCTCCTCCTGTCCACACCTCTTTGCAGCAGCGCCAGCTTACGGCAGCACGATAGTCCATGCGTGCCCAAAGCTCCTCGCGCCACTTGAGGAATTCTGGGAAAGACTTTCTCCAGCCGTGGCCCAGTGCCCAGGGGAAGATGTCATACTTGAACTCCTCCTCATCCTCTTCCATGTCATTGGCCAGATACCTGCACAGACGTGCAATGCTCTAGTTTTCTGCCAGTCACGCAAAATATTTTAAACAATTATTTTTCCTGTATTCTTTAAAATATAGACGCAATTATCTATTGCAATTGTCTATGTATATATACAATCGTGGGTATTTAATGTAATGTATGTGTGTATGCATGTGTTTATGCAACGGAAATCAACGTGTTGTGCTTGGTGGTTACTTGGTTCCTCAGCGTTTAGTTAAATGACGTTAATTAACGGTGTGACGAGACAGCATCGGACACATTTACTCACAGAGCCAAGAAGAAATTTGTGCGACTGTATTCAGAAGTCTTGAAGCCAGCCCTCTTGAAGTAGGAGAACACCATGGCGAGCAGGTACTGAGAAGAGCAATAACACGAATGCGTTTACAAGTCATTCAGGATAAATCAGCATAATGTACACGTGGCGCTCTCTCTCTCTCTCTTATCTGTGAATGTGAATTGCTTCACTTCAAATGTGTCCCTGGTTACCCTCCTATCTGAATCACAATGTGATGCAAAGCTATCAATGCAAATTTTGACTTAAAACTTTCGTGACTGCAGGAATTCATATTCTATGGTGCTTTCGGTAAAGTCACGTAGATAGAAAATAAAATTTAAAAAATACAAATATACAAAAAATCTTTTTAAAATATATAAAAAAAAACTCACGACGTTTCGATCGCAACACAAGCGGCCGTCATCAGGCGGAGAGACAACCACTTGTGTTGCGATCGAAATGTCTTGAGTTTTTTGGTTTTTTATATTTTAAAAATAATTTTTGTATATTATTATTTTTCTTTTATTTTCTATCTACGTGACTTTACCGAAAGCTATCAATGCTGTTCTACTCTCTTCTTGCACGTGAAAATGTGTTCAGGAACTCAATACAATGTCAAGGTCTGTTATCCACGACGTGAGGGCTTCAGGAGGGTGAGAGACCATAGCCTCCTCGTTGAGTTTAACCTGTTACACGTTTTCATGTTATGTTAAACACAACTACAGGAGATCATCGATTATCTGGCGCCTTCAGGGGGAGGGGCGCCAGATTTTCTACCTAGTAAACTTAGAAATATAATGCAATACAACACAGAGAGTCGGCTAGTGTTGACTATTATGCTAGCCGACTCTCTGTGTTGCATTGCATTATATTTCTAAGTTTACTTGGGGTTTTTTCTCATTCATTCGTACCTGATGATGATTGCTTGTGTTGCAATCGAAACGTCGTATTCTATTATTTAATAAATTTTCTTTCTACGTGACTTTACCGAAAGAACCAAAAAGTAATTCCTGCAGTCACGAAAGCTCCAAATCATGTTATGGGCCCTTGAAGTGAAAAATCTCGGATTTTCAGATTTTTCCTGTTGTGTTCCTAAAAGCTACATATGTACAAAATGTCAGCTTTCTACCTTGTCAGGAACTACCCTAGAGATTTTTGAGACATACAGATTAAGGTTCTTATTTATACAGAAAATAGCTTACTTACCACTCCAATATCGAAGACTCTGCATGGGGTGATGTACGTACTATAGTCTTGTTTCAACAATGTGTTTGACGATCGCCGGACTGATGCAGCCTTTAGACTGGTGCTCCGGCGAACGCCAAATTACACGCACTTTTGGCCAGATCGCATTGTATAGTTTTTATTACTGACGTTATTAGCCATTGAAAACGTATATACTTGCAGTATTTGCATTGTTTAAGTTATTGTATGTCGTGTATAATACTGTATATATTTGACACTGAAATAAACATGAATCTAAATACATCAGATGTTCACCCAATGCTAGGTTCTGTGGTTACAGATCTAAATACAGCAGATGCACTTACCTTGTCCGATAGTCTAAAGCAACTGTCCATCCATAAAAAGTCCTGTATCAGATCATCGTCTATAAAGGCAGAACACAAGCATCATGTCGTTGCAGCGTCCTCATTTGGACACGGTCTGGGTGTTGCAAATCATGCACCACGAGGTTTGGTCATGTTACGCACGCATTTTCCCCGACACCTTTTAACCCAAGCGCAGTTTTGCGGCTTGGGCTCCGTGTGAGAATTGAGGGGGTGCTCATCTCCTGTTTACGAGTCTCTCAATTGGACAATCTCTGTGGACAAAGTAGTACTAATTGTATCAACCCCAGAGAAATGATGGGCTAAGTCAACCCCCCCCATCAGAATTTTTACTTGCAACCTTCTGAATGGGAGCCGCTCGCTCTACTGCTGAGCCAACTTGTCAGATAAGCAAGCAACTCTACTTGCATGCTCCTCCAAGATCATAAACTGTTCAGGAGTCGAAGCTCTTGGAGGAGTGTGCTTGAAAAAATGCATTCTCAGCACATGGTCCAACTCTGAAAACGAGCACGAGATGACATAATTCCCTACCAAACAGCCGGAAGAAGGCCGCCATTTCCCCGCGCTGTATTATTAGGCTGGGGCTCGCGCCGCGATTGTTCACATGGTTTTTGCCACCGTCCTGGCGCAGACGCCTCCGAGATTGTATCGCCACGGGGAAGTACTGGCGGACGTGGCTCCGCTTGCTGCTCACTCGAGAGTCATGGAGGACTCCATGCTCCATATCACAGTGCCTCATGACCCCAGCCGGCAAGACCTGTCAAAATCTGATCGTACACCTCACCACACACACACCATGCCAACACTCCACACTCTCGCCAGATACATACCGCACACAACACTCATCACATACACACAGATGTAAAGCAAATCACAGGCAGAGAGTCCAGTTCAGATGCCCTCACCTGGCTCTATCCTCACCTGGCTATATTCTCACCTGGCTCTATCGGCACCTGACTATTCTCTACTAGTTCTGCTCATCATATTTGCAGTCCCATAAAATAAAAAGTTTTGCTTTTATTAATTTATTAATTACCTTTTTTCTGTGAAGTTAAATATGGAGAGCCTCACTAACCTTAAAGATTACACAGAAGCGGTGCACGTGTCATTGGCACGAAATAGAATATTGCTTAATCCAGAAAAATCGAAGGTGCTGCTGGTTAGCACACAGGTTCAGGGGGCAAAAATTGTGGGAAGATCAGGTGTGGCGGTCGCAGACTCCAAGATTCAATTTTCTACTCATCTAAACACCCTCGGCTCCAAACTCCACCAGAATGTCGTTTGATCACCACGTGAAAAATATAGTCGGGTCCTACAATTTTCACATCAGGGTTCTACGACACATTTGACCACTATTGAGTCGTGTAGCATAATATCGGCAAGGCTTGATTCTTGCAACTCACGACTCTTCGGGACATCGGGCAAAAACATTATCAAGCTGCAGTGTGTACATAATTATCTGGAACATGTTGTGAGAGGTACTGGAAGATCCGACCATGTCCATCCACTGCTCGCCAAGCTACATTGGCTTCTGGTTGACAAACGAATATATTACACGCTCCCTCTCATTACACAAAGTGCTTGCCACGAATGAACCACAATACCTTGATGATCTCGTTAAGGAGCATACACCATCACTCAAAGTCCGGCTATCCTCACAGTGGCTTTGGTCTAGCCATCGAACAAATTCAGTCACTGCATCGTGCGCTTTCAAATGCGCTTTCGCGGCTGTCTGCAACGCTCTTCTGATATTAGGAGGCCACTGCAGCTAAGCATTTTTACATCTAGATTGAAAACGAATTTCTTGAGAACTCTTGTTTGTGTTTAGTTTGTTGTCCTTCCTGCACATCTCCGATTAGCAGTTGGTTATGTACGGTGCAAAAGAAGTTCAACAAACACTTATGCAATTCATTGTGCACGGTTGGAATTTAGTTTGCTTAGTCTGTGTTAGCCGCTGATGTTGTGACGGGTTTCTTTTTTCATTCCTGTTGCTCTATACCCCTGTACCGTTCCCATTATGCTGCAATATGCAGATTGATTGTTCTCATCTGGCTCAACCCTCACCTGACTCTGCCGTTCCTTGGCTCTATCCTCACCTGCAACCTCTGGCTCTGGTGATCTATGGGGCAATTCAGGACTCACAAGCTCCTTCAAGACAGAATTACTTGATATTCACCTCGGGAGGTCAAAAAGGTGCGGCCCTGCAATTGCATGCCTATGACACTGCTGGCGTAATAACCTCCACAAGAGGGCATCTCTCGGGGACTTTGCTATACTCTTCAACGCACAGAAAGTACCCACACCGCAATTCTGCCACCAAATATCCGTAGAGACATGCAAACTGCATCAACCACCGAGCCCATCAACCGAGACCTCAACAACGTTCCTCGGCTCAAGTCCCAGTCCCAATCCCCCTTCTGGGACCGCACTGAAGTCGCCATCCTAGAATCTAACCCACAAGAACTCTGTGGTGAACAGAGCGGAACAACACGTACGTCCGGAATAAACGCCTCGTTCGAGACCCAAACATTACACCTGCTGGCTTTGAATTTCCTCCTGTTACATTGCTTTTATGGCTTTATTTTGGTGATTTCAAAAACGTGTTTTGGTTTGCCCATGTTTGTTTGTTGTAGTACGGAATTAGACTAATGAAAAAAATAATTAAATACAAAAGTGAAAACTAAATTAAATCACGACGTTCCGGGCGCAACACAAGCGTCCTTCATCAGGTGGGGACCACCACAGCGAAAACAGTTGCTGAGGTATGCCGAAGAGATGGCTTATTATTTTAATTGTATTATTTTCACCTACGTGACTTTACTGAAAGAGCCAAAGAATATGGATCCTTGCAGTCACGAAAACTTAAAATGTACAATTAGACTGATGACTTTAATCTAAGTTGTCTTGTGGTTGTTGTTGTTGTTTGACTTGCATCCCACTGGGATTTTTCACACAGCGTTGGTATACGGTGCTTTTTCTGGAAGTTTTTGCTGTTTTTTCCTGGATTTTTCTGTTTGCGCGTTGTCACTTTAAGATGTTTTCTTGTTCATGTTTTTTGTTTGTTGCGGTTGCACCCGATTCAAGAGCCGAATGGCTCACAGGGCTATACCAAATAAATGAAACCGAAACTCCTCAAAGACACTGGTGCCACATAAACCGCATCAGAACTTCAACAGGCTGATGTAGCACATCTCCGACATGAATGGGAAATTAAAGACGCAAGTCACAGCAAGTGTGACCGGCCATGCAAACCAAACTACCATACAGCAAAACCACTGTAGTAGTCTGCGATTCTACATTGGAGCAGCAAAACGACACGAACTCTCCTGAAGCTTCTTCTTGGTTCTTTCGGTAAAGTCACGTAGAAGGGAAATAATAAAATAATAAAAATAAAACATTATAAAATACAATTCTCACGACGTTTCGGCCACAACGCAAGCAGCCGTCCTCAGGCGAAGAACAGGTCTGTCGGAAAGAGAGCGTCTGAATGAACACCACCAGGCTTGGCAGCGTATATTTAAGCTGCAGGGTTAGAGGAAGGGCGCCTTGACAAAGTAGTTTACATATCAACAGAGGAATTTAGCATATTTATGGAAAATGCAGATATGGGATTAGTCACTACTTGTGGAATGCGTAGGAGGTGGGGGGGGTCTCAAAGTCATATTATGCTCGTGTATTATGTAGGATTAGCAGTAATACCGGGAGGAAGTAGGGTTAGTAGGATTAGCAGTAATAGCAGTAATAAAAGGAGGGAATTTTCTCCTGAAGCCCTCTTCGTCGTGGCCAGAAGACCTCAACATTGGCGCTTAACTCAACATCATATTTCTGCCACGCTCACCAGCACGCCACGACATCGTTCATCTCCTCTGCTTGTTAAGCCGGATTAATGAACAATCGTGTCAACTCGACTATCCCCCATATTCTTATTTATTTACATTTTTCTTAGGTGTTTTCGGTAAAGTCACGTAGGTAAAACATCAAAATTAATAAAAATAATAAAATAAAGATCACGACGTTTCGGAGGCAACACAAGTCTCCGTCATCAGGTGGGACAGTCACAGCCAGATCAGCTGCATCAAGCTTCAAGTCTAGAATCGATTATCCCCCCTCAACTTTCCACAACTATTAATTATCGGTCACAATATTATTGGTTCAAGAATATGAATTCGTGCGGTCACGAACGTTTTAAGTCAAAATTGTTATCGTCAAAGTTTGCTGGATGGGAGGCTCTGTCATTACGGTCTCGGTCGTCATCCTCCGGCTACCCGCGGTGTCACTTTTTTGTGGGTTCCTTAGAACTGCGAATTCGCCGTTGTGGTTTAAAGCTTTTGGGTTAATTTGGCTGCAGCAAATGTCCACGAAAAAGCCACTTGGTTGAGCGGTCACTTGTGGCGAGGACGCTCCTGAAAAAGCTAAATAGCTCGGTGTGGCTTGACCTGGTGAAACAAAAAAAAGTTGTTTAATTTATAGGTTGTTTTAGTGATTTGCCGACCTTTTCTATATTTCGCACTCTGATCGTGTTGTTTGTTCCGAACCAGAATATTTATACCGCGGGAATCCAACGAGCTATAAAAAAAACTCTTTTTTTTTACATATCCAGTAACGTTGACCCGCCCATAATGGTCATCTGTGAAAAAGCGCTTTATAGGTCATCGGATTCCTCCAGGGATAAATAAATATAAATAAATATTCCGATTCTGAACATTTACCTCAGCGCCGCCGGTACCTCGCCACTTGCTTCGCGCTCGCCGCCTGCTCCGCGCCGAATAGCCACGCCCCTAGCAACGCCCCCTAGCTACGAGCCATGAGCCTAACAACGCCCCCTAGTTACGAGTCACGCCCTCAGCAACGCCCCCTAGCTACGAGCCACGCCCCTAACAACGCCCCTTAGTTACGAGCCACGCCCTCAGCAACGCCCCTAGCTACGAGCCACGCCCTCAGCAACGCCCCCTAGCTACGAGCCATGACCCTAACAACGCCCCCTAGCTACGAGCCATTAGCCTAACAACGCCCCCTAGCTACGAGTCACGCCCTGAGCAACGCCCCTTAGCTACGAGCCACGCCCCTAACAACGCCCCCTAGTTACGAGTCACGCCCTGAGCAACACCCCCTAGCTACGAGCCATGACCCTAGCAACGCCCCCCCCCCCGGTTACGAGCCACGCCCCTAACAACGCCCCCTAGTTACGAGTCACGCCCGCAGCGACGCTCCTTAGCTACGAGCCATGACCCTAACAACGCCCCCCTGGTTACGAGCCACGCCCCTAACAACGCCCGCTAGTTACGGATCACGCCCGCAGCAACACTCCCCTCGTTACGCGCCACGCCCCCTAGCAACGCAACCGACTTTGGTCACGAGCCACACCCCTGATTACGCCCCTTTAGGCACACACCGTGGCCCTATTACGCCCTCCTAAAGTGGGCCGCCTCCCTCAGCCCCTCGGCTAGACGAAGCGAGTTGACGATCCGCCCAGCCAGCCCGAGACCCAAGCCCCTTTCACCAATTCAAACCCCCCTTAGCCTGGTGCCAACTTCGGTACCCACCCGGGCAACCCGCGCACACGTGGAGCACGAACTGCGAGTACAGTACGCACTGTACATACAACACGTGTGTAACAGAGTTGCAACACGCGCGCGCCCACGGGGCAGAACCCAAAACAAAACCCGGGCCCGACCCGGAACAGCGCGGAGCACATGGAGGCCGCGGTGCAGTGACAGCCACAGAGGAACAGCAGCAGAAGCGGCACGTTCCTCGCAGCGACACACGCGGGAGAATTTGCACCATGTTCACAAACATCTCTCACAAGATATGGCCCAAATCACCCCATCTCGCAACTCCAAATCTAAGCAGTTGCCTTGCATAGTGCTTGGATAAGTGGCCATCGTGCACGCACACGTTGTCACAGGGCTACGTGGCTGGCAATAAAGGGTAGTGGTGGCAACATGCAATGTTTCACTACGACTACGTTCTCACTCTTCAACCCACACAATTAGCGTGAAGTATTGTCGTATTCACCCACAACCCACACGCATGCAGAGACCCTCATTGTGGTGTTTGTGAGCCAGACCCTGCTGCGAGCGAGCCGGACCTCATCTTCTTGGTTCTTTCGGTAAAGTCACGTAGAAGGGAAGTAATAAAATAATATTTTTATTTTAGTAATAAAATAATATTATTTTAAAATAATATATTTATTATTTTATTACTTCCCTTCTACGTGACTTTACCGAAAAAACCAAGAAGATGAATCCCTGCAGTCACGAAAGCTTTAAATCGAAATGTATATTGTTCTGTTTTGCTAAATTATCACCATTCTTTAAGACTCCTGGGTAGGCTAGGCCATCTTCGACTTACGATATTTTCGACTTACGATGGGGTCGTCGTAACGCATCTCCATCGTAAGTAGAGGACTACCTGTACAGTGCTGGATTACAGGAAGAAGATGAATTCCCTTCTACGTGACTTTACCGAAAGAACCAAGAAGATGAATCCCTGCAGTCACGAAAGCTTTAAATCGAAATTGAGCCGGACCTCGCGAGTGAGCCAGGGTCGTGCGAGATGTGGGTCGTGCGCAACCTGAGCGTTTATTACGAGTTATTTGTAATGTTGTCACGATTGGTGTTGTCATGATTGGTGTTGTTATAACAGCATTGTTTAAACACAATGGCTAGATTGTGAAAACAGTCCGATAATACTTAGTGCCAGGCGCATTTCAGCTTTTAGCTTGAAAATGTCGATACAAAATTTGGAGTTTGACGATTTGCACCAAAAGAGTGCAGCCTCTGGCTCCGGGATAAACGCGGACAACACAGGGGCACACTTCCTGCCGTCGCAATTCTTCAAACGCATTCACCTGAAAATATAAATGACTAAAATTGTTCTTACCTTTAATTTACGCAGGACAACTAATAAGAGCCTCTATTTGCCAATGTTTAAATAAGGATAACCATGGTGCTCAAACATGTTCTAAGTTGGCTTTTTTTTACTTTTAAATCAATAAAAAGGGATATACAACATAGTACAGCTTACAGGTTAGTCATTAACTGAAAAAATATGTACATGTGAAAAAGCAGTACACTGGAGTTAGCACAGCCCGCGGGGGTCTCCACTTCAACTAACCGCACCGGCTACCTTTGATATCAACACAACCATGACAGGAACGATGCGGTAATCTTACATTGCAGAAACATTCCTGATTTCAGTCTTTGGAGGAAGTCGGGTGTGGAAGGAATTTCACTTTTCATTTCAGTTTCTGGGGGCTGCGCGCGCTGCCAGGCGGAAGTGACGGGAGACGAAGACAGCTTCTCTCTCGGCACAGCGTCCACGCGCTCATTTCTTCCTGGCCTTGGTGTGCGTGAGGATGTGCGACTTGAGGTTGGTGGACTGCGCAAACTTCTTATTGCAGCTGTCGTACGGACACACGTAGGGCCGGTCTCCCGTGTGGATTCGGATGTGCGTGCGCAGGTTGAAATCCAGCGAGAAGCGCTTCCCGCAGCCTTCGAACGTGCACTGGGAAGACACACGGAGCGCCACCACCGCCGCCCGCTGCACGGCCAACCCAGCACACGAGGCGCGACACCACGAAGGCCCTGCCGCTCGCAAAGTGGCGGCGGTGGCGCCGGTGTGTGCTGCTCACCTGGAAGGGCCGCTCTCCGGTGTGCACCAGCTGGTGCCGCTTGAGTTTGGAGCTCTCGACGAAGGCCTTGCCGCACTCGGCACACACGTGTACACGCGGCCCGTGGGTGTGCAGGTGTTTCCTCATTGCCGAGTTGTCGCGGAACATCTTGGTGCAACCCTGGGCAGAAACATCGACACCACCCCCCCCCCACCGAGTTCATCTCGCCATGACACACGAAGTCGTGAGCACAGCCAGAAAGCCAGCAAGTCCACGGATCTCTGTACGAGTCTGTGGATTTCTACGCGAGCTTATGGACGCCACAGATGCAGAATCGCACGTACATAGTCAGAGCCATGAATTTCTTCCCCACAGATGGGGTGCAATGGGTCAAGTTGCTCCCATCGTCGCATGCAGCACACACACACTCGCGCGTGTCAGGATGGAGCCCGAGTGAGCTGGAGGCTCTACCTTGTGAGGACAAGCGATTGTTTTTGACGAATCCACTTCGACGTCGGCTACTTTGAGAGGCTTCATTCTGAAAGAGATCACAGGCTTTGGATTATTAAAAAAAAACTTCACTCATGAATCTACAAGACAAAGTATTATCATTTGTATTTACACTCGTTTACCCATGAATGGCTCACCGAGTCTCAAGAATCCCTTTCCGGAGGGTCCTGCCAAGTTTTCGTAGTCGGCAGTGACGATTGCTAAGAAAAGCGTGATGTCATTTTTCACATTTGAACTCTGACGCTGGTACACAATGACCTACTCGTTTTCGAATGACGTCACATGACCTTTAATGTTTGTGGTGAAGAATCGTTTTTCTTGGTTCATATACACCACAGTTTTAACCACGGTGGCCTACCATATACAAACCGGGAACCTGGTAATGATTAGGTTCGGGTTAAGTTAAGGTAATGGTGAGGGTAAGGGTTTTACGTTAAGGTAAAGGGTGAGATGTTAACTGCCTCGCCTGGTATACAGGGGTCCTGGGTTCGACCCCAACCCTGACACCTGTATATTTGCACTAGCATAAGTACCCTGGCGTTGCCCAGGTGAAAAATATATTTCTTAATAACCTTACATATATACACAGATGGGCTGCTACTCCTGCCCCCCCCCCCCAGCCACGATCTCCTCGGCCGCTGTGCAGTAATATGTACGGCCTATAGTGTGGTGGGGTGTCGAGGCCTAGTACCATGCAGAGCCTCCGGCCTCGCCTAAATTGCCCACCCGGCTGAGGCTGGGTACCGGGGCCGTTACCCCCCCCCCCCCCCGCGCTACAATAATACTGTCTAATCGCTATAATTTTATTATCTACCGACCCTATAATAGTAATAGCACACATTGGGGTGGGGGGGGAGTGAAGAGGACGTGAAACTTTGATGAATTTACCTCAGAGTCGCGTGTTAATGCGTGCGCATATTTTTAACGGGAATTAAAAATGGCGTCCATCCCGCAGCGAATGCGTCGCTACCCGTTGCCAGGGGCAACCGCCGGACCAATCGCGTCTCGCAAATCCCTCACATTTCGTCCAATGAAACTGCGTATGGTCCGGCGACACACAGACAGACAGATAGATTTGTGATTTTATATATATAGATGTTCTCCCCGTGGCCATGTGGATTTTTTTCTGGGTTTTCTGATTTTTTTCCCCCCCACATTTAGAAACATGCATTTAGAGTATTGTCCACATAAGCCACTTTATGAAGCTATCATTTGTGGCCAGCTCACTTCTGAAAAGAGCTATATAGATTAATAGGGCCTTACCTGCTGAAATAATAAATAGTTTAATAACAGCAATGGTTATGTTAAGGTAATTGTTTCTAGTAGTGGTTAAGTTAATGGTTACGGGTAAGTTAAGGTAAAGTTTATGGTAATGGTTAGTCTTACGTTTAGGTTAGAGTGACATTAGAAGGATAGTGTAAGGGTGAGGATGAGTTGTGTGTATGTATGTTGAACGTCTTTCACACCGTACATAGCCAACCGTTCTAATCGGAGGTGAGAGTTATGGTGAGGTGTGGGGTGAAGTTAGCGTGGTTATGATGAGTTTGTGATGAAGGGAAAGTTGAGGGTTAAGCTGGGGGTTAGTTTATGGTAAGGTTTGGGTGTGTATTGAGTGAAGTTTTTGGTAGGTTTGTGGTAACTTCAGTATGAGTTTAAGGTGAGTTTACAGTGAGTTCAGCATTCAGATGGGGTAAGTTTACGCAGAGTTTGGGGTGCATTTGCGCTGAATTAGAAGTAGATTTGTCGTGAGATTGTGGCGAGATTTGGGTATGTTGATGGTGATATTAGGTAACTTTCCGGTAAAGTTGTGATGAATTATGGGTTTTGTTTGATTGCATTGAGGGTGAAGTTTTGATGAGTTTCAGTTAAGTTTGTGGTGAGTTTGGGGTAAATTGATGGCGAGCTTAGGATTGAGTTTATAATCAGTTTGGGTTGTTTTTAGCGAGATTGATGATAAGATTACGTCGATTTTGGGTTGAGTTCAAGGTGACACTATAGTTAGTGATGAATGAGTCTTGCTGCGAGCTTGTGGCCAGTTTGCGGTGAGTTTGCGTGAGCTTTGCTTAAGTTAACTGCAAGTTTGTGGCAATTTATGGCGAGTTTAGAATAAATTAGAAATCAGTTTGTGGTGAGATTGTGGCCAGTTTTGTGATGAGTTATGATGGGATTAGAGTTATTGGGGAGTTTATGGTGGGATTAAGAGTGGCGAGTTTTTAGTGGTGAACTTGCCTCGCAAACTCCGCCAGCTGTTTGGGGTCGGCGAGGTCGATGCCGGGAATCCCGGGTGCCGACCCCTTGCGCTGCTGCGCGAAGTGATGATGCACTTCGTCCACCTCGTCAAGCACCACGGAGCTCTGCGGGATCACCTCCTCCACCAGTGACATCTCCTCCATCTCTGACATCTTGTCTTCTGCACACAGGACACGGGGGATAGCCTCAAGCCTCGAACCATGACACAGGGATGACTGACGGAGAGAAACAGAGAGGAACAGGGAGAGGCTACAAACAAAACATGAGCGAGGGAGATACAGACGCGAGTACATACAGAGACAGATGAGACGGGCAGAAACAGAGAGTGACAGAGACGGGGGGGGGGGGGAGGCCACAGCTATGATGAGCCTGGGGAGAAAAGCGAAAATACAGACACACAGACGTACACAGAGAGGCCACGTGTGCAGCAGTTACCCGAGGCCCACACGGTGACGGAGAAGTCTCCCTCCGAGGTCTTGATCTGCACCTGCTTGTGGTCCCACTTGGCCGCACATTTGGCCTCGGCCTCTAGGAGGCCCCCCGCGCCGCGCTTGGCGCCGCCGGCGGGCGATACCGACGCCGAGATCTTGTTGCCGCGTTTGTGGACCCCGCTGCGCTTGAAGGCCTTGTGCTGCTCGGCCAGGGGCTCGTCGCCCAGGCCGTCGTGGCCCGCGGGCACGGGGATGAGGATGTGGTCGAGGCTCACGGCGTGCAGCTCCTCGCCCACCACCTCTTCGTGCGTCTGCACGAGGATCACCTCCTGGTGGCGGACGTCATCGTCGTCGTCGTCGGCACCCGAGCCCAGCGGCTCGAGGCCCAGAGACTCTTCGTCGTCGTCGCCCAGGGAGCCGTCGATGGGGATGGTGACCACCTCGATCTCCTGCAGCTCCACGATCTCGGCGGGGATCTCCACGCCGTCCGCCGTGATGCAGATCGTCTCGCTTGATGTCATGGTGGACATGGTGGTGGTGAGTGAGGTGGTGGTGAGTGAGGTGGTGGTGGTGGTGAGGTGGTGGTGGTGGTGAGAGAGGTGGTGGTGGTGAAAGAGGTGGTGGTGAGTGAGGTGGTGGTGAGGTGGTGGTGGTGGTGAGTGAGGTGGTGGTGGTGAGAGTGGTGGTGGTGAGAGAGGTGGTGGTGGTGGTGAGAGTGGTGGTAGTGGTGGTGAGAGTGGTGGTAGTGGTGGTAGTGGTGGTGAGAGTGGTGGTAGTGGTGGTGAGAGTGGTGGTAGTGGTGGTGAGAGTGGTGGTAGTGGTGGTGAGAGTGGTGGTGGTGAGAGTGGTGGTGGTGGTGAGAGGTGGTGGTGAGAGTGGTGGTGGTGGACCAGGTTGGTGAGTGAGGTCAAATATGGTGGTGGTGGTAGTGATGGAGATGAAGTTGCTGGATCGGAGGCAGGTGGTGGGTGAGGAGGGGGAGGTGTATGAAGTCAGAGAGGAGGTGGGTGAAGAGGTGGGTGATGAAGTCGGAGGGGAAGGAAGTGGTGGAAGAGGTAGGTGGTGGTGGTGGTGGTGGTAGATGTGGAGGAGGTGAGAGAGGAGGTGGAGGATGAGTTGAGAGTTGAGGAGGTGGGTGAAGTGGTGGAAGGGGAGTTGAGGGAAGAGGTGGAGGTTGAGTTGAAGGAGAAAGAAGAGACGGAGGAGGAGGGGGGGGGGGTGTGAAAGGGGAGGACAAGGCTGAGGAGGAGAAGAAGCCGCGTTCCGCTCGGGGCCTGAGGGCCGCGCCAGGCCCAGCACACCACTTGACGTCACCGTGACGAAATGTGACGCCACGCGACGGGCCAGGGCGTGACGTCATGTCATCGTCGCGTGACGTCACGGTGTAAACAGTCCTGCGCGCACCCCTCCAGACTCATTCATGCACCGATCAGCTCGGGTTCATCGATTTGCAGACCCATATATTGTACTCGCAGATCCATACTCACACAGATCCAGACCCATAGTCAAGGTCTCGCAAGGTGATTCATAAACTCACATAGACCACGGACACACACAGTGACTCGTCGACTCAGACCAACCCCTCACAAATGCATACTCACAGACCCACTCACAGATGCACTTACACCGAGACGCATACTTACTCACACTCTCACACACCATAATACTGGTAGGAACCTCCTGGCTACACCAGCCCACAGGGGATTATTGTGTCCGTCGTGCAGGGACGGGCTGGGTGGGGAGGGGCTGGGTGGGGGGTGGGAGGGGCTGGGTGGGGGGTGGGAGGGGTGGGGCTGGGTGGGGAGGGGCTGGTCACCCCGTGGTGCCCTTATAAAACTCAACGTTTAACCTACTCACGCCGGCTTGTGCCCGCCCTCACAGTCGGGCATATTTGCGGAATACACCACGCCGCCGTTGACCCTGGCCATTGACCGAGCAACCCAACGTTCCTACCAGCTCCCTCCGCAGGAATGTGTTCTCAGACCCATACTTCGACTGAATTGTTATAAAACAATTCTCAAGCCCAGCGAGTAAACCACTCGTGAGATTTCGCTTAATTTTTGAGTGAACTTTAGCCAATTACAACATCGCATTGTCCCACTCCCCCGATTACAAGGCCATCTACGGGAAGTTCTCCTGCTAGTGTAAAGTCAAACATGCCACGGGGGGGGAGGGGTGAAGATCTCATCCACCACCTCCTCTCATCCAGCTACTCTCACATCATCCCCCTCCTTCATCTCCACAACCTCCCTCCACCCTCGTACAAAACTGCAACAAACTCCACGAGCTTCTTAACAAACACACTTTATTGGTCAGCAAATCACCAGCGCAGGTGTCTCCCATCATAGAGGGCAGCACGTATGTAGTGACGACGTTCATAGAAGTGGCAGAATAAGTGACAGACAAGGGTGGGGGTCACGGGCGCAGGCACCACGAGAACAAGTGACTGTATACTACTTCGAGTTTGCATGTTCACCCCGTGGTCGCTTGGATTTTTCTCCAGGTCCTCCGTTTTTCCCCTTCACGTTTAAAAAAAACATGCTGTTTAGACCATTTGGCCGATACAAAATTCCACATAAGCTGCTTCGTTAATCTATCATGTGGCCAGGTCGCTTCTGGATAAAAAGAGCTGTTTAGCTCAGTGGGCCTGACCTGGTAATGAGTAAAAAGAGAGTGAGTTAAAATAGAACGCACAAAATTGTGAACACTTCAGTTCTGTTTTCTTGGTTCTTTCGGTAAAGTCACGTAGAAGTGACTTTACCGTGCTGCCTTCTACGTGACTTTACCGAAAGAACCAAGAAGATTAATCCCTGCAGTCACGAAAGCTTTAAATCGAAACTTCAGTTCTGGTTAACCGACCCCCGTGTAACGCCGAGTAAGCCACGCTCGCAAAGGACGGCCACATCTTCATCAGGTGAGGTTGTCGATGATAACGATTTAACTTATTTACCCAGAAAATGCTCAGTCTCACGAAGGTCGTGCTAATTTTTCCATAGCAGGGGGCAGAGAATGCCGTCTTTCACAATTGAACCTCATGGCGGTACCCCGGCTCTCGCATAATGTCCGTGATGCAGTCATTTTTAGTCTGTTGATGGTCGGCGATGTGGCAATCGACTCATCTCGACGAGCTGTACACGATGCACCACCACGGTGCGTACCGCGAGCGTTCAGGGTTTCGGCACAATCGTCCTCGCTGTTTCGACATCGCGGAGTGGCACTGATGTCGGATTGATTGGTTACCCCAGTTGCGGAGTTAAGTCCCAGAAATAAAATATTTAATTGCCTCGACCATATTTTATTATTTGGTACCCCGGGGTACCGCCATAAGGATCAATTTAAGAATAGTTTATGGTGGAATCACCGCTACAAGTAACCAACCACAGTTAAGTAATCCCACACTGCTGTCTGAAATCCAAGTGCAGCCAATAATCCCTGTGCTGTCTGGAATCCGGCATTACCACCAGCAATCCGTGTTGCCTGCTGTGATTCCGTGCTGCCTGCAATGCAAAACGCTGATCGAGCAATGCTTGCTAGTCGAGTTGTGGATGAATTTAGCATCGAACGAGAACCGATATCCTTGCCTAGAAACATCTAACAGTTCACTAAGTGGCTCAAGCAAGCCCAACTCTGCTGACGCGACAATATTTTGAAATCTTGTTGAAATATGCACTCCCACAAGGCCGTATGCCTGATGAGATGTGAAAAAAAATGTCCTTCATTATTTGTCTGCTTAGTGCTCTACGCCACTGCAGATTTATTTTTGCTAGAAAACATTTTAACTCGAGCAGCTTCACAGCACTCGCTCACCGCAACGAACACCCACGAGCTTCACACACACACACGAGGCGGCACGTCACTTGCACAGGTACCCCGCATCATAGAGGCCAGTCACGTTATGACGAGGTCCGTAGTAAGGAGGTGGTATAATTAACAGTTATAGACGAGGTGGTGTCACGACCGTTCTATTCTTACCAGTAACAAAACATCGGTCGTAGGCACCTATGAGAATGAATAATCACTCGCAAATATGAACATTTGGTTCCCGGCATACCGACCATTGTGTCACGAGTAAACCACGGTGGCTAAGAATGACTTAATCTTCATCAGATGAAGTTGTAGATGATGACGACGATGACGACGAAGATGACGACGAAGATGACGACGAAGATGACGAGGATGACAGTATGTGTGTGCCCACAATATTGGTAGTGGAGTTTTTGGCACGGGCGGAATTCCGGGTGCCCTGCGTCTCTGCGCGTCGCTGCCGGACTACGCTCATGCGGGCCCGGGCGACTCCCCCTCTCCGGCGTAGGGGGCAACTCGGCCGCGCAAGCGGCCAGCGGCGGTCCTCGTCCAACTCCCTCTCTGGCGCCCAGTTCAAACCTCTCGCCCGAGAAGTCGATGCCGATGCCCCTTGGGCTGAATTGGTATGGGGCACAGAGGGAGGACACAATCCAAAAAGAGAGACATTTCGACTTTGTTGTCCTGGGCATTATGAGTGATGCGTAACTGTGCGGGATGTGGTGCGCTGCGCGGCGTTAAGACACACCGAGCTGCAATCTCTCTCTCACGATCTCGTCTCTCTCGGCCTTTTTCTCCTGCCCTAGCGACTCCACCATGCGATCGATGCAATTGTCGAGGACGAGGGAGGGCGTGCTGGATGTGGGGCTTGCGCGGCAGATTGGGCACAGCTCCTTCTGCTTCAGCCACTCCTCGATGCAGTTGCGGCAGAAAGTGTGAGCACAGCTCAGCGTCGTGGCCTGCACCACCACCACCACCGCATCGCACAGGGGGAGGGCCACGCCAAACACTCTTAACCCAAACTTACGGCTCTTGCGATACAGCAGCAGGAGTGCATTCATAATAATAATGAATCACCTGTAATGTAATATGATTAAATCGATAAAACCATCCAAGCAGCAGTAACAGCAGCAGTAGCATCAACAGAAGCAATAACATCAGCAGAAGCAGCAGTAACAATAGCAACATCAGCAGAAGCAGCAGTAATAACAGCATTAGCAGCACCTGAATGAAGAGCTCGGAGCAGATGATGCACTGCAGCTCATTCTCCATCACGTTCTCAAAGGAGCAGATCACCTGCTTCTTCTCAGTCTTCTCTTGCTGCAGCGGTAACAACAACAGCAGCAGCCATAGCATCACCGCCAGCACCCTCACCACTGCAGCAGCGCCATACGCCAGGCGGTGCGGTGTTCCCCGTCACCAGTTGTCAGTGGAGTAGCGTGCATGCTGAGCTAAAGTGGAACCAGTGTGCAAAATACGTAGACTATCTGCCTCCTTCCCACATCTGTTCCTCCACATGAAGAAAACTATGTTTAGCACATCCCACCGGCCACACGGCATTCTGGGAGTGCATAATTTTATAATCCTATGAAACTGCACACAAACACCACTGTTGAAGCCACACACACGCACGTGCATGCAGTTCCCTGCCGTCAACTGCCGTCCGCACCTCCAGCTGCATCTGCTGCTCGCGGAGTGCCAGCTGGTTCTGCCGCTGCCTCTCTCTTTCCTCCGCAAGCTCACGCTGCAGACGGCGCCACTCCCGCTCGCTGCGCTCCCCCACCGCGTCGTCCTTGCCGGGCTCGCACGGGGCGGCTCCAAGCCAGCGCTTCCCTCGCTTCTCGTCGGCAATTCCCACAGGGGAGGGCCAGGGCTTCGCCGCGGGGCCGCTCCGCACACTCTCACAATCCCCTCCATGTCCTTCGCCCTTCTCCGCTGCTGCGCTCTTCAAGGTGCTTTGCGTGGGGTCATCCTCTTCCCCGCCGCCGCCGCCGCTCCGCGAGCTGCCTGGGTTTGACCTCCGAGGGAGGTCGCCGGTCGACTCCTGCGTCTCTCGTGATGGCGCATCTCCGAGCTCCCTGGCTCCGCTATCCTGGGAAGGGCCTGAATGGGCGGCGTCCATTCTGGGTTTCTTGCCAGTGAATGGCCTCGGCTGGTGGAGGACACTGCCGACCGCACACGCTTCCTCCTCACGCTTGCGTTTCTCGGGCGGTGAGCCCGAACTTGACGGCGCTGGCGACTCGGCGAAGCAAGTCCGCAGCGCCGTGCGCACCACGCGGTACTCGAACTCGGGGCTCTCCTGGCTGTCGAGGCGCACGCCGATTTGCACGGTGTCGCCCGCGGAGAGCACGCGTGGCGTGCCGGGATCAATCCGTTCCCCGTTCACGTACACGCCGTTGATGCTCTGTGAAACGCAGGCAATGCACATCGCAAATGTCTATTACTATTTATTGTTATTATGCTTGCTTAGTTTTGAAAGTCTTAATCTCCTTCAACAGATATAAGTTATAGATGATGATGATGATGATATGGTGATTAGTATTTTCAGGCTTGTTTATGCAAAGGTTCTGAAAAGAGTTTACAGTAGGGACAATGATTGCTACGTGGTAAGTAAATTGTGGTGTAATTTTTTCTATTTAGAAAATTTGGACTGACGCCAGCACAGAGTGGCCTACTCTTGCAAATTATACAGGAACGTTATTGTCCGCTGCAAAGCAGATGGCGTGTAGTGTTTTATGATTAAATACACACCAAAGTATTAACTAGGACGGACTGCCAAATTCCAACCACAAACCTATGCAACGAGTAGCGGCCAAGCCACTGTTGAGCTGAGTCATAGCCCCAGCAAAGCACAAGCGCAGTGGCGCACGGTGGGCAGCCTGGGTGCAGAGATGCTGAATGAGGCAGTATGGCTGCACCTGCAGCAGTTGCATATTTAGTAAATATCCTGTAATGAGATGAGAGCCCAAGGAGACAAATCTCTCAAGGGAGGCCTGGACCACAAGAGGCAAATGGAGCCACGCAGAACCGAGTAATACAGCACCAGTGTCATCTATCACGTGGTTCGCCCACTGTGCTATGAACCCCGCAACCAGAGTTTAATTCCCAGCACGGCGGCGAGTGATATCTGAGCCGGTCCTGAGCTACCCCTTATCAACTAGCCAGTGTGAAGACTGACATGACATTTAATTACCCAGAGGTAATTAATCTCTTATAACCATTTTATACTGGCATATCCGAGCCATGCTAGGGCCGTGCCAAGCCAGCATGGTGTGGGTCAGAAAGCACGGGTTGCTTTTCCACTGCGCACAAGCCAAGCCGTGCTGCTGACGTCATGCGCAATTCATGACATCAAGACCAGCGTAGACGCCGACGCCTACGAGCTGCGCCAACTAACGTCGCACACATTGCACAACTCACTATCCCCACCCCTAGCCCTGCTTGGCCCTAAACCAGCTTCATGTGTCTTGTAAGGCAAGCAGAGCACGATTATATAAAATGCCAGTGGAAACCCGACCGTGCTGCACGGGCCCTGCACTGACGCGTCTCGGATGCACGAGCGGGAATGGAGAATTGACGAGCGCTCTGGCCGGGCACCCCAGCACATCGGCGCCATCGTACCCGGCAATCGGTGACGCTCCAGCAGGGCTCTCGATGCGGGGAGGCTCCTGGTGCGCAGCGCGTGAACACGCAGTGTTTGCGCGACACCATGAGTGGGTACTTAAGCGACACGAGGCGCGCCGTCACCTCCATGCCACGGCCACACGCCACCTGCAGCCACACGTTCACAACGCGCATCATGACATCACAACGTGGATTTATATCCATATGGGTTGACAGTGCGGCAAGGTAGCGGCGCAGTAGTACAGCAGATCATTGATTATCCGGCTTCCAAGATAATCCAGCACGCCCTTCCCCCCAAGGCCGCCGGATAATCGATGATCTACTGGAACACTCGCGTCTCACAGCATCAAGGGTACCGGTTCGATTCCCGACTCGGGCGCATTTCTATCTTAAGTGTTTATCTTCTCCCCGTGTTCTTAAGAGTGTGAGTGGAGTGTGAGCGTTATGTTAGTGTGTGGTGAGTGTGGAGCTTTGTGTGTTCTCCCCGCAGTTTTTCATGGGTTTCCAACGGGTTCTCCCAACGTCCTCCTACAACTGCCACCATATACAATGTCATTGCCATTTACCAAACCATCCAAATGCAGGACCCTCTTGAAAACGAGAATTCAGACTCGTAACGTGATGCAGCATTAACGCTCGTTACTACAACTCAAGCTGGAGAGAGACGCGATCACAATTGTTGAGTGACAAACTCGCCCGTTACTCACCCAGGCCTCCCACATAGAGGGCAGTACTAAGACTACCGGTCAGGGTGGCCCTACTTACTACTTGCTGTACTGCCTGCCACGGGCCACCTCCGAGCCACGCAAGTTGTGAGTCTGGCGCTCGTGATATTGTCTGCGTGACCCACCAACCCCACGGCCGCTGTGCCATCACCTCACCATCATCACCACCTTCCTCGTGAAAATCATCTACTCCACGTCACCACCCTCTGCCCTTCACCACCAAAATCACCCCCGACTTACCAATCACCGCATCCTCCCCGCCATCAACATCATCACTGTCACGTAACAACATCACCGTATCACTACTACCGCCTTCAGAACTATAGCATCCCTTCACCGTCACCACGACCACCTCCAACCCACCATTATCACCACCACATCACCCTCCTCGTCACCACCACCACATTCCCTTCCCGTAATCACCACCTCGGCCATCATCAACCACCTCTCGCCGCCGTCACGAACCGCCGCCCCGAGCGCACCTCGTCTCCTGACAGCAGGATCCGGCCCTTGTGGTGGCCGATCCGCTGCAGGTACCACTCCTCCTCCTCCTCTCCCTCCTCCTCCTGCTCCTTCTTTTCCTCCTCCACCTCCTCCTCGCCCTGCGCCGTCGCCTCCGCGCGTAGCACCGCGCCACCCGCCGCCATCGCTACTCTGCGGACCCCCTTTCGCCACGTGACCGGGCCGCCGGACCACGTGACGCCGAGCGCGTTTGGAACTCGGGATGATCGATTTGGGGTAAATATCTAATTACGATTTTTTTTTCTTCTTCTTGGTTTTTTCAGTAAAGTCACGTAGAAGGGAAATAATAAAATAAAACATTATATAAGGTGTTTATTATGTTTTATTTTTATTATTTTATTATTTCCCTTCTACGTGACTTTACCGAAAGAACCAAGAAGATGAATCCCTGCAGTCACGAAAGCTTTAAATCGAGATTTTTTTTCTGACAGATATTGTGATTTGATTTGCGATTACATTTTTAAAAGTCAAGCTTCAGTTCAATATTCACTGTGTAATATATTTATTTAAATGTGATGGAGCATTACCACATGATACCATCAAAATATAAACTGCTCTGTATATTCTAATGCAAGGATGAGAACTTAAAATATATGAATTGCTTCCAACATGCCTTTATTGAGATGTTTTAATTGAAATAGAACAATAAACATAGAACAATTGTTAAGTTAAATAAATAAAGTTATAATTTAAAAAACATTCCAATAAGAAAGTAACAGGACTTTTCAAATCGCAAAAAATCGCAGCCTTTGTGATTTGCTAATCGCAGTTGCAAATTTCGATTTTAAATCGATTAATCGTTCAGCCCTATAATTGGAGCGTGCCCGATGCCACGAGCCACCCCTACCCCCTACACAAGGGGTGGGAAACCTTTTTTCTGCCAAGGGCCATTTGGATATTTATATAACATCATTCGCGGGCCATACAAAATTATCAACTTAAAAATTAGCCTGTTATATTTGGTCAAACATTTAATTAACTCACCCCTAATGCGATGGCTGGAACTGCTTCTCTTTGACGAAGCGTGTGATGTTAGCTGGTATTGATGATGTTGCTGCTACTCTCAACTGCTTTTCCAGGTTTTCTCCTAGATTTATTGAATTTCGAGTCCCGCCCGCGGTTGCCTTGGCAGGGCCACACCAAATGATTTCGTGGGCCTCATACGGCCCGCGGACCGGACGTTCCCCACCCCTGTCCTACAAGAATGAGAATCTCGATTTTTATCCCGGAGGATTCCGATGAGCGTTGAAGCTCTTTTACCACAGCTGTCAAAAGGGGCGCGGGTCAGAAAGTTCAAAGAAAACCTCCCGCCAGCGAGTTATGTTACTCACCGCCTTCACCAATGTGCAGTCTTATTGAGGGCCCTGTGTTGTTGTCTTGCTGTGGTCTGGGACTGTTGTGGTTTATTCTTGAAAATGTATGGTTATTAATTTTCGGACTTATAATACAATTTGTACCCGTGTACGTTCTTTATTTTAATTGGTAAATTTACGTTTCGTGACTCGCTGACCTTTTCTCTATTTCACAATACAATATCGCTTTTTTGTTGCCGTTGGAAACTTTCCTACGCGCCCCGCCTGCCGGACGACATCGGTGACGAAGAGCTTCGGAGCTCATCGGATTCCTCCGGGGTGAACGCAGATGGCGACGAAGTCTGTGGAGTGACCGCATGGTTTAAACGCCGCGCTTAGATCCAAAACGCGCGGGGAACCGGGCCGGTCTCTCTCCCTACGTGGTGCTCCCTCGCACGAAATCCAGCAACCCCGAGAGCCCCACTCCCACCCGTTGTCGGATGATTCGACTTTTGTCAGAAATGTCACTCACCGTTGCGTCTACGATCGGTCTCCGAGCGATCGAGAGCGTAGTACGCTTTCGCGACCAATATTATTCATAATAGTTGTTTTTTTTTAGTTAGATCGCGTTAATATAATTGCGTCGTGAAACCCGCCACCACCCAACAACAGCCAATTTATCTTCTTGGTTCTTTCGGTAATGTCACGTAGAATGGAAATAATAAAATAATCAAAATAAAACATTATAAAATAATTCTCACGTTTCAGCCACAACGCAAGCAGACCTGTTCTCCACCTGAGGACGGCTGCTTGCGTTGTGGCCGAAACGTTGTGAGAATTATTTTATTATGCTTTATTTTTATTATTTCCATTCTACGTGACTTTACCGAAAGAACCAAGAAGACGAATCCCTGCAGTCACGAAAGCTTTAAATCGAAATTTAACAGCCAATTTGTAAGGTGTGTCACGTAACCAAAACATTTCTTACTACAGGTCACCCACCATACGTCAATTGTGATTAACTGTGAGCAGAGAACCGATACCTGCTATTTTCGTGCACACAAAAAACGGCAGGATGTACAAGCACAAGGTGCATGCACATTTTGATTACCCTATGAATAACCCAACCGGTAATGTATATCCATAGTAATTTATATTCATTAATCAATCCCCCCCACCACACTTTTTTCCCTTTGGACCGGGTTGGCTCACAAGTAACATCACATTCATCTCCTCTATTTGAGAACGAAACAGGGTTTCTCCACAAATCTCGCCTGATGATGCTCGTTGTAATGACTGGCGAAACGTCGTACTCGAATTGTAAATGTAGTGTTTACTCTCCAACACATCGTGTGCCGCACTAGTAAGGAATTGTCATGTTTTGTTTAATTGACAAACCTTATTAATTGGCTGTCCAGTAGTGGCGGTTTTAACAACACATTTATATTTACGCGATCAAACTTAAAAAAAAAACTTATGGATCGAGAGCTTTGTTCCAAAGAGTCACTTCGCGGACATGTTGCCCATCTTTACGCTCAAACTCCAGGAAAATTGCGCACTTAAGTTGTCGGTTGACATTCGGAGTGGACTGAAACAAAATTTTGATTTAAAGCTTTCGTGACTGCAGGGATTCATCTTCTTGGTTCTTTCGGTAAAGTCACGTAGAATGGAAATAATAAAATAATAAAAATAAAACAATAAAATAATTCTCACGACGTTTCGGCCACAACGCAAGCAGCCGTCCTCAGGTTAAGAACAGGTCTGTCGAGAAGACAGAGTCTGCGTTGTGGCCGAAACGTTGTGATAATTATTTTATTGTTTTATTTTTATTATTTCCATTCTACGTGACTTTACCGAAAGAACCAATAAGATGGACTGAAACTCGCTGAATAAGGGTGTATGGCAGCAAGAGCAGTTTATGCGAATGCTGTCGCAAGAGGTCACACGTTTGGCGCTACGGTCCTTGGCTATGCATGAATGTCCTGCCAAGTTTTCGCAGTAGGGGGCGATGTTGCTGTGATCCCAATGGAATAGCTAATACAAGTTACTCTGCATTTGTTTTCGCGTACAAGTAACCATAGAACTCATGCAGAATTGACAGTGAACGAACAACCTCCACTCACAAACAGCAAGGCACCAGGCCCTGAAATCGAACCCAGGCGCTTCTTGCAGTGAGGTGCGAGTATCATCAATGCACTGCCACCCTGGGTCAGCAAGCGACACGCAAAGACAGTCAAACGCACGCTCCACCGTGGCGTCTCCAAAAGCAACTTTATTCGTAATTCAAAAAGCACGACAGCTCGCAGCGCCAATGCGCATCATACGACAACACGTAACACAACAGTTTGACAGCATGACAGCTCGCAGGTTTCCGTGCAGATCGCAGTGCACAGCTTGCGGCGAACAGCATGGAGCACAACAGTTTGCACTCGTAGCACGCAGCTACGATGTGCAGCAGGACGTTCGCGGGATGCAGCTTGTGGGCGCAGCTCCATCAGCAGCAAGCAGCGGCAACAACAATGTCTTCCAACAGCAAGAAAGGAATGAGCCAACGTGGGAAGAGGCACATGTGCGGCTTGTGCTGGTGGCTGGCTTGAAAATGTGTTATTGTTGAATGTGACAGCAGGATCAAATAACGAGTTCGCTAATTGGTTACTGATCAGTGTAAGAGTTGGTTCTAATAACTGGTGGGCTAGAGATAGGGCGAGAGTTTGTGTGGCTTCACACTAACCACTCTTCTCCCGATTTCAATGGATGGTCCTTTTAGTTTTTAGTCTCTTTTCATTGCTGTGTCCACAAGGCCCACACAACCACACGGCCCGCACAGAGGGCACAGCCTGCAGCCCTGCAGAGCCCGCAGAGGGTGCAGCCAGCACGGAAGGCCCCATATGTCCTCAACATACCGTGCAACAATCCACTTCCTGGCAACGCCGTGCCGTTCTCAGGCATCACGGTAAAGTCTCTCAATCCCCCCCCCCCCAACTGCCTCATGCCCAACCCCCAAAACCACCTGAATCTCCTAGATTACACACGCAGGGGTCACGTTGCGAGAACACCGTGTTTCCTTCTCCACAATCAACAGCAATTATCTCCAAGGCAAATAGAAATGTGACATGAGCAGCTTATTTTAGGCTGTTGTGTGCGGTTCTGGTTGCAGCCTGTGAGTAAATTATCATCATCCGAAAGGAAAGCGGTTTAAATAATTGTCAGCTCTTCTTCACGCCCTCCAAATAAGCTTAAACACTGGCAGAAGTGCATGAACATCGCAAATCAAGTAAAAAAGACAAGAAGCGTACGTACATCAGTGCACAACGACCACAACCGCCGCGGCACGGACACGAAACAGGCAGCGCAGAGGCCACTCACTCGGGGCCACTGGGACCCTGAGGCCACCGGAGGATGATTCGGAAGAGCGCCACACGGGTTTGGCCACCTAAGCCAACCCGGCTCAAACGGGCGGGCCTGACGCACCGCAAGCACCCCCGGCGGCTCCTTCGCTCCCCTAGGGCGGGACGGGGGACGCGGGGGGTAGAGACCCCGGGCCGGGAGGGAGGGGGGGGGAGGGAGGCCACTACTCGAGGCGGCCACCCTTGAAGTGGCGCTTGACGCGCGAGTAGGGCCCAAGCGAGTCATCCGTGATGAAGTCCCACAGCACCTTGACCCAGGAGTCGTGCTGCGGCAGGTCCTCGTAGAACTCGGGGGCGATCTTCCTCACCTGGCACCGCACGAACGCAAACATGAGTTTAAGTTCAATCGTTATTTAGATTATTCCGCTCGTTTAGCTGGGAAAGCCTCACCCAGTCTCAAGACTTCTTTTTCAGGAGGCTCCTGCCCATTGTTTGAAGTAGGGGGCGATGTTGCTGCTGCTATGTGATCCCAATTGAGTATATTATTTGCGGGAAATGTGCATCTGGATTTGTGGTCAGCACCGGTTACATTTTATTTTTACGCTCGTTATTTTGTTGCGTTTATTAACTCAATCTGTAATGGGCATTGTCCAGTGGGAAACACTGTACATAATACAACTGTATTGTCCATAATATAAGTTTTTGGGTTAGAATATGTAAATATATAAATGTGTCGTTAAAACCCGCCACCGCCCAACACAGCCAACTAGTAAGGGTCGTCACGTAAACAGAACATGCCAATTCGTCACTAGTACAGAACACATTTTAATGTTGTGGCTTGATAACCCTTACTAGTTGGCTGTGTCGGGTGGTGGCGGTTTTTAACGACATATTTATATATTCACGCGATTTAACCCAAAAACCTCTTATGGATGATATTGGTCGCGAAAGCCTACGTATTAAAAACAACTGTATTGCATGGAAACAAAGTTACCACAGGTTAAGCTTCTCTGAAATTACAGTCCCAAGTTACCACATTTAAGCGAGTTGTAAAACTCTCCATCATGCTCCGGAGAGCTCGTTTCCAGCCACTGGTTGTACAATTCATGCAGGAGAGTCTTCCTGCATCACAATAATTCGGCCGGGTGACTCAGTGGTAGATGTCCGTGAGTTCTAATGCAGGTTGGAGTGTTGACTCAGCCCATCGTTCCTCTGGGGTCGATACAATTAGTACCACTTTGTGAGTAAGTCAACAGAAATAGTCCTCTGTATGTACTTGCCCCTACCATAAGAATCCCGAATATCCACCACTGTCTGACACACTGACTCACACACCGACACAAACCCACACGAATTCATACTGGTGCTCACTCACACACTGACACAACAAAGATCCCCTGGAGAGCATTAACAGACTTTTGGGCCAAGTGCTATTAGTTAGCATCTATGAAGGCTGGCACCGCACACGAGTAAACGGGTCGCCAGAATCCTTTGTGTCCCTTGTGGCGATGTTTACACACTGCACCAGGAACTCATTGGATGCTTAGTCAACCTCGGGGAGGCCCAGGACCATTTGAGGTAATCGTCAATGGTGTTGGCCATGAAAAGGAATCTAACTCGGGTAGCTGGGTTCATAGTGCAACGCTGTAACCACAACACTACCACTTCCCACAGCACACTGAATCCATCCCAAGTCCTTCTTGCTCTTAGGCACGAGTCTTAGCACTGTACCACCCTGCCACCCACATTACGTGTCTATGTGCGAGTCTGCGCATGTGTGCTAGTATGCGAGCACGCACGTGCGAGTGTACGCATGCACGTGTGAGTGTATGCGTGTGTGCGTGCATACGCGTTCATGTGTGTGTGTGCATAAGTGTGTGCGCACGTATGTATGAGTCAGCCTGGGCCTGGCTCACCAGAGGCAGCCGGCAGCCCGGGATGCTGGGGAAGTCGTGGTGCTCCATGTGGTAGCCCACGTTGAACGTGAGCATGTTGAGCGGCCCGTAGTAGGAGTACGTCTCGTGGCCCTTGAGGAACATGTAGTGCTCGGCGATGAAGTGACCCGAGATGGGGTGCAGGCCCATGCAGAGCAGCGAGCCGGCCACCATGTACACCACAGGCTTGGCTCCCAGCAGCGCATACACCAGCGCGTTGAAGGCCACCTGAACAGCGATGTTGATGAACTCCATGTGGGTGAAGGGCTTGGGGTTGATGCAGAGTGGCCGCACCGTATAGAAGAGTGGCTGCAGCAGGATCCACACGAGCTTGCGTGCCGTCGTGCAGAAGAACCAGCCTTCGAAGTCCGTGGGGATGTCCACGTCCACGCCGTCCGCACCCAGGTAGCGGTGGTGGTCCAGGTGGTACTTCTTGAATGAGATGGAGTAGGGCAGGCCAATGGGCAGGTTGGCGAACATGCCATACCAGCGGTTCCACTGCACACGGCTGCTCCCAAAGGCCACGTGGTGTGCGATCTCGTGGATGGCCAGAGTCATTGAGTGATTGATGCAGCCTCCGAACACATAGGCCCAGAAGATGACCCACTTCCACGGCAGGTCCTTCACCAGGTAGAAGGCCACCAGCTGTGCTAGCACCATGGCCAAGATGATCCACTTGAGGCGGGGGTCAGAGCCCATGAGGGTCTTGATCTGCGGATATTTCTCTGTGGAAGGCATCAATCGGGAAATGTATGTTTTTATGTTGAACTTCTTTCGCAACGTACGCACTCAATCGTCCTCATCGGAGGTCCGGGGAAGGACAACAAACTAAACACAAAAAGCAGTTCTAAAGAAATGAGTTTTCAATTTAGACTTAAAAGTGCATAGCTCCAGTGGCTTCCTAATTTCGGAAGAAACAGCCTTCCAGACGGCCGCATCTGAAAGCGTGTGATGTGGCAACAAAGCGCGCGACGTGGTCACATAGCACTCAGCGTTTGCACACAAGCGAGAGCGTGTTTTGGGAATCACACAGCGGCACCAGTCACTGTGTGCAGGCACCGTGGAGGTCAGCTATTACTCAGTAGCGTGCCCTTCACGGTAATTTAAACACCTGGCATTAACGGACAACTCTTTACACAGCGTAGGTAAGGAGCGCTTACCAACCAACGCTGCTGAAAAGAATTGTGTAAGTAATGTGGAGAAGTCGACAAGAGCAGTCCTTAGGAGTTTTTATTTTATTTATCAGGTAAGGCCCACTGAGCTATATAGTTCTTTTTCAGAAGTGACCTGGACACAAATGACAGCTCAACGAAGCTGCTTATAGTCGCCAAATTGCTCTAAATGCATGTTTCTAAATGTGGAGGTAAAAACCAGAGAATCCGGATAAAATTTCACACGAACACGGGGAGAGAAAACACGCAAACTCTAAATAGACAGCAGGCGTCAGGGTTGGGTTTGAACCCACGATCTCCTGTATACCAGGCGAGGTTGTTAATATCTCGCCATCCTCGTGCCCTAGTTTGTGAGTGTGCAAGGTAATGACTGAGAATACTGTATGAATGGGCGAGTGAGCAAAGTGGGTGGGTGACTGGAATGGGAGTTAGAGCGTAGCACGCTGCGCTACGAGTCCAGTGACCCACGTTATCATCCAGTTAACGCCCAACACCGGGAACTTTTATCTGAACTGGTTCCGAGCCTTCCCTGGGTCGACTCGGCCTCAAAAGAGGCCCTGGTGCAATGTGTAAACATCGCCGCTATAGAGATAAAGACGGCCGGGCGTGGTTGCTGGCCACCCACCCCCTCGTGTGTCGTGTCGGCCTTAATAGGTTTTCGTTAACATCACTTGCCCCAACAGTCTGCAAAGGCTATGGGGGGGGGCATCTTTTTCTTAGGGCGAGTTGTCGTGACCTGCAGTGTTGGGGGCGAGTGGTTGAGACGTATGGGTCTCGCTTTGTCCCGAGTGTTCAGCACGGAGGCGAGGCCGTGCCACTGCTATTCAGTGGCCTGAAATCAAATGTTTCGCTCCGGATGACCGCTGCCAAGTATGATCTTGTGTTTTGATTATAGTGTGCTGATCTTAAAGGTGCATTGAAAAAATGCTATACTCCTGCTGTTATGGAGTGACTCATGCAGCCAACTATGGCTGTAAAGTTTTGTAGTACATGTTATGATCACTGTTACATTACTTTTATAGCTTTATTTTAGTGATTTCGAAAACGTTTTGGTTTAGCCATATTTGTTTGTTGTAGTACAGAGTTAGACTGATAACTTTAATCTAAATTGTCTTATGGTTGTTATTGTTTGACTTGCATCCCACTGGGATTTTTGCACACAGCATTGAATTACGGTGTTTTTTTCTGGAAGACTTTGCTGTTTTTTCCTGGATTTTTCTGTTTGCGCGTAGTCACTTTAAGATGTTTATGTTTTTGTTTGTTGCGGTTGCACCCGATTCAAGAGCCGAATGGCTCACATGGCTATACCTAATAAATTAAACTGAAATGAAACTGTGCACAGGGCACGAGGCGTGCGAACGCGAGGTGCTCGGTGGATGTGGTTCAGACTCTCATCCCCCTACACCGCCCCCCTCGAATGCTGTGCGGGAGTTCAACACGGGCCACGCGGCAGGGGCTGTCGAAACTGCTGAGACTTCTCACATTTGCAACAGTTTCAAAGGTCACCAATCGCAACAGCTTCACCTACTGCAGATTAAATTGGCTTGGGTCACCGATTGCGTTGTACAAGCCGTGACGCGTGCGGATGCATTCGTGCCTGCAATTGGGCTCCTCCATCTATCCCGAGTTGTCGCCTTCCCAAGTTCTCGCCTGGACGAGACTCAACAAGCTTCACTCGCCTACGCCAGGCTCGTGGATGCGCGCATTAACAACAACAACATCGTCGTCTTCAATCACGGTGGGACGGACCCCACGGTGGACGAGGGAATCCCCAGAGCGCAGCGATGACCGCCCGGCACCGGCAGGCACCGACCTCCTCCTCCTCGTAGCCGCGTCAACGGCGACTCGAGTGGCCAACTGAGCTGACTCAGCGGGGCAACTCCCCTGCCACTCCCGAGAGCCAGGACCCCCCCATTAGACCCCCCTCTAGAGTCAGACCCCCCCCCCCTCCTAGACACTTCTAGAGCCCCCCACCACGATAAGCAGAGCCCGAGACCCTCAGCTGAGCTCCCCCCCCCCAAAGACCCCCTCCTACAGCCAGACCTCCCCAGCCTTGCAATGTGAAACAACCCAGAGACCCCCCACCCCGCTCGCCTCACGGGCCCGAACCCCCTAGACCCTCTCTAGGGCAAAACCCCCTCTAGAGCGAGACCCCCTTCCCACCCGCCTCGCCCCACGACTGCCCCGGGCGGCTCCTCTAGTCGCTGACCGGGGAGGCCCCCCACGTTCGCAGGAGGCCACGGAAGGCGCCGCTCGGTGCGAGTCGCGGCCTCGCCGGCAAAAGCGTCGTCCGCGTGTGTCCCATCCCCCCCGCGCGGAACCTCGCTACGTACCCAGTATCTGTCGGCGGCGGTCGGCGTGCGGCTGCTCCGTGTAGCTCCACGTGAAGTCCGCCGAGCGGGAACGCGAAGCGCCCATGGCGGAGAGCGGAGAGACGCGGCGGGCGGCGGCGGGGAGGAGACGGGGGCGGAGTGACGTCACGCGGTGGGCGTGGCGGGGAGGAGACGAGGAGGAGTGACGTCACGCGGTGGGCGTGGCGGGGAGGAGACGGGGAGGAGTGACGTCACGCGGTGGGCGTGGCGGGGAGGAGACGAGGAGGAGTGACGTCACGCGGTGGGCGTGGCGGGGAGGAGACGGGGCGGAGTTACGTCACGCGGTGGGCGTGGCGGTCTCTCGCGAGCCACGTGACGCGGGGGTCGTGGGGGGGTGGGCACGGAGGGGAGGGGTGGGGGCCTGTGGTGAGAGCCACGGGGGGTCAGCCACGTGATGATACCGGGGGCGGGAGAGGGGGGGGGCACGTGACGATGCCGGTGGGGGGGAGAGTCACGTGACGACGCGGGGGGGAAGAGGGGCGGGGCGAGCCACGTGACGATCACAGCCGAGCACGTGATCGCTGATCCATCTCCAGCATGCCGCCCGTTAGCCACGAGGTGGCGTCAACGTCAAACCACGGTGCTTGTGCCAGGCTCGGTGCACTCTGAGCTCACGTCAAGTGTCCAAGGCTCGCTGCTGATAGGGACAGGCCCAGGTGCCATGGGCTGACTGCCTGAGATGACTGGCAGATGCACCACCTGTGCCCCCCACTGTGCCAACTTGCTGCGTCCGTCGTGAGCGTCGCTCCTGCGCCCTCTGCTGTTACTCCTCACCTCTCAACTCTCCTATCGTTATTCCAAGCACTCACCACCACCACCCACCTCATCATCCCAGCACTCACCACCACCACCTACCTCATCATCCCAGCACTCACCACCACCACCCACCTCATCATCCCAGCACTCACCACCACCACCCACCTCATCATCCCAGCATTCACCACCACCACCCACCTCATCATCCCAGCACTCACCACCACCACCCACCTCATCATCCCAGCACTCACCACCACCACCCACCTCATCATACCAGCACTCCTCACCGCCACTCACTTTCACCAATACATTTCACAGGGGCTTATCCACGCCTCCCATGGTGACACAGTAATTAATGGGCCCATAATTAGCCCCTCACATTAATCCTCAGCGAATTGCTACTATTCGGAGACGCGAGTGGATCAAAGTGGCGAGGAGTGGAGCTCCATTCGTGGTCGCAAGAGAAACGTGCATCCTGGATTTTTCTGTTTGCACAAAGTCACATAGTCACTTTGAGACGTTTTCTTGTTCATGTTTTTTGTCTTTTGTTTGTTGCGGTTGCACCCGATTCAAGAGCCGAATGGCTCACAGGGCTTTACCAAATAAATAAAACTGAAACTGAAAACTGATTGCAACCACCAACGGTACAAACCGGCCACGTGGCTCCCTGGTAGAGCGAGTAGCTTTCAGCAACCCTGAAGGTGCGAGAGTTCAAATCCTGGTTGGAGCAGATGACTCGCCCTATCATCATCCCTTCTGCCGGGGTCGATACAATGAGTACCAAACCATGTGGGAAAACAGCCATTGTTCTAGAGGGCGTAAGAACCCCCGCCATAGGAATGCGGAATTTCCACCACCGGCTGTGCAGGCCAGTAACCAGAAGATGAGCACCAATGAGTCAATGGTCATTTAAGCATAAAATCGCTTTGACTTTTTAATGAAAAATAACCTCGCGCACAAAGCGACACGCGCAACGCAGAGCGTGAAATAATCGGTGAGTGCCGCGTAGGGCCGACCAGGGGACCGAGCGTGGGCCCGTGGTGGTGGCGACGGTGGAGGTGGAGATGGAGATGGTGGTGATGGAGATGATGGTGATGCTTATGATGCTGGTGAATGTGGCACTCGGAGCTGAAACTGAGACACGGTGCCTCTGCTCCAGGTTTCTGCAGTGGAGTGAGATGAGAGGGGAATGCGTGTGTGCGTGTGTGTATGTGCGTGACTGCGTGTGCGTTGATCACGACGTGAAGGACCACGGCTGCACGGAGGTTGCGCAGCGCTCTCCTTGCTACCTGTGCGTCACGAAGCTCAACGCACGACAGGCACTCTAGGGGGTGCTGTAAAGTATCCGTCAGACAACTATAAATATCTCAGCCAGTCCAAACTACGGCAGGCGAGAGGCACGTGGAGCCACTCGGGGAAACGCGGAGCCACTCTGGGAGACGTGGGGCCCCCGGGAAGACGCGGGGCCGCGCGGGGCCCCAGGGACCAGCCTCCTCCTGCCCCAAGCCCCGTGTCGCCCTGGAGGACGGAGCCAGGTGGAGACCGAGGACGCTGTCCCCCAACTCCGACTCCTCACGGGGGCCGCGGTGGCGACGTGGAGCCGCTCCTGTTCAGAGCTTCCCACCTCCTCCTCCTCCGACGGCCATTGCACCTGCGAGGAGGAGGAGGAGGAGGGACGCAAGGCATTGGGACGCGACGCATGGCGAGTCCAGGGTCGCCGATGGGTTAAGAAAGCGCCTGCACTCTACGTCCACATCCCGCATGCTGCACGCTTCACGAGGGGGCAGCGAGGGAGCAGAGAGGTGGAGAGGGGAGGAGGGAGGCCATGCCTGTGGCAGAAAACGAGGGTCTGTCAAGACGGGCACTCAGCTAGGACATGAGAAGAAAGATTGGAGGTTTTGGCATGAGACACTAATGATTGTGTTATTGCTCTGCTTGTTTAGCCAGCAAAACTTCACTGAGTATTAAGAACCTTTTTCAGGAGGGTGCTGCCGGGTTTCCCAATTGAGTCATTGGCAATGTAATTTTTCAAATTTGGACCGTGACTCTAGCACACAATGGCCTACTCTTATTTTAATAATGTTACGGAATCTTTAACGTCCGCTGTGAAGCATATGGCGCCACGTATTCTAACAGCTCATACCGCAGTAGAGTGGGGAGTGGTGGCGCAGTGGTTAGCGCACTACACTACAAACCCAGTGCCCTAAGTTCGATTCCCATTCATGGCCAAAACTGGTGACAATGATCTGAACCCATCTTGAGCCTCTCCTAGGTCGACTCAGCCTGAAATGAGTACCTGGTGCTGTGTGTAAACATCGCCTCGAGAGAGAGGCAAATGCAGCCGGGCGTGGTGCTGGCCTTCATAGGTGCGACTCGCTAACAGCAATTGCCCCAACAGTGTGTTAAGGCTATAGTGTGTTATTGTGCGTGTGTGTGCGGGCGCAGCACCTGCACGTGTGTGGGTTGAACACGCGGCCTCGCCGCCGGCACCGCGCGTCTGTGGCTTTGCACGCGCACTGACACGTGCGTGCGTCCTGCCGGTAGAGGTGCGCGTGGCGGGGGGCACAGGGGGGGCACCCGGGGGCACTGCGTGGTGGCGGGGTGGCAGCACAAAGAGCACACTGGTATCACGATTGCGTGGCTGACAGGAGAGATCCGCGTGGACCTGATCGGTCGGCTAGGTCCCGTAACCGGCCGGGTCATGGTAACGAGAGGCGACGCGAGGTGCCGATGCTCAATGGAGGTGGCACTCATCTCCTCTTCACGCCCCTGCAGAGCCAGTGGTGGGGAAAAAAATCCACATTCCTCTGTCGCCTGTGACGGGGGCGAGTCCATAGGACAAATGCTGTTAAATTCGCCACAAAGTGATTCTTATTTTATCGACGCTGGAAGAAGGGTTGATGGGCTGAGTCAACCCCCCGCCCCGACCTTTATTTGAACTCTTGACAATCTTGTTGCTGCGAGTCGATCTGCTCTAACAACGACGTCAGCAAACCCCACACACCACCTCCCGTCCTGTGGTACAGGTGCAAAGCAGTGAGGCTTTCTCAAATGTGTTCGTGTTGCCCCATCGACCGAGCGATAGCCCTGAAGACGATTTGGTAGAGCCATCGTTCTCTCGTCCCCGTTCTAAATGAGAAAGCGCGGTGGAATGGACGTCGCGCCAGGCTAGGTGCACTCACCTGCTCGGCGGCTTGCGGCCGTGTTTCTTCCGCTCTCTCCGGACACCCGGCTCTTTCTTCCCGTTGCGACGCGGTGTCCGGCTGCGAGCGAGCAGAGGGACACACCGAGACTCTCGTGAGTGTAGCGCGCACGTGCCCCGTGACGGCCGTTAACCACGACCGCAACGTTCACAACGGCCACGGAACCAAACAAAACCGATCGGAGCGACACGCGCAGGTCACGCACCCTCACCTGTCTGGCGCCGGCTGCTGCTGTGACGGCGGTGGCGGCTGCTGGGCGGGCTCCCTGCGAGGGAGAGACGCGAGTGAGACGAGAGGGGACCCCCTGCAGGAAACTCGCACTGCACGCCCCTTTACCCCGCATCCATGTGTGTCTGTGTATGCGTATATGTGCTCACGAACAGAACTTGCCCCAACAGGCATTGTGGGCTATGTGGAGGGGGGGGGGGGGGCCTTTGTGTGCGCGAGTGTGTGATTGAGTGAGTGGGTGAGTGCTTATGGCCAGTTCTGGTTTGGCGGCGGAGGTTTCACTCAGAATCAGTTGAGCGCCATTATCTTTTCATCGGTTGCACACTGCTGTGATGAAGCTACCTAGTATTTTGCTCCACAAGAAGCTCCTAGTCTTCTCAGCCACAGCTATATCCTCCCTTATCTATGCTTGTGAAACGTGGACCCCTCTGAAGGAACATCTGTTCCGGTTTGAAACATCCAGGCTGGTCTGCTTACGATCCATCCTATAATTAACCAGACTGGATTTCGTGAGGATGGGATTGTGTCCAAACATTTGGACGCAGTCCCATCAGTGAGCTCCTCCAGTAGGCAAGGCTGCGTAAGCCCACATGCCCAGCCACCGCATGCCCAAACAGCTTTTGTTCGGCTGAACAGATGGAACTAAACGGATGCACCACAGGCGAGAGAAGAGATGAGACTGATGTGGTACAGGAGGATGTGGAGCCGATTGGACTTGCCGATGACTGGTAACAGCGGTGTCAAGATCGGCCTCGATGGAGGAAGCTCATGAAGAATGCTACTGGGCAGTCGAAGGCAGTCGCCTTCCATCAACAACGGAGGATGGAGGAGTGACGCTCATAACAACCAACGAGCGGAGCAACGGGCAGCTAAAACGCAAGTTGGCACAATGGGGAGCACAGGCGGTGGATCTCCCTGTCATCTCA